ATACAACGTAGCAACGTAGCAACGAAATTTGTGTAGTGGGATCTTGGACACAATCACTGACACGTTAGCGACTGCTATACGAACAGAGCTATTAACTGATTTTGTAATGGGTCTGTGATTGACAAATGACAAATCGTTTTTGTGACTGGCATGGACAATGGACCTGTCAGGATCGAACCTAACTCGGTATTTTACAAATTAGGTAAATACGAGTATGTACCGATATTTAATCTATCGATCTCTTGATAAAAAGCATCTGGGTAAAATAAAATGTTAATATTGTGTAAAATGTTCAATTCATGATCTACCAATTTGAAATTGACTAGTACTATGTAATGTTGAATGTCATTATGATTGTCAGGAACCATTGAGGTTATCTTGGCTAGCACAAAACATAAAATGCTGGTTGAATATTGGCTGTGTTTGAGTGAACAAATACTTTATATTTGTAATTAGCACAAGACAGCTTAGCGCTGAGACTCTAAGCTTAACCTTTGAGCTATTACATAAATCTGTAGTTGTGAATGATGACTCGTAGCCAAAATCTAGCACTGTTCGGGCTGTTACAAAATGTTGTGCGTTTAACTTATCTCTGACATCCACCTGTTCTGTAGCGAGGAAGGTATTTGCTGCTGAGACTAAAGTGCATTTGGTGGCACCTACCTTGACATGATTCGGTTTAGCATGATCATCATTAACGTCTTCATCATGAATTATGGATACGGAAACATTTCGATTAGTGTGTAGAAGAGTGTTGTGCTTCATGGCATAACTTACATCCGGAAAATTTGCAACCATGAGCCATGTGGCCTTTTCTCAAGCAATTCTTACATAACTGCAATGCCGCGACTTTGTTAACATGGCCTTACCCCACCAATTTTAAAAAATCCGAACAATAGGAAATATGATCACCTTTATGTAATTCACGAAAGATTTAAAAAATGAGGTATTATGTTTTTTACATGTTATAAAGGGTGTTTTTTAGAGGTATAGAACTTTAAATTGCAATAAAACAACGATGGATTATTCTATTGACATTAATTTTTTTTATTCGAAAGATAATCTTGTGGCATTACATTTTAATTATGATTTCTGGCATATGACTGCCACGGCTGGCTCGGATGTAGTCCAATCTGGACGTCCAATTTTCGATTACTTTTTCCAACATTTGTGGCCGTATATCGGCAATAACATGGCGAATGTTGTCTTCCAAATGGTCAAGCGTTTGTGACTTATCCGCATTGACCAATGACTTTACATAGCCCCACAGAAAATTGTCTAGCGGTGTTAATTCACAAGGTCTTGGAGGCCAATTCACAGGTCCAAAACGTGAAATTAGGCGGTCACCAAACGTGTCTTTCAATAAATCGATTGTAGCACGAGCTGTGTGACATGTTGCGCCGTCTTGTTGGAACTACAGCTCCTGGACATCATGATTGTTCAATTCAAGAATGAAAAAGTTAGTAATCATGGCTCTATACCAATCACCAGTGACTGTAACGTTCTGGCCATCATCGTTTTTGAAGAAGTACCAGCCCATAAAGCGCACAAAACCGTCAGTTTTTCTGGATGTAACGGTGTTTCGACATAGACTTGAGGATTAGCTTCACTCCAAATGCGGCAGTTTTGTTTGTTGACGTAGCCATTCAACCAGAAGTGCGCTTAATCGCTAAACAAAATTCGCTTATGAAAATCGGGAACAACGACAATCTCGTTTTGGGCCCGTTCAACGAATCTTATGCTGTGCTTGATGATCGTTTGGCTTCAATTCTTGCACGAGTTGGATTTTGTAAGCACGCAAACCAAGATCCTCCCGCAAAATCTTCCATAAAGTGGATGGACACAGATCCAATTCCTGTGCTTGGTGGCGGATGGACCCATTCGGGTCTTCCTCATTGCTACGCTCTACAGTAGCAATAGCTTCTTCTGTAAGCACCGTACGGCGTTCTGGGGATGCGAGTTATCAATTAGAGTAAACGTGGTGCGAAAACGTTCCATGGTTAATCGAATTATTTGCTCTGATGGACGATTTTGTCGACGATAAAATGGGCTTAGTGCGCGATACGTATTCCGCACAGAACCATTATTTTCGAAATAAAACTGCGCCATTTACAAGCGTTGCTCAGACGTGAGTCTATTCATGATGAATTGCCAAACCAAACTGAGAATAAATCACTTGACAGCTGTCAAATCGGTCGCGATCTTCAAAAGTAATGCCAACTTAAAGTTCTATACCTCGAAAAAAAAAACACCCGTTATATGTACATGACGGAAAAGCATGTGACTTATTTCCGTCGATCTGTCTATCTGTCCGCTAATCCTTGACCCCTCTATAACTTGAGAATTACCGCTCGGTTTTAGCGAGATTTTCTTACAGTGGCTGCGAAGTGAACGGCGAAAAGCGGAATAAAAATCGACCAAACTTCGTGCTTTGTCGTTTTAGGTCGGCGGTTGGGGGTTGTAGGGGGTGAGAGAGGGTATACGAAATAAGTTTTTGCTCTTAGTATATTTATACGCTCCCAATTCTGGTAACTATACCCATCTAATAGCCGTATTTCACACATAAATGGATTGCTCCGTAATTTGCCTTTTAAACTTTTAAAGATACAGAAATGTTTTCGAACCACTCACGGCCTGGCCAACCGAACATACAAATATACATATTAGGCAGAAACCACGTACGAAATCAACAACTACCTGCAGCGATGGCGCGCAGATGTGGAAAGACACAACGTTGCCAAACGGATAGTAACTACTAGGCAGGAAAATAATGTCTATGGGTTGATTATATGGGCCTTGGTTCTAGACATCAAAATAAGATGACAAAAATAATCGAGGAAAAACAAATAGCTGATTTTGAATCTTCGGAAAACCTAACAAAAATGGCGTCAAGTAGGTTGACTCTGCGCTTCCCACGGAACGTCGTCATCACTTCATAGATGATTATGTTCAGGGTAAGTTAGACCCTGTGTAAATTAGATAGCGTCATGGGCCTCATATACTCGACAGATGATTGTTGCTATGCTGTCACTCGTTGACCCAGAAACCTAGCCTAGACCCTCTGAGAAAAAAGTTATTTACGAACATGTATAACAGTGAAATTAAACGGATCAAGACCGTCAAACAGGTCCATACAAGTACTCCATGGACATTATTTCCCTGCAATACCCGTAATTCCGTCTGGAAAGCTTGCCTCTCCCCAGTACGTGGTCGGACGATGCACCAGACGCGTCAGCGCGATACAGTGCTAGTAATGCGAAGATACATATTAAGAATTCCACGCCCACCAGTGAGGTCAGAGATGAGAGAGGGACACGTGTCGAAGAGATTTTTCTATCGTTCTAAGTTTTAAGGGAAAATATAGGGGTGATGTGTGAAATATGTCTAACTGGGACCTCGGTTGGCCGCGTGGGTCAGAGTGTCGTGCTACTGATCAGCCGGCCGGCCGGGCCGCGAGTTCGAATCTCGCCTTCGCCATGGATGTTGTGTGTTTGTTTTAGGCAGCAGCGGTGGCCGCAGTAGTAGACTCTTCGGTCTCCTGATCAGCCGCCGTGCGCTGTGCGGGTTCGAGTCCCGTCCCAGGAGAAATGTTTCTCTTGGCCATGGATGTTGTGATTTTCCGTAGGTGGTAGATGGTCTCTGACTGTCGAACGCGGAGGTACCACCCGGCGGTTCTCGTAGGCGGAGCCAGAATGTGTGCATGTTGCATGCACACGTGTTCCCTCGCCAGAGTCCGTGTGGCGTCCCCCCTTTCCCATGTATCCCCCATAGCCCCACGGTACCCAATGGGTGCTTAGGCCTTAGGCCTTCGTGGTAGTTGGAGTATAAAAAAAAAAAAAAAAAAAAAAAAAAACAAAAAAAAAAGGTGGGTAGAAATACCGGGGTTGGAAATGTATTAATATACAAACATAAAAAAATTGCGATTCAGCCTCCCCCATCACTCTACAAACACCCACCCCCAACTTCCTCTAAACATTTTTTCAAAAATGAGCACGATCCTCCGAAACATCAAAAAAAACGAAGTTTGGGCGATTTTAATTGTTTTCATTCTGCTCCGTAGCGAGTGGACCGATTTTCATATGCTTTTTCATTCCTGGCATAGTAACCTTTGGGACAAGGATTTTCGGGCAGATCCGTAGAGAGAACGACGGAAACGAATGACATGGTATTTCGTGATGTACATGTCATATAACATACAAACAGTATATCCCATTTGCAAAATTTTTAGCAATTACAATACTTTCTCGCCAGTAAGCGTGGGAGATGAAAACGAAAAAATATTTTCATCAGAAGTTTTGCAAGTATAGAAAAATTGTACTTTGTCATGAGTGAATATGATCTTTTTGAATAATTTCCTCAAAACCACTTCAGAAACTTAATCCCTGTGATATGATCCCGTAAATAATTTATGACTGGTCTATAGGAAATATTCCAAACAAATATCAATTCCATAATGATGTGCGTTTAGGCAATATTAGCTTAATGATAGGTTTATCAAATACCCCTCTACATCAATTTATGAATTAGTCATGCTCATGAGCACAATTACCGGAAAAAAACTATTATCATCTGAGGTGAACTGGCAATAACGCTGACGGTGATCTGAAAAAGTTTTAATTGGTATACGAGGTGAGTCAGACGGTAGATACTAATATCAATAAACATAATAGCATGGTGAAGCTAGCTGTTCGGCAGCTGACACAAAACATAGCCAATTTTTTCGTATAGAGGAGTTGATTTCCGACCTGGCAGGTCTGCGAATAGTCATAGGTTATCGCGAAAAACTACAAAAGTCAACGTTGTAGGTAACTGGATACCTAAAGTATCTCTAGTAATAGTCGGGGGTAAAAATGACGTTTTTATTGCTAGACAAAAAAGTAAAAAGCTCACACTGATCTTTGGCATAGCTTTAAACGCTGGTATTTTTTACGTAATCGTAAGGATTCCACGTCAAATTTTGATTTGATCTTATATCTGTCTTCCCTTTAAATATGTTTTAGCGACACTTCGATTCAGCGACAAGGAACACATGCCCTATCTCAAAGGTGGTCCCTTGCATGAAGATGAATACGAGTTCGAGCAACTTCATTTCCACTGGAGCGAGGACGATCACAGTGGTTGCGAACACATTTTCGAAGGGAGAAAGTAAGTATCAATATTCTTGGTCGAACAATAAATCTAAGTTAAGATAAATATGACATCTTTCGCAAATACCTAGTGATATTCAAAATATCCCAAATATCATCGAGTGATGTCGGATCTGTAGTTGACAGAGTCGTATTAAGGGGGGGGGGGCTTATTGTACTGATTCAATTTTTCAGTCAAGGCTTTTTTATTGCATGTTCCTAAGTGTACTTCATATACGTGGTGTTCTGAAGGTTTATATAAGCCTTTCAAGGCTAATAGGGCTGCCATCCGACTTGGGATTACCTGGATTGGGGCCGTCTAGAAGGGGTTTCTAAAAAGCGTCCGACGATTCAAAAGACATCTTTTGTGTCAGGAGGATCTCGCGAAATGTAAGACGCATGATTAAAAAAATGTTTTATTGGATAACGACTCGTATCACCCAAGTACAACGACCCGCGTCCCCTGTACAAGCACATTGTTTTATTATTTAAGAACCAAAAATTATAACTATAGTTTGTTTTTAATTAGATGCCAAGAAGAAAAGTGTTTATTCATTATATGTATATAAATATTTTTCTTACCAGATTACTACCAGATTTTAAGTAATTACTTAAGTACATATTTCATTTGTTATACTGTAAGATTACTATTTAAAGCTATTTAAATTATTAAAAAATGAAAATGACGACAATGTTTTTATTTGTATTATAATAAAGATTCTGAGATGTCGGGGGGAAACATTTCAATTCTACCCAAATGTCCGGTGTCGGTAATTGAGGTGATGGCACTCCTACTGTACACTGCATTTGGAATGTATGCCTTAGTAGAAAGTCGAAGTTTTTTTAAGTTACGCTCAGTTTTGTCAAATCCTCGGAAAAGCCAGAAACATGGGAAAAACCACTCTTGTTTATTAATAAAGAGCAGCTCGTTTGTTCGGTTAGTTTTCTCATTTATGTACCTATAAAAATTGCTTAAAATTGACCGTAAAATCGCATGGCTTTTCGGGCGATTCATGGAAACAGTTAACAAGTGTGATTCAACATTATACACAACAGTCAATGAGGAGTTAGATCTTAGAGACCACAGAAATACGAGGGACACGAAAATGTATTACGTGAACATGAGGGTTTTACAACATAAAATACAAGTGTATCACGGTTTTGTGTTTTTTGCATATGTGTGTGTGTTGTCGGTTAGGAAGTTTTATTACATCCTTAAAAATGTCTAATTGAATTTATGTGTAAGAAATTTCAGGTTTTTTCAATATTAATAGTAATAGTTAATTGTTCAAAACTCCGAAGTTTTTATTATGATTCGAATATATCAATTATCATTATCAAGCTTTCGAATTTTTCGTTATTGGTCAGAGTAGATATATTTATGACCTACATCATTAGTGAAATGTAATTTGTTGTTTTAAATTCCAGATATTATCCAAATTTATGTTACTATTAGATCTGAATAAAATAATTCATTTAAAATAGTTTTACCTACACTAAATAAACAGATTTAATAAATATAATTAAATTGTTTAACTTGGAGCAGGTAAACTCATTTTAATAGTTCAATAATTTCGAATACAATGTGCATAATCACCCAAGTAAATGGTTTATTAAATTTACTAAACTAGTTTCATAGATTTAAGTAAATTAGTTTGGAACTCGATGTTTAATTAAACTTCTTAGCTCTCACATAGTTGATTAAATTTAATTGACTTGATTTAAAATTTTATTGGTTTAATTAATTTTTTTCTCAGTTTCTCTGAGAAAAGAAATCTGGTTATATCGCGTTATACGATATACCACAAGAAATAGCAGGAAATCGTGCTGTCTTTTCAATGATTTCCAGTTTCACTAATGCTAATTTCTCCAAAAATCTTCGAAGGGCAAAATCGAACCACTTGCTAAACTAAAATTATTTTTTATAACGTGGACGTGATGTTTCGATAACGTGAAAAACGAGAAAAACAACAGAATAAAGGAGATGTTATTCGTTGTGAACAAGCGACTGCATCTTACTAGGATTTCACGGAATTGCGCATAACTCAAAAACTGTTTGGTTTTGTACTAAAGTATATGTAGCCTTATATGTTTCGAATTGGATAAAATGAGTATTTTATTGTCAATGAAATTATGTTTGTGAAGATATATTTGTGTTGGTGTTTGGTGTACTTATTTTGGAATTCGTTCCACCCATGTTCCACGAGATCCATTACCTCTAACAGTACATACTTAACACAAATGTGTCAATTTTTGATTAGCTGCTTACGTCAATAGACGTCAAAATGTGGTTCAGTACCGTGAAAAATAAATTAGGTTGCAGATGCTTTAATAATATGTTACCATCTCACGAGTGTATCTCAAAAAGTTGACTCTTTTCGGACACTATTTAGTATATTTTTCACAATATTGCATTACGTCAAAACGTCGCTCAAGTAAAATTCAAAACACACCTTATGTGCCGGATGCTCCGGTGTTCGATTTTCGTCTACAGGCGCGCATGACGTCACGCTGAGAGTGATTCTCATTTAGGTTGATATGGATGACATGCATATTTTCTCCTACTGGCTAACCGGCTGGACGGATTCTCAAATATCAAGTGTCGTTGGAAATTGTATACAAAATAAAATGGCGGATTTAAATAAAATCTTTCAACCTTGTAATTCCTATTTCACAGGCTATAGCTTAAACGGCTTTCTAGCTCCACAATAGAGCGTATTGTCACTTTACTGTAAAAACAAGATAACTCCATTTTTGCCTATATTTTAGTATGTTCTGTGGAGCAGGGTTAACATGCTCATGACATTAATACTGCACTAGATTTATCCTTATTTCATAGAACATGTAAGTGTGAAAATGTATAACAACAAATGGAAATGACTAAGCAACAATTTTTCTCCATTTTCTTCTACGATTTTTCTAGTGTTTCAAACTTTTATTTATTCAGAACATCCTTGACCTGAAAAATAGCTTTTTAGCTTTTTCAGGGCAGTCAATGTTGTAGCTCTTCAACAGAAGTTCGCCTATAAAAATTTGCTTTTCTGTAACTATTTCGACAACATTGAATGTGGTATACACCTTGTTCAGCTTCTCAATTTTGATAATTCACCCTCACTAAGATGGTCTATCCAGGAATAAGTTTCATTTGAGGAATTTTTCAACTTCTCATCCAAAGCAGGCCAAATTTTCCAAGCCCGTCATACTCGAGCTCATCTATTTCTTCCATTAAAACTTCCTCGTTATAGTGAGCTGATACTTCAGGTGCATTAGTTTATTCGTTAATGATGCGGTTAGTGGAATGTCTGGAGTCCCCCCCTGACTCTAGGGGATAAGTTGAGCCCTTTGTCTTTTTTCGTAATCACTTTTCCTTTTTCCCAGCAACAGATTTAGAAGGTCCAGGTGATGATAGAGACTTGGGTAAATTTTCCATAGGGATGGCAGCATCTTTTAGAGCACGATATCTGTTAGGGATGTAACCCAAAAGGGCACTCGTATGTTTCAAATTGACCTTATAGGAACTTCCACAAAAGTGCTTCGAGCAAACCCTAGTAGTTTTTACATTGACTTAGTCTTTTCTTTTTGTAAGATGTAGCCATTTTTTGATAAGGTTTGGGTCTTGAGGAAAACTGTGGAACTTCATGTCTTTGCAAGGATTCCGTTTAGACTGGTTGTCCGAATTACATCCCACAACTAATACAACAAGTTACAAAACCACCAAAAATCACCAACAAATCGCACTATATAGTATTAACCACGATACACGTGCACTGCAGTAACGTTACGACTATCCTGCTGCTGGTAACCTCGAGCCGACAACTTTCAAGGGCAACATCCCCTCTTCAGTGTATCGACAAGTGACGCACAACTTTGACGGATCGGTTAATGCCAGATTGGTATACAGAGGCTTATTTTGCTATGTTTCGAAAATTTCAAGGTAACGGCCAGTTTGAAGACTAGAAGGTGGACAAAACATTATAATTCTTTCAATGATTTTGAAGTTTTTTCTGGTTGCAATTCATATTGTTTGAATGCGTTGGGCGCCAAAAAGCTGCAAGAGCTTTCGTAAGGCCTAAATATTGTTCGTATGTCAAAATAGTGAGTTCGCCTTTAATACACTGTTTTTTTTTCAGATATTCTATGGAGGCTCATGTTGTTCATTTCAATAAAAAATATAAAGATTTCCAAGAAGCACACGACAAACATGACGGTCTAGCTGTGGTTGCATTTTTCTTGCAGGCATCTGGAAATGAAGATAATCAAGATTTCAGCAAGTTGTCCACATCTGTTTTAGACATAATCAGTATTAACTCGTCAGTGAAGGTATCCACAGGTCAGTTACCCAAATGTGATAAAAAATGAATAGTTTGTTCAGGAATTTGCAAAAATATACAGGAGGTAGTGACAAGCTGAAGCACACAAGAGGGAGGGTCACTAGTGTTCTAAGAATCACCTCAACGTATTGCGATGAGCTCAGGTCATTTAGAATTCTCATTTTGCTCCAGCTTCATGACGATAGTGATGTAAACATTAGAGGGTGATTTTAATGTGAGTTATTTACCTAATGTATCAGCAGTTCGTAGTAATATATGTCATATTTTACACATAGAATGTATGGACTGGATAAAGGAGTCTGCCCAATGTAAAGGATATTATACTTACCAAGGATCGCTAACTACTGAACCGTATACTGAAAGTGTCACTTGGATTCTCTACCCCAAGCCTATCCAGATTTCAGAAGAGCAGGTAAGATTTTATACAAAAGTGTTATATCTCTCAAAAACTAAAACTTTAAAATGCGTATTTATGATGCTATGCGATATAAATAAATCTCAGAAAACAAACTTAGGAGTTTTGAAGTTTGTACAAATGTTCCGATTTATTGTTGAATATTCACCATGCAAGGTCATAGTAGCACATTGATGAATAACAGCTCCACGTGTCATCTGCTCAACAGTACAGGGTGGGGACACAAAAAGAAGAACAATGATTCTGCAACAGCAAATAGGTCGCGACAAATTTACAACATTAATTTTTTTTATGAATGATTTTCCTGCATTCAGCTATTCGCACACGTTTCTAAAAATAGCAACCTTTTTGGGCCAGGATTGTTTTAAATCAGCAACAACTAAGTATTTCATCTTTACAACCATCCTTTCTCTGCTCGTCCAGAACAGATGGTACATTAGTGAATGTACCACTTCTCCTGTACTCACAAAAGTTCACAATGACATGGCGAGAGGAGAGAAGAACAGAACACATTAAAAGATTACAAATTGTATTAACCAAAAAAATTTTCATCAACATATGAATAAAAACTAACAATTCTGTGCATTAAAAGATCAATTCTAGGCGAAAAAATTATATAACGCAATAAAATGGCAACTTATCTTTACAACTTTCTTAGTCGTCGGAAGGCTTGGAGTAGTTAGTCTATGCTCGCAGATATTGAAGATGTAGGCGAAAAGTAAGTAGGTGTCCACAGCCAAGGTACGGGACCAAAATAACGCCATAAGGTCGAAATGCTAGTGTCATATGTGAAGTAAGGTCCAAAAGAAAATACATCCGTAAAGTGGGCGGTCTCCCCCAATCTCAAACAGGATTGGATGCGTTAGAAACAGGTATTATGACCCAGGCATCTCCAAGTCTCACTCTGTCGAAAAAACAAAAACTACGATTTTCTAGATTATGATAGTAATTGTATAATTAATAAAATCTTTGTTTAATTTCATTAATTATGTTTATTTATTATTAGACTTAGATGCCTTTGACAAAATCGCATTATGAGTTAGCAAAAACCATGGAATAAAACAATGGTTATCAAAAATCTGCAAAGCTCCTGCGGATTTCTTAAAAAAATAGCACGTGGAATTTTATCAGCTGCCACATAATTGTAAATATGAAAAATATATGCATATACATATATAGTATTAGTACTCCATTTTCTGGCTGCTAATTCAAACTACATATGTTTTAATTACGGTTTGTTGTATTCATTTATTATGTATCTTATTTATTACTATATAGTATGTTGCGATCACAGCCTGAACGGTTCTGCACCATGACAAGATCGCGCATCATTATAATTACGGAGTTTCATATAGTGGAAAATACTGCAAATTTCACTTGCATGTAATTATATATTAGATATCTTTCACAAATCTGAAATAATTATTTCGATAACTTTTAAAGGAACTTTTAAAGAAGTTATGACATTTTGATTGTCGGGTGCTGCAGGCCACCGCCCTCGCGCGTCGAGGTTGGGCAGTGACGTCACATAAGTTTAGCTTCTGTGACACGGTTATGACGCGGTGACCCTTGTATATCACATTCATCCTTAACGTTCGAGCTGGCAAATCGCAATATGTTGTCTGTATCTTGGCATAAACTGCTGTGCGATGTTATCAAAGAGTACTATAAAGGTTTTGCAATACAGCTTTATTTATTGATTTCGTTCAAAGTAATTTCTACCACATTCGATACTCTCCATCCGCCAAAACCAGTCCTTAACCAGCTCTGCCAAGTTTCACTGGGAGTGCGCTACACTCGTTGTCCCAAGTCCCCAGAAGGTCCTCATCGCTAGAAAACCGTTTTCCTTTTTGCTTCATTTTCACATGCGGAAACAGTGCAAAGTCGCTGGGAGCAAGATCTGGACTGTATGTTTCAGTCCAGTAGTGGTCAAACACTCAGCGCAGGCTTTGGCGCGTTGCCATGGTGGAGGTACCAAGTGTCCATTCTTGATTTTGGCCGCAGGTTTTTCATAGATTCTACGACCTTAGGCAGGTACTGTTCCGTGTACTACTTAGCTGTAACTGTCTTTCCAAAACGATACGCTCCATAATCCCGCTCGATTTCAAAAATACAGCTATCATTTTTTGTTAACAGATCGGGATTTTCTGACAGCTACGGATGTGTCCTTATCACCAAAGACCCAAAGTTTGTTTTGAGCCTTGGTCGGTACATCGTGATACACCTGTCACGATGCTGATCACATACCGACATTGCCCCTTACCAAACATTTTCAGCAACTTTCGGCACCAAGTCGTATGACGAGTCTTCTCCTCTTCCCTCAGACAATGCGGTACCCAGAGAGAACAAAGTTTCCTTACGTGTAAATGGTCATGCAGAATTCAATGACTTGTTGGTGCATGAAGATGTAGGGTTTCTTCTGTCTGTTGGTATGTCACTCTCCGGTCTTTGTCAAGCATTTCCCTCACAGCAGTAATGTTTTCGTCTGTTACTGACGTTCGCGGCCTTCCTTGCCTCTCAGCGTCCTCCATTGTGAATAGTCCCTTTGGAGTTCTCTGTACCGCCTGCAAGCGTCATTTCTTCTAAGCACTGGTCTATGCCTAAATCATTAGACGTGCTGCTGAGGCTACTATGCACTCATGGACATGTCTAAACATGCAGTAACATGCAGCCTCCTACGACCGTTTGTTAAGTCATATTGCAAAACTTTTATAGTACCCCTTGTACATTAAATAAAATGGAAATTTTCTAAGTACCGATTCACTAATCTTCCAACGGTGGTCAAAATAATGGTTAGTCGTTAAAAACACTATGTGAAACACTTATGCTTTGGCATCCTAACATTTATAATTAAGACCACACGCGGTCGACGCCACAGTGCCAGTGGTTCAAAAGTCCTAAAGTGTTTAATTGTTATACTCTTTAGCGGCCAGACAAAGAAGTCCTCTCAACATGAAAACAACAGGGCAAGTTTCTTAAGAATTATAAAAAACCATGTAATTTTTTCAGGTGGCCCATTTCAGGAAGCTGAAATGCTGTCCGTACGACAAGCATAACATCAAAGAAAACGTACGTCCAGTTCAAACTCCACCAGAACACAAAAAGTTGCAAATATTCTATGCACGGTCTCACAGACGGTCGGAATAAACACTTATTATTTTACTTTAGGCCATTAGGTCAATACTTTGTTGTTGTTAGATACATGTAGAGTTATATTTAACCGTATTGTTATAGATACATTAACCACATATTGTTAATCATTCTTGGAAAATACAACAGTGTTTTCAAACCCTCCGTTTGGAGACCGTAATATATATTGTTTCAACTATCAAGTCTCCCGTCTATCTTTACCTTTGTCCCCCCTCTTATGGTTATTACCGCAGATCTTCAATAGGTAATACTAATTCGTTTTGTTTGAAATAGACCGGCTGAGAGCAGCTTCCAGTGCTAATCAGGGCCTTGTAATACGTACCGGTTGGACCAACAATGAGGAACGCCGTCTGTATCTCGGCAACCGCTCAACCTAGAGCTATCGGCTTAACAATATCACAAAAAAAGGTGGCCAAGAGAAATTGCTGAAAATTATTTTTAGGTTCACGCTATAAATGGACGCTAGGTGGGGTCGCTCCAATTTCAAAAATTCAAACGACAAAAATTCAAGATGCTCAATCTTGCCAGTTAGTTCAGTTTGTGGCCGCTGAATGGCGCTTTATGAACGTGCCATCGTCTTTTTTGGACTTTTTCGAAAACTTCAAATGCGGTTTATTTTTTTTATTGATCAAATACGTGAAAAATCCCATAAGATGGTAAAAACCGCCGAGCAATATCTTCATTTGTTATGGAGATATATTAAGAAAAAATACGCTTAAATTGCAAGTACTGCTGAAAAAGAAGGATGTATGGTATGATCAGTTTCGTAAAATTTATCAGTATTACACGACTTAAGGATATTTTACTGTAAATCTTATTTTTACGCTTTCCCATAACCGGTAGGGGCGTAATTGTCGCCCTATAAAAGAAAAAACATTATTTCTTCAATTAAACCACGTATTTTATCTCAGTTGTTCTACCTTTTTGTCTTATTTAGATGCACTAATGGTGCGAATTATGAGATGTGTTACATCCATTGTAATATTATAGCTGTTATTTCGCTTAAAAGAGCGTCTTATGCAATGCCATGGCGTTTTAGAACAGAAACAACAGAATAAACTAAAATAAATTGGTGTCAACGTCAAAACAGTTGGGATCGCGTCGATCGCCACTTGTAAACGAAGTAGCTTTTGACATACTTACTATGTAATCAGCCGTTGCTACTAGGACAACTGTGAGACGAATACTGAGCGATCATAAGTAAATATTCAAGAAAGCGAAATTTCCTTCCCCATATCATTTGGTACTGGATCAAGCATTAACCGGTAACGACTTTGACATTAGAGTCAACTACTTTACTGGTTTTGAGGTATACTTGCAAATAATCTAAATATTTTATGGGCTGACGAACTAATTCTCTGGTCTATTTTTATTCTCCTGTACCTTATCCAGCACCATTCGCATTATTGTATCACTACTCTGAGCAAGTTTGGTCTGTGTTGAGCAGGCTCGCTGATGTGGAGCCTCAAATGATAACACAAAAAATATTAAAGTAAAAGTACAATAAAATAAGACAGGTACTTACATTTTGGCCCAGGAAGGTCCAGTTTCATGAAGAGAGATTCGCCCCGAGTGATCTGAGGGCAGGATAAATCCCATGAGTCGGCCCATCCATTCTTTATAAACCGATAGAACCTCCACGGGGCGAAGAGTACACCCTTAAAAGATTATGCATTATTTGCCGAGGATGTGCACGTTTCTCAGCAGATGCGTTTTAACATATCTATCGACCTATATGGCGCCTATGTGGCGCGTGTAATACGCTACCGGGTGATCACTCGCGGTAACTGGTTGAATATCAACCTATTTTCCCTCGCGTATATGCATGGCACCATTGGCAGCAGCTTATCGCATTTATCATCCCTGCCAAAATCCTGCGCCTCTCACTACTGGGGCCTCCGTCAGATGACATTAGCTCTACCAGAGATGCAACGACTTTATTTACCTTGTCAGCGGTGCGTCTTATATGTTCAATCATATCCATACCTAATTGAGTTTGGCTCCTAATGTCGGCATTCTAAACTTTAACAGCTCATAACGTTAGCTTCTGCCTGCCCGAAAGTATAACTACTTCCGCCTTTTCGGGAGCTAATCTCAAGCCATTTTCTTCCATCCATATGGTAATTCTCGTGACTGGTATGCCAAAAGCCTTTCTAGGGTACCTCTCCCTTTGCTAGTGGCTAACAGCGTCAGGGAGTCAGCATATCCCCTTACTCGAATTCCCGACAGCATCTGTAATCGAAGAACCCCATCGTCGAACACGTTCCAAAGCAACCGTCCTAGGACGAAGCCTTGCGGTACTCCCATGGTTAATTTCGTCTTCTTTTGTTCACTATAAGTGCCATCTCGCTAAAGTACCTCTTTATGATGTTCAGTAGATAGCTAGGGGTGCCTAGCTTCTCGAGAGATTCAACGACTTTCTGCCAATGTACGATTCTGAACGTCAAAAGTACCGCAAAGCTTTTAGCTACCGTAGCTGTCGCTATCCGTTACTTCCAACAGGTGTACCACTTTCCCTTTCTGAATTCATATTGTGAGAGAGACAGCCTGATATTTTCCTCGACTTATTTTCTTAGCCTACCTTTGATCAGTCGCTCTATACTCTATTCATAGTCCATTTTAGCCGCGGCACGACAAAGATGCAGCGCGGCAAAGCGGCAGCCGCCTAAGCGTTGGAATAGCGATTGGTCATTCGGCTATAAAACTACGAACAAGTGCAGGATTCGGCAGGATAGAACTCAGGCTCGGGGTATCGCCGGCTCGTCGACGCCGGCAGTTGCTGTTCACATTCGATGCATACATAGCCCGTGTTTATTATACGTTAGCATGTCGTCTACGGATATAGCTGATGAAACTGAGAATCTTTCTTCCAATGCTCCCTTTAGCCATGCTTCCTCATCAGTGATGTCTCCTCCCCGAAAGCGTGACAAGACGGAACATTTGAATATTCAGGCAAAATAAATTGTCCTTAACGTTTATAAGAGCGAAATTTTAGAGCATCCTGAAAATTCATGATATTGAAAGACGTGTGGTAAACAAAACAGGCTTACGTGCTAAGACAATTTTCAACAATGTTAAAGAATACAAAAACAAATTGTCTCCACCACACAAGAGGCTGCCTTACACGACCACATTCTATAGTTTACTCAAATAACTTCATTTTGAGTGTAGAAAACGGGACAGAAATAGTATTTTGATGGACAGCCAAGAGATTATTTTATGGAGAAGAAATTATTTAAAATCAATAAGGAAATGGATACTTGGATAAAACCTGGATAAATACAGGACATACAAAAGCTAAAGTATGGGCTGACTCAAAATTGAATCAGTAAAACAAGCCTTCTTAGATGGATTAACCACTGTCCTAAAGAATCCGTCAGGTACATGTATCTAACCAATTCGCCATTTGTGTTGTAAAAATGGTACCAAGTAGACTGAATCTATGAGTCCACGCTGAAAACTTAGCTACACACTAAACTTAGCTATATGTGATAGATTTGCAAACAACACCTGTTAGATACTCTGCTTGTATTATTATTAGTTTTCTTGAATACCATATAAAACAATTATTTCCAGGAAAATGAAAACGATTTGTTATCTGACACATTGGCAGTGAAGATAGCTTTGTGCCCACTGCCCTATGGGCATTTGAGTCGATGAAAATTTACCGACTACCATGAAGTAATGTACGGGAGATCATTTGAACGAGGGTTTCAAGAAACGCTCCCAAAGCTTGACGACAGTGCTGTCATTGTACTCGATAATGCTGCATACCACACTAGAAAACTAGAAAAAAAATCCCAAAAGAAAGGGCTCCTATCAAAGGACATTAGTTTCAATCAAAATATGGTCAAAGCAGGACTTATCCATCAAACCAGGCAGTACAAATATAAATATAATCTTAATGTTATTGACGAAATGCCTAAAAACTAAAATAAGACCGTTTTAAGGCTACCCCCTAATCACTGCGAATTAAATGCCATTGAAATGATTTGGGAAAATATAAAAAGCTATGTGGCTCCACACAATAGAGGATTCAAATTTTTTGACGTGAAAAATTGGATTTATGAAGCTGTAGTACGTCCAGCGAATACAGAATTGTGAAAAGTATGTGCACTTCAATCCATAAAAATATTCATTTATTTTGTTAGATTCTTCCAAGACCATTGAGGAAAATACGGACCTGTACAATCTTGCTTTTGGGCATGTTTTTTTTTGTCTGGGCGTAAACGGATTACGAATGTGGTATGTATTGTAGCTTTCCAAGTGAACTCGGCGTAACTCACAGGATTGCTGGTTTATATATCGAATGTGTATATCAAAATGGCGACTGTCGCCACGGCGCTATAGGTAGGCGATTTGAAAGCTGTTTGCAACAATTGACGAGGAAATCAATGGCCTTCGAGAGGTGAATAGTTAGGGGAAAAATAGTAACTCAACAGATATAATATACTTAAGCATTTAGTTGTAAGTGTAAACGTCAATATATGATGATATATTGATATCGCATATCTCGTCAATAATGAAGGTACGGTAATATGAAACAAGATCGAAAGATATATAGTTCAGTTATCTACAAATTTACTTCTATCACTTTTTTACATAGGACCGAGTATTTAATTAAACGCATTTATCAAATCTGCGACTAGTGTTCTGGCCCTATAGTCATGTTGATTTGAAGTTATCATTAAAAAATAACTGTTACGTATCGCATCATGCAGAGCTGGGCTTTACGCCAGCATTTAACACTAACTTGCCTCATCCTGTCGGTGATTACTGGACAGAAATATCCATTTTCGTGGCAGATGGGAATACTTCTAGTTAGTGAACTATAACACCAAAAAATGTCTTTAATATCTGCAATTAATGATTTTTAGTCTTCACTGAATACTAAACTCCAAGGAAACTTAATAAATCGATATATTGTCTATAAACAGCTCATTGAGATGATGGGTATATCATCTTAAGAGTATATCTGCTTTCAACCACCATGTACGATGTCGCACTTTGATTATCCAAACATTTTAATGATTAGTCTATAATCTGAACTAAGTATTAGGTGTAGTTCTAAGTGATGCAGGTGACGATATGGTAGAAGCGTTCCTCCCTGTATCATTTGTACAGATCAACCGACGACACTTTGGTGAGCTTCTGCCTCAAGGGACGCTCGAGGTCAAGACTCGCAGACCTCCGTTGCCTCATCTGCGCCGCGAGTAGTTCTATTTCCCAGTTTGATCCGGAGTTGTCAAACTCGATGCTTGATTCACAATCGTCTGTCTGCTCTTCAACGTCGGAAATTTCACAGACGTCCGACTCTGACTCTGAAATAAAACAATTATAGGCGATACAATTTTTCAGAAGTAAAAAAATAAAAAAATTAGGAATCTTATTTGGAATGGGATGACGTTTCTCCCTCATGATTCTAGTATAACACAAACGTGCTAGAGTAATTTAAAAGAATTATAACGTTTTTTCAAAGGCCTCTTACATAATTTATTTTCCAACGGGTCAAGTTAGCAAGACAAAAGTTGGGGTGATGAAGTTGTTGCATGGTATAAATGTAAAAATTTCAAGATGCCGGTTGGGCGCCATCTTGGAATATTTTTATAATGGGATAGAGGTCTCCTGGTCCCTCGTATCGAAGCCCGCTATTATTAATTTATAACCCCGAGAGTATAAAGTTACTTTCTTTTAAAACGGGGATTGCCGAGCTGTCAAGGTTGTGCGTTTTTGTATATTGTACCGCTTATAACTCAACAACTAATCATCAAAACGACATCCTACGAAGTCTGTAAATTAAGTGATGAGGCTGACAACGTCGCGTTCGATCTGGCAACACTGAAGGCGCCGTGCTAGGAGGGAAACACTGGAGCATGTGATCCAACTTCAGTACAAGTTTGAACTCGCTTGAGTAATATGGTTGTCCGTAGCGATGTTATTTGTGAACCAGTTTTTTCTATTGAGTGATATCAATTTCAAACAACGGTGTGCTATCAGGTTTCAGATTTGGGCACAGTGCGACGGAAACTCTTGCTAAACAGACCTACGGAGATAAGTTTTTGTCAAGAGTCCAGGTTCTTCGGTTGGTTAAAGCATTTTCAGAAGGGAGAGAGTCAATTGAAGATGAACCACGAAGCGGAAGGCCTTTATCTTCAAGAACCGATGGAAATATCGACAGAATCCGGGATTTTGTGCGTTTACATCATCGGTTGACAGTCCGAAAGAGTTAAATTTTACTCGCACCACCGTTCATCAGATGAAGAACAACTGGGTGTTGCATCACGATAATACTCCTTGTCACACAGCAATGCCAGTAAACGAGTTTTTGACCAGTAAAACATTCCTGAGGCACCTCAGCCTCCTTATTCGCCTGACCTGATTCCTTGTGACTTTTTTCTCTACCCAAAATTGAAAAATCACCTCAAGGAACTTATTTAGGGACATTCAAACGTTTGTAATCGACCAGCTAAATGCTATTCCAGTATCGGAGTTCCAGCATTGCTATGAAGAGTGGAAGAACCGTCTTCAGCGCTGTGTGGCTTCAGAAGGAAGTCATTTTAAGGGTGACAATATAAAATTGTGATTATATTTGAATAAAAAAAAATCAGTCTCATCACTTAATTTACAGACCTCGTATATCAATCTTTAGGAAGAGTCAATAAAATACATTCCTGTTAACAGATTTATGCAAAATGACATCTGATGTTGCCAGATTTAGAGTGGATTTCAATTACATTCCACCAGTGAGGGAAATGAAATGCGATTTGATACAAAACTGTCAAGGATGTCTGAATATTAGTGATTTCTATGGGATTAACGAATAAACTGTGAAAAAGTGGTTGTATTATAAATAAGGTACCATTTGATATACCAATGTTGAGCATAAAAATCAGGATAGGATTCATATATTTCGCTATTATCAATTAATAAAGAACGGTAAATCGAATATTAGTTTGTTCATCTTTACATATAGACTATATATAGAGTGTTCACACATGTATTATTATATAATAATAGTTGTAGTCACCGCACTTAGCGGTTATGACATCAAAGTCATATGAAATAAGTAAACAGATCGAGTCTCCGTACCATGGGCGGAACACTGCGCAGACTAATCGTCAGCGCATCTACTATTCTCTCCAGTACGCATGAAGTGGGTAACAGGGAACCGCTGTTTACATTCTCTTCCTGAAATTACTATAATAAAGCACGAGCTGTCGGCCTTCTCCATTGATCGTATTTCCGGGCATTGTCCAATTTTAGATTGAAGATTGATAGCAGGACAACTCGTATTACACGCCGATGTCAAGTAAGTTGTCATTCTGACAAATATGCTTGAAGGGTACTCATACGAAACGACAAAGTTTTCGAGACGGAGACACACAACTGAAAAACGTATGTCTTTGAGCTTACCGAACAAATGTTCACAGACAGGGGTTGGTTGCATGTGTATGTATGAGGGAGATGGAGATATAGAGGGTGTAAACCTTATGGTAGTCATTATCGAAACGGGTAATAGGGGGGCGGGGTCAAAACAAGCCAAAAAGTTCATATGACCCATGGTCCAAAAGTCAATAGATTTTTGTCTAAATGGCTTTATAGTTTACAACTTTAAGTACTTTATATCGACCACAATCACAACAATCTTACTAATTTTTATAATCTAATCTAAAACGTTTTTAAATTGGGAAATTAACAAATAAATGGCATTGAGTTTTTCTAACTTAAGCCAAAATTTGTAGTCAGTAAGTAAGTTTCATCAAATTGAATATTTAAAACACACATGACGACAGCGCGTCGGTCATCATCACTATTTTAATGCGGCTGAAATAATAAATGGACAACTTCTAGGACCTGGAGTAAGAAGAAACTGGGTTCGTCGTAATGAAGCTTGTGTGGAAAGTGGAGAACATCTTCTTTAAATACAAAAAAAGTGCAGTGTGGGTTTTAAAAAGAAAAACAATGTATGTATCAAAATTGTGTTCCCTATTTATAAGTGGATTATTTTAATACGTTCAATAAACTTTCACACACCAGGTGAAGCGCCAAGACAGTTAGTGGTAAGTCCGTTTTTTTTAATTGTTTGCATTTTACGAGTACATTATCAAATAATGAAATAATACGTAAGAGCCAACAATAACAAACTCCATCTTTATTTACACTGCGTTCCGTCGTAATTTGCGTCTGGCATTGCGGCGTTGTCAGATTTTATTTTACTTTAAAGTTGCTTTTCTCTAAAAAAAATGCCGTTTTGACCCCCATGTTATATGAAACTTTTTGCTTCTTTTAACCCCCTCTATCACCCATTTAAATAATGACTATCATAACGTTTACACCTTGTATAAACGGATACTGGTAGTCTTACTTTGACCCACCAAGAACCATGACTACAACTATACCTACATATCTGTTGTAGATTGTCATTAATTGCAAGAAAATATGATATAAAATCTATTTTAACAAATTCGTCTTTTTGTATGAATTTGTGGAAACAAGCAATATCTAAGGAAATTCTGTTAGAAAAACTTTGTCATCAAGTAGTTGTTTGAAAGATGTTTTATAGGCAGCAACACATGGTAGGTAATTTAAATCCGTAAGTTCGCAGAAAATAAAATAATCATGATTATTAAACAATCGGCGATAGCGAGAAAAGATGGATCTTTTTAGAATTCCGACTAGATTATATGTGATTTCTTAATATTCAATAAACTTGTAACAAGCTGACACCATATTTGAGAGACGCTTTTCTTTCTGCTATCCTACTGGTGGAAAATAACGGTGTGTGATATTGACAGTCTACTACTACTGAATTCCTTATTGTGTAATTGAGCATTCGACAACCCAGCAGACAGACACTTTTGTCACATGTGAACATTTTTTCCAGTTCCAGTACAAGATGTTCATATATTATCTTTCGTATCAAATTTCATATTATGTCGTGCAGCCCTTAATTAAGCCCGCTACCCTGTCAATGTGTAATGCATGCGCTATTCATCAATTTGCAAGCGAGTTTCAAGTTGGTGCACGATGAATTTCTAACCAATTCGATGGTTGCTAGAACAATCCAAAGTAAATAAAAATTGTAAAAAATAGGCACGTGTAAGAATTTGAGATATGTCAAATAGATTGTGACACACGAAGTGTGCAAAGAATTTTTCGTGATATGCCAAATGGAATAACATATAGGATATCTCTCTTAAATTAAGGACGATCTACGAATAATATGGTGCTCACTCATATACGGATTATGATGCGATCGGGGCCTGACAGTCCAATGTCTAAATGTTAAAGTCACTACTGACACGCTGTTTTCTGACTGGAGTGCAGTCACAGCCTTCGCGTTGATCTACACAACATTTGGTTGTTACATTTTCATCTGTCAACACAGCAAGAAAATATATTGTCAAGTAGCGGGTTACAGACCAAGCACGAATAGGTCCACCTCTCTACAAACAAGTACAAACTACAAAACCTAGTCAAAAGTAACATACACAATATTATTTCTCACCTGTGGTTGAGTCGATGTGTACGACAGTATTTTGTGGTAGGGATGATGGCAATGGATTCGGTAGATCGTGTGATCCTTCTTCGTAAGGCCGGTCATCCCACGAGTAAATTTCGTTGCCTATAACCGTCTCTAGTGACCCCTACAAAATCATACAGGAAATGAATATTTTTATCAATAATACAGGATGGCCAATATATAACCGACTGATTTAAATTGCGCTCCATTTTTGATACACGCATTTCAGTAGGTGGCGCCGTAGTAGTTGTTTAAGGCACATGTGTCCAATTCATCATGGAGCGCTACACGATCCCACAACGCGCCCGTATAGTTAAAACGTTTTACTTAAATAATAAATCGATTCTTGCAACGAATCGGAAGCTACGATAAGATTTTGGTCGAAATAATGTGCCCAGTGTCAACACCATTCGTCAGTTGGTGTGGAAATTTGAAAAAACATGTGAAGTGAAGACTTGCCAGGGTCGGGCCGTGTTAGAACTGTTCGTAGGTACTCCGGAAAATATCGAGAGAGGTCGTGAAAGTGTAGTGGTTTACTGTCACTGGCGAACGGTAACGTAAACTTTCTGCCTCCTCAAATCCAACAATTTGAGATCCAAAACGTGTGGTTCCAGCAGAAAGGAGCAACTTGTCACACAGCTAGGGAAACAATGAATCTCTTGCGAACAATATTTCCGGGATGTTTAGTTTCTCGATTTGGTGATGTCAACGGGCCACCAGGGTCACAGGATTTAACGGCTCCTGACTTTTTTGATGGGGATTTTTTAAAAATAGGGTTGTGCCAACAAATCAAATAGTGTAGAGCAGCCGAAGAACAATATTACGGAAAATGCAATCAAAAGGGTTCAGGTTTGCGCGACTTCTAGATGCGGACATTTGTCTGATATTATTTTTCATACATACCTTCTAAGTTTCAATAAGAGATTAAGACGAAAAAAATGGACGTATTTTATTTCATTTCACAAATATTCAAAATACAAACCAGTCAGTTACATATCGGCCACCCTGTATATAAATCAGGAGGAATGCGGCTTGGGGTTGATGATTTCTGAACTAATAATGAGTTTTATTAAAGATAGTATGCAACAGAAATAAATATCTGCGTCTAATAACACATTCACATGCGCCCTTTTAAATTTTTCCGATACATTGAAAATCTTCAGTACCCAATCGCAGTTAGAGTATATTTATATATGTAGGTTCAATTGGCTCTGGTTTTAAAGATAGCCTAATGGTACAAATATAACAAGATTTGCCTATATTGGAACTTATTTAGCATGTCGAATTGTTTTTTTTTCAAAAAAACATAGCCAGAGTTCAAGCTACAAGTCTCGCTCTTTCGAATGCAGTTGAGTTGCTTAAATACCTTTTATTGTTGCTGAGATATGGCACGTTGAAATTTTGTTTTTTTCTGAAATTCACTCTATTTGATATTCAACACGTGTGTTTCGAAGATTAGAAACACCAGAAATCTAATAACAAGTTAATGTATGTTTATGAAATAAGACCTGCCAACTAAAACACACATGAATCTTCAACATACTAAATCCATAAAATATATAGACCAAGCCCTCAACCCACCCTACCTTAGGCCGAACTTAACGTTTTTAATTTTGTTTGACATCTTTTTTGAAATAAAAAAATGCTTTCTTATAATAAAAGCTAAACCGATCTAGATTAGAAAAATGAAAACTTCAAAGTGCCATATCTCAGCGACAGAAAAAGTTACTCAAACTCAACGGCATTTGAAATGGTCACATTTAGGGGTAGTCTATGGGGTAAAAAAATAATTCGCCACGCTGCATAACCTAAAATAATGGCAAAAATCGATAATTTTGCACTTTTGGGTTAGGATATCTTCCAAACTAGAAACAACTGAGATATTTGGATCATTAGTTCAGATTTAGCGCATTAAAAACCTTCGGGAAAATATACTCTGGATTCTGGGTAAGAGGGTCGGCTCATTTTTATTGGTCTGTGTTAGCCTAATCGCCTTCAATGGGTTTAAGATTTATTCGATATGACGCGATCTAGATAGGTCCATCGAAAGAATTGGAGCAATTATGCGTTTTGATACAGTGTGCTTTATCTATGTCAATATCTCACTCTTTAAGGATTAGAGGCAAATGAGTATTTGATGAAATTTCGAAGGCTACTGAAGTTCTACACACATTCTGGGATACTTACTGTAGTTAAGGAACTTTCATTAGTTCTTTCTATTTCGAAGATATGTGCTTTGAGTGTCGAGATGAGTTCATCTTTATGTCGCATTTCCTCCTCTAGCTTTTCAAACTTCTGATGATACTTATTCTGGATGTCTTGGAGGTGTGAGCTCATCACTTGCTTAATAGCAAAGAGAATATCAGTGAAGTATTGTTGCTCATCCTCCAGCGATCCTGTAACATACAAAGTTCTTAGAACTCCAGGTTAGTACATAATAAAGAGCTTTGGCTATCGTAAATACCGCATAAATGAACGGTAACGGGGGGGAAGGGAGATTATGACTGCTTGGGAACATAGCAATCTTGCACAGTTTACTGCTTCCAAAACTCAGTACTGTACCTAGATGAATAAGAAGAGTCCTAGTGCTCACACGGTTTTGATGGAGTCCAGATCACCGAGGACTTGATCTTGTTTAGGACTAAGAAGTACTTTTTTCCATATGAAATCCTCACTCTGTACAAAGTAGCTTTTTCCAGGGTGTCCTTAGAATGTCCACATGTTTCCAAATCTAAGCTACGCTTCACAACACAGAAATTAATGCCATCGAGTACTAAGAATTCCTGACTTCAGCTCACTCCATTCTCGGAATGACCGGGTGGAGGGTGGACTGAAGGAAACAACGTCGATGACAAAATCTGTTGCACGAACCTCTGTGGGATTAACAGCAATATTGATGCTGTTCATCACTTCCTGCAGTCTAATCGTTCCGCTCTTGGCGGAGACCAAAATCTCGGACGCTGCACCGATTAATCATCTTAGCTTCCCAATCTGAGGTAGAACGGGGGAGTTGTGGCTTTTGCATTCAAATCTGTAATAGCCGTTACTCTAAAATGAACTGAAATGACTGGGCATACGAAACTAGTTTTCAAATTCTGAGATTTCAGTGCATTGTTCGCCGGCTCTGTTCCAGTTTTGGTATCTTATTGTTATGCCCCGCATGAACCTTATGTCAACAAGAATAGGAGTACTGGCAGAAAAAAGAAACTATTTGCACCTTTATTGTGTGATTTTCGCACCAATATTTTGAGGATTTGTTCTTATTTTAAGTGGTTGTTCAACGAAAGTGATTGTTAAACATCTCTAAATTATTTTTAAGGTTTTTAATGTTTTTGTTATTGAGTAGTTCATAACTATTTTTATTAATAGATTTCGATGTTATGATTTTCCATACAGTTTTATGTTTATTTTTACAATCAGATATTAATTTATTATTATATAGTTTTTTGGCTGCTTCCAGCAATGTTCTGTAAATTTTTTTGTAGTAGTTGTAGTATTTGTTATATTCAGCGTTGATTATGGAAAAAGGAAATAAATTTTTCGGTATCTGCCCTGAATATACATGTATTATGTATATGTATCTTTATGGGGTATCATATGCAAAGGTTTGATTTGTAAGTGACTCGGGTTTTTAATGAAAGTCGGACAAGTCATTCAAGTTCAAGTTACTGGATAAACAGAGTTGGGTGCGTTGTTTAATCGAAAATCTTGTGCTACTATATATTTTCTACTTTAGGTAGCTGCTACTATTTCATTTGTACCGGGGTAGATGTTAAATGCTTCTATGCTATTGAAAACTATCAACACGATATTTATCTAGGAAATAACTGTGAAATAAATATCTGGTTAATGAAAACTCAGTAGTATAAAGCGGACAACAAAATAGGTGTAGTTGTACTCACTGTTCTTGTCGGTTACGTCATCAACGTCATATGAAATAAGTAAACAGATCGAGTCTCCATACCATGGGCGGAACTAATAAATCTAGATCGTTTTTCCGGGCATTATAAAATTTTACATGGAAGATTGATAACAGGACAACTCGAATTTAACGCCGATGTCAAGTAAGTTGTCACTCTGACAAATATGATTGGAATGCACTTAGACGTAACGATAAAGTTTTCGAGACGGAGACACACAACTGTAAAACGTATGTCTGTGAGCTTATCAAACAAACGTTCACACACAGTGGTAGGTTGCATGTGAATATATGAGGAAGATGGCGATATATAAAGCGATACTGGTAGTCTCACTTTGACCCGTAAAGAAGGGTGACGACAACTATATGTATTTATATAAACGGTATATCAATTAGAACTACTCGCTTACTGTACTATAACTGCATTACTCACCGTTGAGCTTGTTGTTCCCCTTAATATCGGGTAGGGGCTGTGTAATCTCGGTAGGAGTCGCGATGAGTCGTCCCTCGCTGATGACATTGTTGGTAGGTGGAGGATCAGGGGTGGTGCAGGTAGTAGGACATACAAAGGGGGAGCAGCTCTGGGTGTCGCCGTTGGTGCCGTTCGGGGGGCTGTGCAGTGTCTCCCTGCTGAAAGTGACACTTTTTGAAAGTTTGCTATGACGCGCCTTGTACCCTTCTATTGTCGGTGCGCGCATCAGCCTAAAGACAGAACCAAGTTAATAAGTCTGTGTTGAATTGTGATGTGGTGTTTTAGTAAAATTTGCAAGTCTACTTTTAGTATAATTTGCAAGTCAACTGATGACACATATCAATGAATGCGGCGGACCGACTACTAGAATAGTGCGTACATAACAGAAGAATAGGAAAACAAAATATATAGATTTCAATTTTTTAAGGCGCAAGATATAAGTCCAATTAAAAAAAATGTAGTTTTTATTTTTAATACGAACAGGTAATGATGTGACGTCACACAAAATGTAAACAAAGAAACGTCATCATGTGGTCACTCGTGTACTAACGGTGTCTTACTTAAGTATCCCTAAAAAACTCCTAATTATCGTAAAAGGTTATCGTTTTCTCAAATAAACGTTGGATTTATAAGAGCAGAAAGCACAAATTTACCGAAAATTGACACATTGATGGTTGGTAATTTTTTCGCCTCCAACCCAGATTTCTGCTCTACTGAGCTGGAGAACATCATGACTTCTAAGTAAATTACATCTGATATAATGATAAGGCCACCTGTCACGATACAAAATTTTGTTCTAAATTTCTTACAAAATTAAGGTTAGTGACAGACAGCATTTAGTACATCATTTTGTATCAACAAATTTAATGCTAAATTTTTTAGAACCTATTCTAAATAATATCATACTAATAGTGCGCAGACGACTATCGCGTCTTTGGAGCAGTAAAATGGCTGATATAACTTCAAACACGTTCATTAGTTGATGTTATCAATTGTGTTCATCACTTTCGCGCAACTCCCCTGCCTACGCTGTTCTACTTATAGATTGAAAACTTGCAACATGTCATTATGAAAAAAGCAGTGTGACATACTACTAAACAAGTATGAGAAATATGATTGTTTATATGCTGTTAAAAGCAAGGCCTAAGTATAAAAACAGAAACGCCAAATAAGCTGCGTTAGATAAAATCAGAATGACTTAAGGACCAATTAGGCTTATAAGCCAGTGGATCCTGCACTAGAAGTTTTTCATTCACCATATGCCCTGGTCCCTCTCCCTGATCGATTTTCGATACAAAATTCTTTTACGGTTTCGTTTACTTTTCTCATAAGGTGGGCAGCTACAACGCAGATCACTGCTGCCACAGTCGCATCCCAACTAACAATTATCACTCCTATTAGAGTTGCAAGAATGATTATACAGTATTCCTTAAACAGCATTGTATACTGTAAGAACATTAGCAAAACCCTCTTAGAACAGCTATACAAGCAGAATGGGCACACCTAATAGGACACTTCAGTCATTTAAGAGGTTGTATAAGGGCTGCAGGTAACAGTTATAAAACAAAAGTGTAAGCCTCTTACAGCCGCTATAGTCAGTGCAAGATTCAGTTTTTGTTAACTATACAACTATTCTCTTACGTGATTCTACTTTATTGCAACCAAACTATTTCCTATGTATTATATAGACGAAGTGAAGAATATATAACTAACACGTTACAGTCATCTTGTTTACTTACATATCGGTCATTGTGAATTTCATACACAGGTATATGATAAACTTCTACACTCTGATATAGGGCTATTGAATTACTTGCGCAGCAAATTTTATTATGATTATCATGCAAATTAGTTACCCAATATCTACGGGCTTCGTATTTGATTCATATTTTGACAATGATCAAAAGTATGTCTAGATTTTTAAGATGGAAAACTGAACTTATCTGCGTTAAATCTTCCACAAATCCTATATTTAGACACAATTACACTAATGTTTATCACTTTATATCTGTAATTTCGAACTGAAACATAATTATTTAATATTAAATAGAGGAATAAATGTTTACCCAATATGGCGGGTGGTTGTGTACAATCATGACATCGTCCATGTTGTCTTTAGGTTATTAGAATATTTTGGTGTTGCCTGCAGGTGTTATACAACAATTTGACAAATGTCTGAAATGAAACACCGACAGAGTCGAATGATTTACCCAGAATTTGTACCAGATCTATATCTTCTGTTTGAACAGTTGATAAAACCTTTTGAACCGATATGCATGCGTTGTTTGTCTTAAAACATTGGTTATGGCATTTTAACAAAAATAGGACAGCAGAAAGTTAGGTTATGGTGAAGTTGTTTACCAACATATTTAGCATATGTAACAGTTGTATAAGTGATTTCACAAGTCATGTTAATATGTTTAAAAATTTAGAGAGGTTATGCACATTAATAAGGGACAAACAAGGTGGACAGCGTTTTCGACTGTCTAACAAAAATATATTTTTACGGTCTTTTAGATCTGAAAAAATATAGTATTACTTTTTTGGTGTAATAGAACAAATGAGGAGCAGACTTTCTAATCGCACATTGTCCATATTTTAACATGTTTCCCTAAAGGTGTGGTTCGATTCATGGCACTGCCTACTATAAGGTTCTAAACTGAAAGGCACTATTTTCAGTAGATATTTGACTTCAAAAATATCCTAGACTAACTAAATGCCCTTTGTCCGATGGCAAGAGACAATCAAATAGTAATATAACGGACAATGTGCGATTTCTCTGTCAATGCTATCTGCAGTACAACGGTATTAGCTGTCAAAAGAGAGTGCTGTTAAGTAGTGATAGCGCAAAATATCTTTTGTGAATAAGTTAGAATATGAGCTCCAGTGTTTTGTACTTGGCTCGAGCATAAAACAGGAAATAAGATCCGTTTGACAGCACTTTATGAGAAGATCGTTACTGAATATGCTGCCAATGAAGTATAAATATCTATGAGCTGTTACCGAAGTGGTTATTTATATGTTTCCCTTTCTGAAAACAGGTTATGTTCAGAGTTATAAAATACGATTTTTTACGTTTTTTGTTTTCTCAATAACTTTGAGAAGAATTACGGGAAATCACCATCGCGCCCACGTTGTGTTTAATTACTGTTAGCATGTATATGACTTGTAATTCGACAGTGTACAGTGAATATAATTATTTCTTATCTCTCGTCTTTTATATCCAGCAAATTTGCATATCTAATTTCCAGAATGGATAAGAAAAAGGGGATGCGCAACTAATTTCTAGCTTTGAATCTCAACTAAGTGTATTTGAGACAAGAATCTAATGGAATTATCATCAACACATATTAATTAGCACACAAATTATAGGCACCTATGCATTGCCGTTTCCTTCTAGCTATAGTATACAACTTACAGCTTAGACCTCCAGGAATGCCATCTCTGAAGCAGATTTTATATCACATCAGAGCCAAGGATTGATAACTGAAGCCTCATGACGTATAACACGTAAGTATAACTACAAAACGAGTTCACAACGCACCCATTAGTGTCAAGTTAACATCTTATAGAAGAACCTACTTAATGTCACAAAAAAACCAATACAATGACAAAAAAGTCGACATAATGTCACTTTTCAAGATACGTAATACCGTGCCGCATCTGAAGTTGAAGCACATAATAAACTACTTACTTTCTAAGTTCGACAGAACTCAGCCTTTCTGGCCTAACTCTCGCCGTGTCTTTCTTATCCCCTTCGGCGTGTTCTGAAAGTTTCTTCAGTATAGACCTTAGATTCTTTCTCTCTATAGTCTCATTGGGGTCATATGACGAGTCTAACGGACTAGTTGACAGAGGAGTAGTTGGCAAGTTGTTGTTTTGATGTATGGCCGAACTTTCAGAATGAGACCTATGGAAGCAATATGTCATGACTATAGAACTTTTAAGAAAATAAATTAATATACAGAAAAAATGTGTCAACTAGATTGCCTAGACAGCATACACAAACAAAACTTATCACATACATAACTCTGTCCGAACGGAAAGAAAAGCGCAGCATACCAATAACTCAGGTTTGTGCTGCTTACTGAGGCTGGCATTTATATGAAATCATTTTTCATAAGCGAAAGATAGAATATTAGATCTATTTTATTTTCAAAACAAATCAGTCAGTTATTGCTCACTTTGTCACTGTTCTTAAGTTTAAATGTATTGGTTGATCTTTCTAGATTAATTATTTCTTACCTCGTTAATGTGTCACTGTCACTGCTCTGATTTTCTGGAATGTCTAAGGAGAAATTGCGTATTTTTATTTTGGTTTCAAGTTCCTCCAGTTTTTGCCGTTCGTTGAGAATTTTAAGTTTCTTTACAAACGGAAGAGGAGCATATTCTGGAGAGAGATCGTCTATAGACCTGCACAAACAACGAACTTTATTACTATTGTCTTGCATGAGTTGAATCTAACATGTGAGATATGTCAGTGTAATTGTTGATACTATTGTCGGAATGTAGGAACTTACATATAACAGCCGTGATGGCTGTTCATTTATATTTGTCCTATTCATTACTATTCTAGCCCCTTTTGCACATATGTGCCCTCATTTCGAATGCGGAACATCAAAATTTTAATGTATCAATCACTCAATTAATATGAGAACACATATTTCTTCGGGAGCACAACCGTATATTTATTATTTCCGCCTTTGGAAAAAAATTCCTTGTCCAATAGCTGGTAGCACCACGACCAAAGGACTTTACATAACATATATATGCACTAAGAGGGTTATTTCTTGAAATGAATAGAAAAACTGAGAGATAGTGAGCGCGGTTTCAGTCTTAATTCTGAAGAAGAAGTTAACTGTGTAATAAAACCTTTAGTGATATGAAGAACTCAGGAGAATATCAATTTGCCTAAAATTGTTTCATTCACAAACTTGTTTGACAAATATTAGCAGCTGTCAGAATTTGAGATCGTTCCTCTGGGAAGAGAACCATATCCACTTTCTCTCAGTGATTCTACTTCCTCGTTTTCAAGAATAAGTGCCTGTGATCTGGCGTTGAGAGATCAATCGGAGTTGAGTGACAGTTGTCGATAAAGATGAGTTTAACATGTTAATATTTTGAATTTTCATTTGCTACATGCAGCATCCATCTATCTGTTACACCGCGTACAGACCGAGATTTCAACGCAAACCAAGGCATATGTGGTTTCAGATTTGGAGGTGTTCGAATCGGTGTGTCCTTGATCGGTACATCAAAGGGAGGTTTGGTTTAGTCTGGACAGGATTTGTTATGCTTCTAGTATTTACTCGTTTGTCTGTAGCACCGAACTTAACCCAACGCGGTTCAACTCAAAACTAAATTTAGGTGTAGACGTCGTGTAGACGAGCGCATTCGAATACCTTCCAACAACAAACGCCAACGTCACATGTGCTTGGGTTCGTTTGCTCGGCGTTGGATTTTCAGTCTGTACACGGCGTAATTATAAGGACGACTTAATAACTCATGTCAAGTCGCATACAATAATACAATGTAAGAAAAATATTTCAAATGCAATTATCTCAAAACTACTTATTTGGACTTAATCTAGTCTGACTGTGAGGTAAAAAACTCATCGGTCCAGTTTTTTGTTCGTCGAATATGTGTTCCCTTTCACTGTCGTTTAAGAGCAATTTCAGCAACAATCTCGCCGACTCAGTAAGTAATTATTTTTCCTCCGAATTGTTTATTGTTGCTATTTTTCAAAAATTGTTTTTTAGCTCCAGACGATGATGGCATAGACCATCGAAAGCTCGACTTCAAGTTGAAAGAGTGTAATTATGCGAAACTTTGCCTTCTACCCAAAGAAATTGAAGGAGATATATATATATATATACAATACATCTATATATATAAAGAGAAAATGATCATACGCATGTTATACTCGTATAAATATATATCTATATATATATATAACAAAAAATAGCATGATCAATATATATATATCATCGAATTCAGACTAGGTAGAAGGAGCAAGCCTACAATTTTTTTGTCTCCAAACTTTCAGTCTGTAGTTAGGATGAAAGGGCATACTACAAGTGGATTTGATATAAGCGCATTTTCTATGGTTCTGTCAAGAAACTCATATTTTCAGTGTTAGTTTTTGAAAGTGCGAATACTAACAGATAATTGTGGTGTTAGATAATTTCAGGACATGATACTTCTTGAATAATTTGCAAAGAGCGGCACAAACCGGTAAATATTATGTTAATACAACATTGTCACTACAAATTGTGGTAACAAGCAATGCAATGTAAACATGTAAGCTTGGTTCTTTCTAATCTATTCGAATTCGTTAATAGATACTGGCAAGAGTTCAGTGTGGCGAAACTATTGTGGAGCCTGAAATATATTCCTGTTGTTATGCTAACAATCAACTATAATCACTCACCTATAATATTTTGTTGTTTTTCGAGTAAGCGTCAAGTTAGGTTTTCTATTAGCTATATGCGGTTCGGTGTCGGGCATATGTCCTTCGCTTCCACCAACCCCTTCTGCATTGTGGATCACTTTCGTAGTTGCAGTCTCTACACTACTCCCTTCAGATGTCGTCACCACTTCCACCTCCTTTGACACCGCCGCACGCTTCAGTTTCAACCAATGGGGCTCCATGCAACTGCTATCTGTACTACCCTCCACGGTCAATCTGCTTAGTTGTTTATCTCCACTGGAGGCTGGGGAATGTGCGGGCGTAGTAGCCAGTTCTGTCATTTTTGGCAGGGAGTCTTTTCTGCAGCTCCCCTTTCCTTTCACTCTGATTGCTACTTTTAGTCGATCTCTGAAATTTATTTATATATCTTATGGCATATTTGAGATTAGGTGTAAAAGACACACCTAGAAAACGTCGTCAATTGAACAGTTATTCTAGAAAGTTCTCATTACCCGTAATACATTTCTCAATTACTCTAAGTAACTAAATTACTCTGTTTAATCAAACTAAATTTTCTGTAACCAGTTTAAGTGACAGTAATATACTACTAAACTAATTTGCTTGCAAATAGCAAACAATGTACTTAATAAACTTAGTTTCGGTAATTTAGAAATGAAGTAGAGGTACATTTAAAACACTTAAACATTTTAATACAAACAGTTAAACTGTTTATTAGAATCGCGGATCGGCAAAGCTCGGCCTTTCTTTAGTGAATGATCGGGAGTACGCAACAGACGCAGTGCAGTGACGCGCTTTGAACTCCTGGGTTTCATTTGTGATTTTCGCAAGGAACTTCATATTCGAATGTTGCCGTTGTTGGTGTATTAGCTGTGAAGTGGATCAATTATGGTAATCAAGTGAAATACTCAAGTATAATCCGCTTAGTGACTCATAACCATAGTTAGAATATTTCTCGCTCCAAATGAACATTGTGTATAGGGGAGTCGCTGCTGAAGTGACGGAATGAGAATAACTTGAAATTTTATTTCTGCAGCCATATCTAGGTCAAAGGAGAACATTTTTATATTGTATAATGTATATAAAGTAAATTGACTGCTGGACCTGATCAAATCCCATCTTTTATTGTTAGAGATTGTATCAGGAAATTAGTTCATCCTTTACGGGTTATCTTCAATTTAATCCTAACAATGACTGTTTTCCCCGATAAATGGAAAATTGCCAAAGTTTGCCTAATTTCAAAGTCAAAAAATTATCACTGTATCAGTGAATATAGGGCTATATCTATACTCAATAATTTTGCAAAACGCTTGGAGATCGTACTGTACAACCGCATATACCTGTCCACTAAAAATAATATTTCCATCGATCAACATGGTTTTATAAGGCAGCGTTCAACATTAACAAACTTAATGGTATTTAGCCAATACTTGTGCGATAGATTAGACAATAGAGGACAGGTAGATGTGGTGTACACCGATTTCTCCAAGGCCTTCGATAGGGTCAGCCACAATATTTTGCTCCGAAAGCTTGAGTACCTGGGCTTCAACAACATATACTGTTATATACTGTTTGAAAGGAAACACTATGTTTTTTATAATGGCTACATATCACATGTTTATGTCTCAACCAGTGTCGTACCACAGGGTTCGAATTTAGGACCACTGTTGTTCATATTGTTTGTGAATGATCTGTGTGAATCTTTGGCTTGTTCTAAGTTAATGTTCGCAGACGACCTAAAATTTTATTCTTCCGTTTCATGCTTGGAGGACTGTGCATTTGTTCAAGGTCAAATAAATAAATTGCAAAGTTGGTGTGCCAAGAATCAACTTCATCTTAATATAAGGAAGTGTGAAGTAGTAACTTTTTCAAGGAAAACCAACCCCTTGGTATATAATTATACAATGATCGAACATGTTCTTGAGCGCAGTGAAACTGTGAAAGACTTAGGTATCTACTTTGATCAACATCTAACCTTTAATGAGCATATCAATCAAATCATTTCAAGCGCTTATCGAACCTATGGCTTCGTTATCAGGAATTGTAAATCTTTTGACGTTTTGACTTTGCAGACATTATACTTTAGCTTGGTTAGGTCTAAGCTTGAATATGGATCTTTGATATGGAGTCCGATTTACAAGCAGTATATTGATGTTGTTGATAAACTTCAAAAGAAATTTTTAAAATTTTCATGTTTTAAGATCGATGGCATATATCCTACTAGGGGTACAGAATACGTCCTTCTTCATAAATTTGGCATTCAATCCTTAGAACAAGGGCGTAAGCAATCAGCAGTTATAGTTTTATATAAGTTACTGCATAATCTAATAGACTGCCCTACAATACTTTCACAAATACAGTTTCTGGTACCACGACTAACATCAAGCTATAATGTTTCTTTTTTGTGTCAATGATCTCAAACAAACTTATTATCGAAAGCGCCTGTCAACATGATGTGTGTGAATGCGAATAAAATAGCCGATGTATGTGACATATTCTTAAGTAGCATATGTGAATTGAAGTGCAAATTGCGTGCTCACTCTTGATTTATCTTACGTTTCTTATTTTTAAGCTGTAGCTATATTTATTTTTTGTTATTGATACATGAACTTGTAATTATTATTGTTTTTTTTCTTCACAAGCTACCTCATGGTGATTTTTTTTTATAGTAGTTTGCTGTGTAAATGGTGTTAAAGTGTTGGGCAATAAACGCTTATTATTATTATAAACGCTCATTATTATATTGGAACTGGAGCCTTTTGATTGTGTACATTTTGTACTATTGGAAAATATCCTAGTTTGTTCGAAGTGGGCCTAACGAAAATGTCGCACCCCTATTTGTAACTCTCTTGGTACATTTTTGGGGAAAACGCTTACACAAGTCAATTTTGATTTATAGAGAGAATTATTTTCATCTATAGTCATACAATACAGGGTGATCCGAAAATAAGATAGTTCGTTATACTTATACTAGATTTTTAAATGGAAACCCTCTTTTTTAATTTTTAGATTCTCCATGAAGATTTTAGTAACTTTTGTATAATAAAGTTTATACCTATATTCAATCGTTGCGAAGCTATTTGAGTTTATAATAAAATTCAAGAAATTGTGATAATAAGGGGTTATATCGTAAAAATAATAATCAATATAGTTCCCATAGTAACAAGAATTTACTTTAAAATTAAAAACACGTCTCCGAGTATAAAAAAAACAACTTACAGTTTATACGCACGTTAGAGTTAAAGTGAAAATTAATTTGCTATAAAAATACTGAAAGTAGGGTCCATTTACCTCTTTGCAATAATAAAGATTTTGTTCGAATCTATTTCTCATATTTTTAAACTTGTCTAGAGTTATTTGTCTACATTCAGCCTTAATCCGCTGAAGAAGATCTTGAATGGAATCTGGATTCGAACTAAAAACTTTACTTTTTTCGATTACCCCAAAAGAACGTAATCTAAAGGAGGTCCGGAGATCTCGGCGACCACTCGATGAGGCCTGGTCTGCCGGTCCACTGCTTCGGGGCATAGGTGTCGTACTGGAGCCACATAGTGCAGCGGCGCACCATCTTGTGGAAATTGATGTAATTTTCATAATAATTAACGGTGATTCGTGACTCTATAGTATTTTCCATTTGTCCAAGTAGGTACGTCTCGCCCGCCAAGTTTCCAGGAATGAAGAAAGGTCCTATAATATGATTTCCGAAAATGCCGGCCACACATTTATTTTTGGAGGATATTGCGAGTGTACCTCTCGAAACAAATGTAGATTCGAGTCACTCCAATATCGACAATTATGTCTATTTAATGTAAATAGAACGTATACTTATCCGAGAAACAAATATTAAATAGCAGATTTGCATTGTTGACCAAACGTTGGGACATTGGTTCGCAAAACTCTATCAAAATCGGTCTTCATTAAGCCCATGGACAAGTTTTATCTTGTACGGGTGAAATTTGTTGTCTTTCGAAATTCTTTGCACTGTTAAGCTTGTAAATTCTGAACAAGTATCCAGTAAAATAGTGCTTTGGGTCTTGTCAAGTGCTACGTGTCCCAAAACTGCAATTTCTGCGGCTTCATTTCTAACTGGTCGATTTTCTCGATGGCAATTACGGCGAATATTAGACACAGATCCAGTTTCTTCAAATTTTTTTATTTATTTAGACACATACTTATCGTTAATATTTTTGTCTGGATGTAACGCATTAAACAACCGCCAGTAGCTCCTGCAATGCTCCCATTTTGGTAGTACAGTTTTGTAATTGCTATTCCTTAATATTTATCACAACTAAACTGAATCCAAATTCAAGATGAGATGTAAATAATAACAGTTAGCGCGTGATCTCTCGGTAACAGGTGGGGACAACGCCTCTTATTGGTCAATTCGCCATTAAATTTCAAGCGGTCGCCTGGCGAAATAATGCGCGGGGCAGGGGCAGGGCAGGCAGAGTTGCACTCAGGCCACCGTCCGTCGCGTGTATCACTGCGTGATCGTGTTTTCGTATTCACCTTGCTTGGTTGTTGCTGTTGTTGTTGTTGTTAAGTATATTTGAGTAATTTGTTAAGTTTCTGTTTCTGTTAAATACTGTCATCTTTGTTTTACAACACGTTGGTGGTAGTTCATCATTCGGAGGTAGCCCTGAATGCGGCCCTGTACGCCGTCCTTGCTTTTGGCAATCACGCATCCATTCTATCTTGGGTGTAAATACACTATAGGTAGGTAACTTAATGGTAGAATAAGGGTGATGGTGTGATGTTGATAGGGTCAGAAACTTTTCCCTATTTCTGTAAGTTGTCAGCACATTACTATTGTTTGTGCGTATTCTTCATCGTGAGCTGTTCTCGCAGCGGATTCTCCAGGCGTTCGTTAGCGTGAAAGATTTCTGTTGTAAGAAACTGGTTTTAGTAGGAGATGGTGTCTAGAGCGCAGCCTACTCTTCTCGTTTGTAATTATAGACGGGTAGATGTTGGTTGTCTTGAATTTTTCTGTTTTCTCCGAGAATGCAAGATTTCTTCGCTGTTCCTTAGACTGAGACGCCAAAAGGATGGTCTTGATCTGATTGTAATCGGAATCATTCGCATTGTCTGGTTTAATTGATTGCCAACTATTATCGTGTGTTTAATAATTTTAGGCCAAACCGGAGAGGCATCGTCAGTTGCTGAATACACAAATCGGAGGGCATCCGAGTTCAGAGGCTGAGGAACCCCGCAGTGGTCGATTCAATTTTATCCGATAGCCTTTTTTGAGATACTAATTTTTGTTAGCATACATTACATATTTTGTACTGTTTTATTTAAAAGGTAATACAAAAACGTTAAGACGGGTTCGATTTATTTACGTATTGTTTATGGTGTTCATTAAACTATTAAGCTATCGGCCATGTGGTAGTATTGATATATGTATATAATGTAACATCGTATATTCGTAGACTTGACTTACATACCTTAAATGAACTTTATTAACTAATTTTGAAGGAATAGCGACTTTTGAGCTGAGCACCGATAAATGCTCTTTGACATCTACTTTCCCACGTTGTTCATTTGTACCACCTTCAATTCGTTCCCTTGAAAAGCTCTTCCCTAAATTCGTTGCATTTATTGCTGACGACGTTGATTCTTGTATACTAGCGGAACCTGAAAGACATGCCTTAGGTCAAATTCCAGTACGAGGGATGTCTTAAGTTTTGCATATAGAAACATAGTAGGCCACGCGGATGGAACGTCAGTACTGAATCTTAACCTCACTCTTCAGTGAACTTAAATTCAAAGTTTCACAACAATACGTGCAGTGTTCTCACTATAGTGAATTTTTAAGTGTCACCAAGTCATTAGAAAAATGGAACTCGACCGAGAACATTTTCGCGCCATAATTTATTACAACTTTCAGAGACAATTATCGCAACAAGAATGCCTTGCTGAGTTACTGTCTGTTTTCGGCAACGAAGTGTCACATCAGTCGACAATTTCCCTTTGGTATGGAGAATTCAAACGTGGACGGGTGAGTCTTAGCGACGATCCCAGGGTGGCTGCACCAAAAATGGCAGTCACCCAGGAAAACGTCGATGCTGTGCGCAAACTCATCATTGAAGATATACATGTGACATATCGCGAGATTGAGGCGTCCTTGAAGATCTCAAAGACCTCAATTCAAAAAATTTTACATGAAGAATTAGGAGTAAGAAAATTAGTTTCTCGTTGACTGAAGAGCAGAAAGCAGCTAGGGTTAATTGGTGTCAAAAAACGCTTGACCGTTTCAATTCCGGAAACTCAAAAAATGTGTACAGCATTGTTAGTGGTGATGAATCGTGGATTTACTGTTATGAACCAGAAAATAAACGACAGTCGGCTGTTTGGGTGTTCCAAGGTGAAGAAAAGCCAACAAAAGTCATCCGTTCTCGAAGTGTTTCGAAAAAGATGGTCGCGACATTTGTGTCAAAAGCGGGTCATATTGCAACAATTCCTCTTAATGAGCAAAGAACTGTTACTGCGGATTGGTAAAACAGACTGCGTGGTCAAAGGTTCCAGTCAGCAGAAGAAGCAGTTGACGCATTCAAAATTGTAGTTTTGGATTTGCCAGCAAACGAGTGGAATAAGTGCTTCGAAAATTGGTTCGAGCGTATGCAGATGTGTATTAATCTTCGTGGAGAATACTTCGAAAAACAGTAAAGTCATTTAAAACTACCTACCGTGTTGTTTTATTTCCATATGCAAAACTTAAAAGACCCCCGTATCATACTTTGTGCGATATGAAGTGATCAGCTGGAGCAGATAAATTGTGTGGTCGTAACAACATGATGACAAAAATACAGTAAGAAATAGAAACGATGACGAAATTAGTTACTGGTATCATATGTCTAACCCAACTCAGATTATCTGTGAAATCTACGGTTTTATACCATTATTGTTTTCGATACGTCAAAATCTACGCCTTACGCCATTATCCCTATTTTGGAGCAATGGGATTGTTCTTCATCCCTTTGAAAACTACGTAAGGAGAAATAATCCATGACGCTATAATTTTAGAAGAGCTCCACAGCTTAGGGTGGCTACGCGTAAGGGCATGAAAAAATGGTTGTTATTAACGTATTTCCAGAAGGTGCTTCCTGCGATATGAGTTATTCATTATAGTAATTTTCAATTTTTTAGAAACCCGTCAAACTTTAGGGTCGCAAATTAGCTATTTTAATTATCATGAAACACTTTACCAGCGCAACTACTGAAAGAGATGTTATCTGTATTGGAAATATTTATGAATCCATGTTCATGAAATCCTTCAATATCGGAAATTCCACTTTTAGCAAACTTCAAATACTTTTTAAACCGTCAAAATCCCCGGCACATTCCCGGAATTCCTTCGATAGGGAACTATCGAATATCTTCAGGCAAACAGGTGGCGCCAGCGTCTAACGAATGTTAACGATGTCACCATCGTCCACTTCTTCAGTGTTCTCAGCTGTGAACCTACCCTTTTTTAGCGTAACTCCACTAAATAGCTGTCCGGTGATGCTCTTCGTCCTTTCTCCCACTTCCATCCTGGATGGCCCTGATGCCCCAACCTTATTTTTTTCCTTCAAAAAAAGGATACGTTGAAGTAGCGGCAGATCAGTGGCGGTTTCAGTAGTGTTAGATGGCGCAGCCTCATTACTGACTGGAGTCGCAGAACATACAGTTGTAGGAGATATACTCTTGACTCGTTCTTCCATCTCTTGTTTTTCTCTTAGCAGCCTGCAATCAAGTACCAGACTGATGATAGGCATATAATAACGTGAGAGTAAGCAAAATCCAAACACTTGCTCTCCGAGGTACATTAGGCTGTTGTGATTTTCATATGACGTCCCCAAATTCTGGGACTATGAGTGGTCCAAAAGTCATAGATGAAACGGAAGGCGGTGACTGGAGTAGGATGTCAACGCCAATCAGAAAAACCATACTATGTGATATGTCCTTATCCGATTTTTAAGATTTTCATTTTGAAGATTTTATAGAGAATCGACACTCTTGAGATTTTAATCTTTTTTCTGAAATTTTGTTTTCTTGTTCCATCAGCGTGTGCCCAAAAAACGGGCTAATGAAAAATGTCACGATAATCAGTTACAAGTGGACACTCGCCGCTAACATGTTACGTTACAATGTTAATTGCAGGTCGTCACGACTTAACCCTTAGTGACGAACTATAGTTTGCGTATGCCCCAAAATAGCCGACGTAATGTTATTATTACTCGTATTATGACCAAATTTCAAATTAGAAGGTAATAAGCTAGGCTAGATCTTATTCAGCCATCTAAAATACTGCGTTGAAATTTTTTCCGGCAAACCCATTAAAAAGGTGACCATTTCAAGATGACAAGGACAAGCTAGGTCATCAAGTACTGTGGTTCATATTAACATGGACATAATATTTGAAGCATACCAGCAGAAAAAGGTCATAAAAGGTACTTATTACAAGAATCGACTGTATTGAAGATTCATATGACCCTTTGAATAAAGAAAACCCTGAACTGAGGAAAATCATATTCATCCAAAAAAATGCTTGAGAATTACATTATAAGACTACTCAGAAAATGAACGGCTACAGAAGCATTATAATTTGCTAGCAGAATATTAGAAAAGGATACCATCCTGGATTCCCTTGAAAGGATTGAAAACTAAATGAAGGAAATATATAACATCTGTTGGACAAGCCTAAAAAAATTTAGAATTTGAGGAAAATTCCGAATGGAAAGGAATCTCATGACTCAATAAAATATTTCTGATCCACAGATCAACAACAATCCACAACACTAACAAATAAATCTATTTACATCAATAAATTGGAATCGAGAGGAAATCAAAATAATCAACGTTCCACGTATACTTTATCTGAAGTCACTTGAAATAGCATAAAAACCTTTGGTCGGCGCGTCCTTTGTAATTTCATGACGTATCAGGCGTGCGGTCATTTATTTAGAACGATAATAATAATGTTTTTATATCACAATAAATGGATTTTACTATCTTCTTATTTTTTTGATTTGGGATAAAAAATACTTATATTGGGAGTTTAATTTATGTTGACTGAAAGTTAAGAAATGGAAAAATTATAGAATTCCAACGTTTGACATAGGCAAATATTTACATAGCAGGTAGGTATATAAAAAGGTATATAAAGACTTACATTATAGGTATTTATATATCATCCTCGCCTTCGGAGCTGTCGCTAGAGTCATCTTGTAGAGGAATTACAACGGGATTTACAGGAGGCAAAACACAATATTCATTTTCTTTTTCAATAATATGCCTAGAACACTGCTTCCATAGGTCTGTGGCAGCAATATGAGATACTGCATCTCTTATTGTGGCCAATAGCGATTCACTTAATTGAGGGGTCTGATTATGTTTTCTTACTTTTTTTTTTAAAGCAGCCCAGACCAACTCAATCGGGTTAAAAATGCAGTAATAGGGAGGTAGACGTAATACTTCATGGCCATTTTGCTGAAGCAGACTGTCAACAACATACTCTTTTTCAAATTTTTGTCTTTTAATAAGATCCAATAATATGGCTTTGGTTGATTTTTGTGGTATTTCCATTCCCTTATCCTTCATAAAATCAATAATGTCTTGTTTTTTTGTGCCTGTATTCGGAATTTTGTTTTTCTGTCGGGAATGGTATGGCGCATTGTCCATAATAATCACTGAATTTGGGGAAATGTTTGGTAATGACTGCTGCTCTATCCACTTTTCAAATAAGTCGGAAGTCATGTCCTCATGATAGTCGGCACATGATTCTTTGATATTTTTGGCATTAGGTATAAATCCATTTTCACTGCCAGCATGGAGAATAATGATTCGTTTTCCACGGTTGCATGGTGCATTTAAAATGCACTTGTTGCTGTCGTCAATCCAGCCGTACTGCACAACATCATGGGTATCATACCACGTTTCATCCAGGTAAATCAGATTTCTTTTCTGCTCTCTATAGATTTTAACTTTGTGCAAAAATTCTTGGCACAATTCAACGATTCGAGACGACTCCATAATCACCATTCTTTTATCTAATTTTTTGTATTGAAAACCACACAGTTTTACAATACAGTGCAGTAAGTCTAAGCACTTGTAATTATAAAAATCTTCAGGATAATCTTTTAATTTATCCCGTATCATTTCCAACGTGGGCACCAAATTTTCTTTATAAAATCCGTATATTATACGACGAATATCTTCCTGAAAACCCACGTCTATTCTTTTTAATTTTTGCCCTATGCGCTTCCTGTGGAAGGAATGGTTGACTACATCTCCCCTTTTTATAACCCGATAAATGGTAGACCGACTGATTTTTGTCAGGATACAAATTCTGTTTAAAATTTGATTTTGCGAGGAATCTGGATTTTCGTTTTTCAGACAATCATACATATTTAGGATTACTCTTTGGGTCTGTTCCTCCTTATGGAAGAATTCTGCCTGCACAGGTTCATCAACCATCTCCTCGTGGCTTGGAGCATTTTCCCAAGGTCTCCAAAGAGCCATATTTAGGACACACAAGAACAATCAACACAACAATTAAATCAACAAGTAAACTGAGTATTCAAAAGTCAAAAACACAAACTAATAAAATCTATGAAAAAACACGGACAGACTAAAGAAAACACGTTTACTCACCGCTACACGGCACTGGCTAAACTGTTTCAATTTTCAGTAGCCACCTGCACTTGTTCGGAGCTCTGAAATACACGCTTTCTCATTGGCTATGTCCACGCATAGGCGTGCTTTACTGCACGTGGACCGGTGAAACTGCCTTTGATCTTATACGGGGGATATTTGCTGCGAAATTTGGCGTTTTTTGCAGCAACAGAGCGTGTTAAATATAGATATATAAAACGCACCCGGTATTTCACAGTGTTTCAAGTGACTTCAGATAAAGTATACTTCGATAAACTAAAGCAAAATATTTCATGCTAAGTAACAAATGATGAACAAACCAGCCTTAAACTAACGAAGATTTCACCTTGCTCCAACAAAAAAGGAAAAGAAAAATTAAAATCGGTACAGTGACTCAAGTTATAACATTCGACGGACCCGCTTAATCAAATATACAAAGTACTGTGGCATTTTTGAAGAAAATTAAGCATAATGTTATTGAACAGACTATCTCAAGCTTCCTAGAGAAAAAAATGATGAATCCTGAAAATGTCCGTATTAAGAAAGAAGCATTTTACAAGAACAAAGATTACAATTGTATTATTATTATATTTTAGAGATAGCATTGCAACATCCATATAAACTACAATTGTTAAAGCTTCTCCCATGTGAAACTACAAAACGATCTCAACAAATTCAAAACAGCTAAATAAATAATTCACAGTCAAGCTTCAGTTGGTGTGTTATTAAATATTTTGCAATGAAAGGTTTGATTCAAATATGCCATCGAAGTATGTAATCCGTGAACAGAATATGATTAGAAATCTCGTATCGCAAAGAAGTTGTTCAACACCCTATCCGTCTATGTGCAACTTTAAATACAATTTCCATGAAAAGCTGTTTTCTATAGTTGCAGTCAACGTTCTTGATGGTTACGTCATCAACACCATATGAAATAAGTGAACAGATGGAGTCTGCGTTCCATGGGCGGATCTTAATCTTCAGCGCATCTGCTATCTATCCAGTACGCATGAAGTGGGTAACAGGGGACCGCTGTTTTCATTCTCTTCCTGGAAATACTCTAATAAGTTTAGTACGAGCTGTCGGCCTTCTCCATTGATCATATTTTCGGGCATTGTAAAGTAAGTTGTCACTCTGACAAATATGATTGAAGGGCACTCATACGTAACCATAAAGTTTTCGAGACGGAGACACACAACTAAAAAACGTATGTACTGAGCTTACCAAACATGTGCATGTATGAGGGAGATGGAGGTATATAAAGGGATACTGGCAGTCTTACTTTGACCCGCCAAGAACGGTGACTACAACTATAGTAGATAACTTAGTTTAGGTACTTTATCTGTTCTACGTGAGTCAATCCTGTGTTGATGAAAAATCTTGCTGAGTGATCTCTGAGATGAACATTCAATGAGAGAAGTTCAGCTCATATCAAAAAGAAAAGCTATTTTCGTGAAATTTAATGTCATCTTTGTATTTCCGGATGGGTTGTCTATATATTTATGATCAAACTTGTTAGTTCTTCAAAAGTGTGAGCTAGCCAATACTAACTTTAATCTCTGTAGAAGTGGAAGTCCCGCTCCAATAGGTGAAGTCACTGGTTGAGTGGATTCACCCGCGTCCTTTGTATTTACATGATCGTCACTATTTCCATGCGATTTTATCCTTAACATCTCCCTGAAAGTAGCTTTTTCTTGTTGGCCTGTACTGGTTGTATGTCGAGGCTGAAGCTGTGGTGACTCTTGTGATCTTCGACTCTGTTTTGTTTTCTTCAGTACATTTCGGAGACCCTGAGGGTTAAAAGATGAAACATGAAATGCACGGTAAATCCAAAGTACTTATATAACACTTATTCTAAACACTAATGGCAACAAAATACAAATATTGGTCCACTAAAAAAAATCTTACGTCAGTGAACCAGACACAAGGAATTAGGGCCATCAAAATAGTTGTATATATTATAATTTTAACTTTTCCCGTGATCGCAATGTTACCTTGTCTCTTGTATAGTAGAACAAAACCCAGGGTAATAATTTGTTTGTTTTTAACTAAACTATGTATTGCCGGTCTTAGAAAGGCGTATAAAAAGCAGAAAGAAATCGATGACCAAAAAAATGTAAGATTTGTTAATGAATCTGCCTCAATCCATCATTCGTCTTCTAGGTTCAAGCCCTAAAGACATACTAACCTTGGCCTCATTCCTGATCCTATCCACAAGTCCTAACCCGTCCTGTATATGATGCATATGGTGATGGTGCGTTTTATGTGGAGGATGCCTCGCTGATGCTTTCACCTCCATCAATCTCTTCCTTCCCAAGGCATGCAGGATCTCTTGAGCTTCAGGATAGTCCTTCATGGCGGTCAAAACATCTTCCCGAGATAGTGAGAATAGTTCCGAATACCCTACGGAACGGACGTCAGCTGTTCGTCTACAAAGGTGTACCACGTTGTTTGTAAGACTACTGTATCAAATTTTTGAGTTTTGTATCATAGGCCAACGCTCAGAAATTGAATTATTTAGAGTAATAATCAATAGAAAGGATTTGTAAATCTTTACTGCTTCCTGAGCTAGGCTTTGTTGTTATCATGGCCGTCTAAGTAGACCAGGGTGAATGTGCACCATAAGTTTTTAAAAGATCTCGGAATACTATACAAATTAACAAAAAGTCATACACATCTTGCTTATTATATATCTATACAGAGAAAATGATCATGCGGAGAAAGGTATATAACCCTCTCCATCTTCGTTTCCTCAGGTTACACCCGTATCCGGATGTGTGGCCATGTGTATCTACTTTGGTAGTTTCATATGTGCATTCATTTCGGGCCTGATGAAGGCAACCAGCAGAAATACGTATCGCTCGGGTTACCTATCCTATTTTCTGCTCGAATCCACTTTCCTCCTTTTTGCGGATTTTGCCCATTATTTTCCTACTTTTTGTTATATATATATATATATATATATATATATATGTATATTTATATATTATATAAGAATAAAAATAAATAAAATAAATGAACACGAGCAAAGTTGTATGAGAATTCCTGCGAAAATCTCATTGGAGATAGCTTCCCGATATTTTCAAATATGTTTTAAATTTCGACAAACAAGACACAACAAAAGTGTCCACGTGCCAAAGTTTTGCCTTGTTGCTAATACGGTACATGATTCGCAGTAGTTATTAAACATTTATTTACACTTTTCTACCACACATATATACAGGGTTGCCCATCTGCTGTGTATTGGTCCTAGGCACAAATATTTTAGGAACGCTATTCAGGATTATCCTGTGCCATTTTTGTAGGATGGACTTTTTTATACCGAAGCAACCACATGGGCAGAAGTCTAAATACCAGAGCACCGGCGACTGCCATGAGGAGCTTAAAGAAACTTTGTGGTCTGATTTTTTAACTGTATAAGGTTAGTAGAACTGGGAAAAGCCTCCTCAGATAGATTGTTCCACAATCTTGATACCTTAGAAACAGAGGAGCTGACGTATCGGCCAGTTCTGGATGTACGAAGTTCGACACGGTTGGATAGGAGGGCGAAGTCAGGCGGGCAGCAAATAATTTTGGGGGATGGTCTGGAGTTTAGCCGAAGCCACAGAATGCCCTTCCGTCCATACTTATTTGGCATTTTAATCGTTGTGCTGGTACATTTTGAAACAATACAGTATTTATAAAAACTTTTTTTCTGTAATTTCGCTAATAATAACAGTAGGTTGCTATTACGTGTCGTCGCTGTACCTGTATGCGTGTTGCATATCCATCTGGCTAGCCGCTATACTAGCTAAGGATTTCTGACGACACACGTCGTCTACAGACGGCACGAAAATATTTCTGCGGGACGCAACTTTGAAAGTTTGTAACTTTTTTATTTTTATAGATAAATCGATATTTTTCACAATTTCGATTCATTTCACTTAAATTTTCATTCGAATTAATAAAAAATGGTAAACTTCTCCATTATTCTGATCACTCGGTTTTAATTATTTAAGAACTCACTTGTTAAGCCCATCAAGGTTAAGGATCCCGATTTCGCCGAAAAAGTCTCCTGCCTTCATCGTTGTTAGTACTTTGCCATGCTCGCTTAACACCTCTAGTATCCCGTCAGCAATGATGAACATTTCTCTGGCGACTTCACCTTTTCTGCATATAGAGTCTCCTGGAGTGAAGATATATGCCTTCATTTTCAAGACCAAGTCCCGCAGAAACTCTGGTTGGCACTCTTGGAAAATAGTAACCTGGAAGCAAGTTACGTGCCTTATATTGATAACTGCTGCACTTGAAAACAAAATGTAGTAGTTAAAGTACTGAGAATAGTCGACTCCAATCCTAAGAGCACCTATTTGTAGGTGCAACCTCTTAATCTTAGAGAGCCCTACCCGTTATCGGATATTAAACATAATGTTGGCTATGATTATTTTATTTACTGCAGCTACAAGTGTGATCTTGTCATCTCTGACCATACTGCTGTCCTGAATTCTTTAGTCATAATATTCTTCTTCTTCCGGGATCACGTTTTTTCTCCTATTATACTCTGAATAATAAGATGTAATGGACTATCTGTGCCACAGCATTACAACTGCATAGTACGATAATTTTCGGTCTAAAATGGTTCGCACTAAGAAAAGACATGGCAACCTTGTGGTGTCGGCCTACAAAGGAGGAGCTCTGGGATGGGCCAATCAGACTGTTAATCGTACTTGCTCTTGTACTATTTGTAGGTATTTTTTGCGTTGTATATATTTCTTATTATTATTCATTATACTTTTTGACATGATAGATTATACTTCTGTTTGAACACCTGAGTTGTTACTTCTTAAAAATCGCAACATCCCAACGAACAAATACTTATATCAACCATCATTCAAACATTGACGTGGCTGGTATATCCAAACAAACACCTTGGAGAGACTGTAAATCTTTTGGGCGCAGCAAGGCCTATACCCAGTTCGCATGTAACACCCCTATACCTATGACAGATTTCCATGAAACACCAACATCGCGCGGCGTTATCATTAACAAATTATTATGTTTGCTGAAGTGAATATAAAGTTTTGCCCATTGAGAGGATCATCTCTTTCAAGTTGCCACACTTTACCGAAAAAAGTGCAGTTGTAAATGATCATGAACGACCATCTTCCTATCCGCATTTTTCTACAATCCTGAATAGGACGGTAGTGTTACTTATGAAATAGTAGGCTCATTGAGATATGGTTTATTTAAACGATCATAAAGGAAACGGTCACTATTGGTGTATGAATGATCTTTCACAGCTAGTTTCCCATCAAATAAGCTAAAGGGAACATAGGAAGTATGGCTGTTTGTTACCTTTTTTGACCAAGACCTTACTCGATATCCACCAAAGGAACGATTGTAACTATGTATTAACAACAACACCTACTAAGAAGTTACGAACCGATAGACATGATTGAGAAACAAAATTTGTTTTAAATCAAGGTAAATATGTTTCTAAACAATTTATTACCGGAAGAGAAGCAGATTTGAAATTATTCTATGCCAGATATATGAAAGACGTAACTCATATAATTTCTTTAACATCGGAAGAGCAGAACTAATTTGATATGGCAATATTTGTGAGAAACTATTTTCTAGAGGAGATGTAAAAAAGTGGAGGGGATGTAAAGTGAGATTTGGTGCTGCGGATTCTAATTTAAATATAAAGCTACCAAACTTCAAACAGCATCTTTCCACGGAGATATGATAGATGTTGCAGCACAAAACAAAGAAAATATTTTATCCTCAAAAACATATACATGCACAATTATCTCGATAAGAGCAATATGAAGAAAGGAAGTTCATACAAATGAGATTTAGTGACAGTTGCCGCTTCTTACCGGAATCCTTACAAGCTTTATCAACTTTATAGCTTGCTGATAAGGATTTTATTGAGACTAGAAAGTATTTCACAGTTCCAAGAATGTTTAATTCGATTTGACGGAATTGTGGGTTTGCATACTGTTACGTCGATGTAAAAAAATTTGGAGTAGGAATGTCTGTCTTCTAAATGCAAATTTTATGATAATTTAAATGATAAGGATATATCTAAAGCAAAGTACTAACGAGCAAAAGCTATTTGTACAAATTTGTCTGTAAGAGTCTATGTGAATACTCAGACATTCGTTTGCGGACATATGCGCTTGAGGTATAAGCCCATTTGAATCAGAAAATGTATAAGAATATGGTGAATAGGGGTACGTTTTAGAAGTTCATGTGCGGTAACCCGAAGGCTTACACGATTCCCATAGCAACCTTCCATTTTTGGTAGAAAGTATGATCCCGCCTAAAGCCAAAACGAAAATTTATAAGCTAATACCAAAGTTCTATGTTAAAGAAAAGTATATCGTGCATTATCGAGTGCTTCATACAGCATTGAGGAATAAAACAATAAATAAATTTGAGGGATACTTTTATAACTTACTTTGTAGTGCCATTTTTGGGGAGATAATGGAAAATGTGGAGATATAAAGAGATATAAAATGAATGACCCGAAGAATACCAACGAGTAAAAGCTTTTTAGACGTTTGCCTGTAAAAATATAGGTAAATATTTAGACGTTTATTTGCGGACAGATTTACAACTACAATGTGATGTTTTGAGTAGTTGAGGAAAAATAGTTTCATTATTTATAAACTTGATCTGGCGCACTATTATCCCAGACCAGGGTAATTCTGGAATGCAATGCCAACATTTTCAAAAGTTGAGCTTTTAACTGATATTGATATGATACATTTTTTCAACAATGGGATCCGCGAGGGCATATTTCAGTGTACTGGCAGAATCAATGTAGTAATCAATAAATATTTATTAAACTACAGTCGATCGAAGGAGTCTACGTTCTTATCATATTTCGATGGCTCAAATCTGTATGGCTATGCAATGTCATCGCAATTTCAAATGGTTGAATGAATTTTTTTTTATTTTATTTTGAAGGTAGTAATAAGCATTGACATTTATGGTTAAGTATAAATGGCCATTGGCCAGACTTCGCCATTTGTAAGGATACATAATTATGTATGTGTTACAATAAAGTCCATTGAATTGAATTGAATTGAATTGAAAAACAGAGGTTGGGAAATGAGAAAGGATATTTGAAAGACGGTTATGTTTTATAGGTCGATGTGTGCTATGACTAATGACAAACATATATGATAAAGAACAGTACATTGTGCATGATCGCGTGCTCCAACATTTATAAGTAACAAACTGACAGGAACCTCAAATTCAAGCAATCTTTGTAGTTGAAAGAATATATTGATCTAAAAGCAGCAATGGGAAATAAGGCAAAAAATAAAAGGTGAACTTTTATAAGTTGCTTAATTATGTCATTTTTGGAAAAATATTGGAAGATGTAGAAATAGAATAGAAATCAGCGCGTCGAAAGTATCACACACCAAATGTAAAGAATTTGAACATTCTTGAAATAAAATAAAATTTCTTACAGTAATAGCTTATGTTGTGCTGATCAAATACTTAAATGGACCCAAAGCCTAGACATGCTTTCTATCCGAGATTCAGGGTATTACAGATTGGTGCCTTAGCCTCTCTGGGTACCCCGGACAAACATGCTCATTTTGGTAACTAAGGAATTCGATCTGACTTATGATATATCCAATTTCAGAACACTATATCTTTTACACCAATAACATAAATATCGAAAAGTCGCTTTTACTTCAATTGTTACATTTTGCGTTGTAATTTTGCTGTTAAAACCATGTGGCAGCTAACATGTAATTTTGCATGAATAATGACAGATACAGATGGCTTTCGAAAATCAAATACTCATTATTTTTCAACTTCTTACTAGGATATCGTAAGATGCAAGTCAGTATACTTTAGACAATTTGACCGTAGCCTATTTTTATTAGTTGTAATTTCGTATACCAACAGATCCTTTTCTTTTACATCTTGGGCAGCACGGTGGCGTAGTGGGAGATGCTATGGGTCTTCCAATCAGATGCCATGTGTTGCACGGATTCGAATCCTGTCCCAAGAGGATTTTTGTCTAAGTTATGGTTGTTCTGGGTCCGTAGGTGGTACAAGATCTCAGACTGTCGAGCAAGGAGGTATAACCTGGCAGATTTCTAAGAGGCCAGAATGTGTGCAAGTGTCCTCGCTAGAGTCTGTGTAACATCCTCTTCCTTAGGCTTGCGTGATGGCTCAAGAAAAAAAATCTCCCAGTTTTGGAATCAAGTGAATTACTACAAACATCTGGCTTTGCATAGATCTTGAGTAAATGTATTTGGGACAAAAAATCAATGGAATCATCATCAACATAGATTATTAGCATCTACTAGAGATCAACTATAGACAAGAAACTTTAAGTGTCGATTGGTATTAGGTTTTCATGTCATCTGTTGTCATAGCCTATAAGTTCTGGACTAATACGTTACAAAAAACTGTAGATGAACGATACGAAAGATGTCTGCGGAATAAAATGCAAAAGCAAACAATAGATTACAGATTAGTTTGAAAAAAAGGGTGGATTATTTGAACTGATCTACATATACAGGAAGTGTTAATAAAGTACCTGGCTAAACTTCAACGAGTGATTTCTTTCTGATTTTTGAAAGTCTGTTTTTTCGAAAAAATACAACCCTTTAGCCGATTTTGGTACTGACATATTGACAAGAATTTAGATAACGGTTAACAAGAAAGACGTACCAATAAGATCAAAACTCCTACAGGAAAAATATTAATGTTCAAAACCGATGGCCCAAATGATAATTGTTGGAAGTAATTAGGTGCTTTTCTTTAATGCTTTTGTTTAATTTTTTCACAATGCAATCATTTTCCTTCTAGAACTTGATATAATAACCTAGGGTACTTTGGGTCGCTGTTTACAAACATGTGATCAAAATTACTGTACTTTTAATCGATAAAGCCGTCTAGTTAAACACAGTTTTATCGAAGTCAAATAAGAATTAATAATGTTTTACTTATTAACAAAACAATTTTCATATACACTATCACGTGAGACCTGAACTAGTTACTCTTCTGTTAAAACATCATTTAATTGTAAGATATCAGTCAGTAGTTGTATCACGAAATCAAACCGGTATTTCAAAAATCGCCAAGAGACAAAATAGTATCAGAACAACCCGAACTAATTCTAGAAACATCCTGTTGAACACCTGTTGATTTACCTGACTGGAATTTAGTAGCGCTTGGAGGGTGTGTGAGTTCAGTGTACCACTAGCTAACCGAAGTCCAAAACTTTCTCTGGTTGCTGGGTATATCCGATTCTGATCTAATGAGTAGGTTGTATTCAGAGAATTTAAAACTTTGGATAGGAAAACTGATAAGACGAATCTATCCAACTTTTCTGTTCGAGACAGGCCATTGAAACTTTTCTCAGTCTATAAATATATAATAATAGTGACCAATCCTGTGTACTTACTTTTTTCAAAACACTTAAATTGACATGTAAGGCAAGTTCCGTTTTCAGTTTATCGGGAAGTAGACCTAAGGCTGTATTTATATCACCACCACCTTGTATCCTACCTCTTGACCATGAGTAGTCGTACCAACGTAGTACTCTCCTCTTCATACCACCAGGAACCTGAATAAATAAAAAATTCAGGGAAATAGTCGATTTTTAAAATATTAGGGACATCAGTCAAAAATAATTTTTAAATCAAGTCCTGGGTTACCGATTAAAACACATTTCTTCAATAACAATAAATTTACTATTTTGAACTATGGATATGTATTATAGACGTTTGAAAAGCTAGTAAGAAAAGTTTTTATTAATTAATTTATTATCTAGTACTGTGTGTCGTTTTTTTTCTGCTTCAATGAGTGCCTTGATACGCCTAGGGATGATTTTTATGCATTTATGTGCACTTTCTTAAATTTTAAGATTGTGATGGCAAGCATTTAACAGCTTCTCTGTTAGTCTTCCCTTAATAATTTTTTTGGCTATTTCCTTCTTCGTGCTTTGACATAGAATCTCTATGGGATACATGTCTGGAAAATTGCCAGGTCAAGATAAAATCCTCAGTAATACTTCTAATTTTATGACATTCCTCGCCATAAGGTAACAGACGGGTTTGTCCCTATTGGTCGTGTTTCATTGTTCCCTCCACGAAGTACAGGCGCTCAACCCCGTAAGGGTATGGATTTATGAAGTTCGAATCAGAAGAGATACCTTCAGTCTGCTGTAATTGTTGTCAGAAATTTTATGTTTCTCATCAAGATAGTGCATATGATAATATGCACTTTAACAAAAACTAAACCAGACACGTCTTTTTCCACAACGAACCTGGATGATGGTGTTCTCTTTCAATTGTCGTAGCTTAATAATGGCTACCAGTCTCTTCGAGTTGAGGGAATTACCAAATTTGTCGGTGTTTTGTGATCAACGAATATAATTTTAAAAAAAAGCCTATTAGAAAACTTACCTTATGATGCCTCATGTAAGTCTTAGCACCATCTAAAAGGCGTTCGAATTCAAGACGGTTTGCGTTACGATTTGTTATCACATTTCCAACTTGTCCTAGAATAGACATGGTTATATAAATATGTAGGTATTTTAAAAGTTTTCATATTTATTCAAAGGTGGGGAAGTCGCGACGCAAATCTGATTACTGAATCATATTTACTCGTACCTTGCAAGAGGGGTGTTAGGTGGATACGCAAAACTTAACAGTTCTTGTATGTTGAATGAAGTTATCAGGAATGTTTCATATTCGGAGGAACAGTTTTGAAATGTGAGTTTTGAGGGTTATTGTTTGAGGCACCAGACAAATTGTTGGATAAATTGGTGAATTGTCTTATTCTTGTTGGTACTATGATAATTATTATTATTATACTTTCTTGGTGTTTCAATTAGCTATTAAGCTTCTTGTAAAGTAACATACTCTCAGTTTCAGTTTAGATTATATTCGGCTCCTCATATGGGTACGGTTGATATACAGTTCCTGCTAGATGTGTCGTATGAGGCCATGTGCTAAACTATTTAAATAAAATTTAAGTGAACGGAACGTTTTAAAAGATTACACTTACGAAATAAAATGGTCGAGAAGACACTAGAAATAGTAAGATCTATGAGTTTCTCAATTTCGTTATTGTATAACCTCTAATTTCCAAAACAACACCACCAAATAACTGTACAGTTTAGAGAAATCAACTTTGCGAGAACCTCCTACTCTTCCTGGCCTCCAAAGGTCCCGAATGGAGCAATTCATGATAGACACAAAAATAAAACATATCTCAAGACGTCCAGAAGAGGTGCATGCTCTAATATCTAAGGAAACATGTATTAGGCCGTGCGGATCTATTTAAGCCCCAAGACCTTCTTCCATACATACGCCGTTGTGCTCAACATGGTAATTATATATTTTCGCCTCATATTGAATTACGCGCACAGCCGCCTGTACGCCTAGTTTAAAGAGGGCGGCGTGTCTGTGTTAGCTCTGTTATTGCACTGATCCCAGCGGCGACAACTGTGTAAACTAGAAACGAAAAAGATGTTCTTGATTTAATTTTCATATTGTTGTATTGCTCCTGTTTTTTTATACAGTATTACCAGACCGTTGAATAACAATGTTGCTTTCAAATTTCAGTAGGTATTAGGAGTAACCCAACTAACTTTTTCCGTATAAATATGGAAGTGAAACTACCAGCGGACTGTAGCTAGAAAAAAGTTGTATTTTCATATTTTATCCCTGAGATTATTGACACAGGCACATTAGGCAAACAATCACAATTTTTGCATCATCCTAGGCGATAATGTAACGTTGCCATTCGGTATCTGTAGAGGTCAAAATGTGTAAGAGATCTGATTTCTCCAAATTGTGCCTACTGTATAATAGCTAAGCTCGAATCTAATGTGATTTTATTATCAAGTTCATGGTTGTTACCGACTGCTCCGCGTATGATGAGGCAATACATATCAACGATAGTAGTTTCCTTGTTTGGATCTGCTATGTTTGTGTTATGCCAAGTGGTTAGGCTGAGAGGCCCTGCGAGAAGTGGAGACATTCGGTAGTTATTATTGGTGTTTTCCAGTAACTGGACTCACTCGACTTACCGGTCTGAGAGATTTTTAATTTCTTGCGATTTTTAAATCGCGTGTATTGTGAGAGATCCGTGGTTACAATGATAATATTTTGTGAAAATATACTTAAATCTAATTCTTTAAAATTAACTTTTCCTTATACTGTAGGACTTACCTACTATTGTTGCGAATATAAAAACACCTATCAAATAACTGACAATTGTGAAAGCGTATCTAAAACATAAAATATGATATCAAAAGTCGGTAAATTATTCTGGAATGGCATAAGTACATGTATGTTCAACAAGGTCTGATAGAAGGATAATCTTGTTTAAAACATATTCAAAAATTCTCAACGGCTTTTGCAAATTCTAATTTTTAGTATTTTTTTTTTGCTGTTGAGAGAAATGTCTTTTTTGACGAGCTGTTTAGTTACTTTAGGTCAACCAAATCGCCTCATGTTGGACTCATTGTTTTACTAGGGACTTAAAATTAGTGAAACATCGTATTAAAAGAAACAGTAAACATTTTTGTACTAACCATGTAAAAACTATCGCCCTGTGTACATTAATTTTTAACTTATATCAACAACTATCCTCAATCTGCGGCTACGCTCGCGAATAAGTAGTGCAAGGTATGTGTTATTGCATTCGTGTAAAGGAGATTGGTTTCGGAGAAAAACATTTAATATTCAAAGTAATGCAATACTTAATACATTTTATTCAATATTTTAATGCAAAAATAAATTAATTTCAAATATTTAATCCCAATAAATAATACATGAAGGAACTCACAGCTTGTGTGGCATATGTTGACGTGTATGGTTACAATAATGTAACAATTATAGTAGATATACTTTTCCAATGACGTTTGACTCATTGAAGGCATTTTGGTGAGCAACTGCGAGTTGCGGTAGACCTTGTTGAACACAATTTATGAGTAAGCGAATACAGAAAATGTTTTCGAACAGGCACATACACCACACACTATATAGACAAACACCCCAAATTGAGGTAAGGTAGAACAGGAAACATGTATATTCAGTTCTTGTCATACAATGGCAGTGGCAGGCGCTGTTCGAGAACATAAACTATGATGTACCAGTTGGGGCGCATTTTCGTGTAAGAAAACAACAAATCATGTTGGTTAGAAAGGACCCCCGATCCTGCCGCTGCCAGTGTGACAAATCTGAGTCCAGAAGATGTGTAGGAAAGATTAAAGTGGTGGAGTAGGACGGACATGTGGTTGCAGATAAGCTCCGTTCAGCGAAATCGCAACGTTGACTAGTTAGAACGACGCACTGGCCTACTGAGGTTCATGGTGTACTTAGGTACAGGTTTAGACCATTTACGAGTTATGTACCACAAAGACTGTTATCTATATATAGCATACACATGAGACGAACTTTGAACTGGTCGCTGGAACATTAATCTTACTGCCATTCGTTGTTCTAAAAAATAAACATCTTTTCGAAAACAGGAGCGGTAGTATCGGCCAGTTATGGATGTACGAAATGAGACACGGTTAGGATGGGACGCTGAAGTCTGGCGGGTCTGACTGGCAGGTACGTCGTGGGGCGGCATCATGGAGGAGAGCTCTGAGGTTCAAAGTCCATTGGCGTAGCGGTAGAAGAGATAGATAGTTAGATATTGTATAGGACACATCAGTGAATGAAAAAATAAAGATTACATGACTAAAACATGAAAGTTCTTAGAGTTTAAAGAAACCACGACGATATCGTAAATATACACAGACCACATGTTTATAAAAAATATATATAAATTTAAAAAATAACAATATACCGCGAATTAAAAGAGTAGCAGTTAAAACGTGAAGAAAAATGAAATATAAATAACACACCGGTTAACAAAATTATAATTGATAAAAAGTAGATAAAATATCACTCTCATTGCATGATTTCGTAGTTTTTACATCTCAGCTAATTTAATTATATTAAGTAATTAATAATTAAGTGTTGGACAATAGTCAAAATGTGGCTAAATTATGGTTTTGTAGACAGTTAGCTTTGTTTAAAGTAAAAGGGGGCTGCTTATTCTTGGGAAAGGTATAGTTTTTTAATATCTTTTTACGGGTACATTGAAAATGTTTGTAAACCGTTGTCCTACTGAATTCTCAGATACTTTACTACGGTCACAATTTCAACATTTTCATTGTTATTATAAATATTCACATCAGATATATTAATATATAAGTCATGATAATAGCGTTTGGTTTAGGCAAATCAAGTTTAAGCAATTTGAGTTTCATATAGTTATCGACCTTTTACAAAACAATATTCACCCTGTTATTAGCTGCCGGATCCGTTTCACCAACAAAAATACTAATGAATTCAAATTGGTTGTGGTATAAGGTAAAAAGTATTCTGACCAAGACATTTTTATGTCCTGCCATTTAAGTAATTTAAAAACCAATCATAGACTTTACCGGAAGCTCCAAACACTGCAAGTTTTGCTAGCAATATAGGATTATTTCTATCTATGGTCTCGAATGTTCTTTTCAAGTCAAGAAACACAGCAATAACGTACTGATTATAAAGAACATTATTTGCTACAATATGTTCCGGGTTCAGGGTAGGTATATATTTTTTTAATATGACCTGATTATTTTTTTGCAATTATGTTTGTTATATAACAGTAATATTCAGTAAACGCCAGCCTAAATTATACAGCCTGAATATTTGAACTTATTTACGTTCTTCATAATTTGGTTTTTGATGGTCACATTGTTCACTATGCTTACTTTGGTATGCTTATTTTTCATAATCATGGATTTTGTTTTTTGTGCATTCGACTGTAGGCCGTTGTTGTTCACCATTTAAATAAATTTTCAAGTTCTTTGTTCAAAGCTTCCACTTTTTCTGTTGCACTGTCGCTAATGAAATAGATAATTGAGTCATCCGCAAAAAGCTGCAGTTTACATTTTTGAACTAGCATTTACAATATCACCTTTGTACAAAATGAACAATGTCGGACCAAAAACTGTAACTTGAGGTACACCTTGTCCCTTGCTAAACATTTTCCACCAGACTTAGTCACTTGTTGACGATCCCTAAGGTAACCGCCAAACCACTTCAGGATACTTTCACTAATACCATATTTCTTACAATTTGAGTAACATCAATTGTCTCTCAGTGGTTTCGAATGCTCGCTTAAAGTCCAGAAAAACAACACCAATTAGTTTCCTATTGTTCAATCAATTTTTTCAGTTAGATAGAACAGAAAATCTTGCGTCTGAAACCGGCCTGGTAAACACTAAGTACATAATTTTTTTAATGGTCCACTAGTTGTTCATTATCCCTAATAACTTTTCTTATTGTAGGACCATACTCACGGGTCGAAATCCTCGCATTTTTTTGCTCCACTGATTTTTTTAATTGGTATAACCATGGTAGGTCTCCAGTTAAGTTTGGTTAAAAACAAATCGTACACTTGCTGTTTCTACCTAGTCCGAATTCGTTGGGATGAACGGAGCTTATAGAAGAATGTGTATGAGGGAAATTGTAAGATGACGTAGTGACGTACCCGAAATTGGTGTTGAACTGCAACAGCCGCGATTTGATTCCTTTACGTGACAAGGATCGGGGGCCATCTTGCGATTTTATGTCCCTAAACAAGAAACTGATTATATTCATCACTGTGCTGTTTCACTGTTGAGTCATAAAATGTATGCAGCCTGAGTCGAAATATCTGTATGTATATAGAATGGGCAAAAAATGCGGGGGATGCCGAATTATCTGTTAATCACAAGTGTGCAAAATGATATCGTTGGTCATCCGTTCAGTTCCACCAAATCAATCAATAACTAAACCCATTCAGCTTTCGCTGACCAATCGAAATATTCAGCGCTTATTAAAAATAGATCAACTTATGAGAGTTTGGGATTACTCATCTGTTGGAAAAAAATGAATAAAAAACCGAAATACGTTTCATTGTCTTCCCTTAATTTTTACTATAAAGCTGTACAAATAGAACGCCGATAGATCTGATAACATTAAAAAAAACACACACCAAATAAAGTCCCCGACTGTGAGACGTGAACCATGGAACGAGAGCAGTAGGGTATATAAGCCAATTGTATGACCTCCCAGGGAGCATGCCAGTTCTGGCACTTCTCTGTTCTGAGTCTTCTTTCAATGATCATAGCAGTTGTGAGATCTTTTGTAGATCAGTCCCCTATATTTAATGTGGACTTCTTTGAGTGTTATCCATCTACCACTATCCGATTGCTCGACAAACTTGTATGATAAGTTAAGTGGTACACCTTCCTACCATAAAATATCGACTAAGCGAATTACAACGACTTCTCTCCCCGCTCCAATCTTGTCATCCCTCTACCGTCTTCCGATTGTTCGACAAACTTGTTGTATAATAGAAATTTTTTGACAGAGGGTGTGATTGAGTGGCACATTTCCTTTACCATAACTCGACGGTTCACAGAATTCTAATGCGCACGAGCGCTCTCTCCCCGCTCCAATCCTGATGTATGTGATTGATTTTGCTGATTCCATTCGCTGTTGTTTTGGATGAAATCTTGACGACGTTATTCGTTCTTTTCCATCTCATGTTTGAATAGTTGGAAAACAGTATTTCACGCTATGGGTTCCAATTGCTTACAGCTTAAGCATACTTGTCGCTCCACCAAACCATAATTTACACAAATATGGCTAAACTGGAAACATTTTTTACATTGCGTCACCGCACTGGATTTAATTCGAAAACGGTCTAGCGCAACTTTCTGGTTTAGCAGATATTCAATTTTATTAATATCTGGCCATTGTTCATTATTTTTGAAGATGAGCAAGACTGTTACTTTACTCCTGTAGATTATTTCCCTTTCCGGTCGGATTACATATCTTACTTGTAAATAATTTTTTATATTATCTTCAGGTGGTCCTCGTGTGTATATTTCGAATACGAACTTGCTTTGGTTTTGGACCAATTTCTGTTTTCCATGCAGTTGTTTGCTGGTTGTACCAGTATGTGCTTTCTTCGCAAAATGATTTATTTTTAAGGTGATTGCAGGCGCAGTTGGCTCCTTATCTGATCTTTTATTAGTATTATTATTGGATGCTGAGGGAGTATTGTCATCTAAAATATTCATCACCTGTTTTTGGATTTTGGGTTTGTTCTCAATAATTCCCGATACGTGAGCTGGATCCATCGATTAATATCTGTTGATTGTAATGTTTTTAGTGGTTTTGTCTTTAGGTGAATTTGATCCAATTAGAATACACTTTTTCAATTGCGTGTATTTTTTATTAGGATGAATACAATGATCCTATACTAGTGCTTCATCGTCCATGTCAGATTGTGTTTCTATACACGCATTTAGTGTCAAATTGCTGTCTCTAAGGCCACCCTTAGATGCTTCTGCCACTCAGCTGACCAGAGCTGGTACTATTTTGCACATCGCCTTCCGGAAGTGCTGCTATCAGTACCCCATCGCCTTTACGATTACCAGTGAGATTACCCTTGCCAGTGGGACTACCCTCACCAGTTGGATTTTCAGCTCCACTGGATTCACTTGATTCAAATCTCATCCTGATCTGACTGTATCCCGATCGCATTGTTTGTAATTAGCTCCGCTTGTAACCGTCTGCAGTGAATGCTAAACTAATGTTCCGTCTGTCCAAGAAGAAAAGTGGATGAACATTTATTTGAGAAACAACTCTACAATAAATTTGTTAATGTGGAAGACTACTAGTATTTACAATAAACAGAAAAATATACACTTTTGTTGTGTATTCTTCGCAGCTGCCATATTCTCAACCCAGTGAATTTTCAATGTAGACACTGATAAAAACGCCAGGCAAATAAAACGTTATTACTCGAATTTCCGTATATTTGTCGTGAAAAAGAAGACGGGAGCGAACCACCAGCAAAGTGACAACCAAAACAAAAGAAAGTAATAAAAAATTGTAAGCAAATATGTGCTCCGCACTTGGAAAATATGCCCTGACTGCAGGGTGATTCATTATTAAGTGACAACACAAACATAATTTTATTTTACATAGAATATCTTATTTTAATTTTGCGCTCAATCCAAACAGAAACTATACGCATACGATAAATGAGACCGATTAATCTTGAGCACGAAGACGCAAGAGCATACCTATGTGTACGTGAGAACGCGGCGTACGAATTCGTATGCACGGGTATTATTTAAAAAATCTATAAGACGTCTAAAAAAGCCTTTAAAATGTCATCTTGTAGACTAGGTAGTTTTTAAGGCGCAAACATTCCACGTTTGCTCACTAGGATCATTGCGAGCGTCCATCTATGGAGGGATAGCTCAAATACAGGCATTGTTGGTTGCATATATTATGTGAAGCCTAGTAGTCTATACTTTTCATCTCTGAGAAGCAAGTTGGTTAAATAGCAAGATGCATTTGGGTGACTGGTCTGCAGGTGTTATTTATATGTTGTCCTTTCTGAAGACAGATTATGTTCAAAGTTATAAATTACGATTTTTCAGGTTTTTTGTGTTTTTAAAAACTTTGAGGATAATTACGAGACATCACCAACGCGCCCGCGGTGTGTGTAATTACTGCTAGCATGTGTCTGACTTGTAATTCGACAGTGTACAGTGAATATAGTTACTTCTTATCTCTCTCATTTTTGAAATTCAACAAATTTGCATATATAATTTCCAGAATGGATAAGAAAAAATGGATGCGCAAATAATTTCTAGCTTTGAATCTCAAGTAAGTGTATTTGAGACAAGAATCCAATGGAATTATGATCAACACATATTATTAGCACACAAATCCTCCTTATGCAAATATGGATTGCCTCCAGTAATACCATCTCCGAAGCAAATTTCACAACATATCAGAGCCAAATATTGATAACTAAAGCATGTCCATCTTGTAGAAAAACCTTTATAATGTAAAAAAAAATCGATATAACGTCACGTTTTAAGTAAGTAAAAATGCTGTTTCTTCGCGACCATCAAAATGAGGCATATATTCGATGCGTGCTCAGTCTGGACGGAAATAAACATTCCGTGTCGTGGCGGTCAACTCTGTAGTAACTAGTAGTGCATGAAAAAATATTATAGTTATCAAATGCTATTTTTTATTGCTTCTTTTAAGCAGCAAACCGAAGAGCTAGTCCTAGTTTTTCTTCAGCTGGAATAGCTTTTCTATAGGATGTATATTGTCGTTCTAGGTTTGATACAATTTAATAGCAAAAAGAAATCGTCTTGAGACATCCTAGTAAAGCTTTTAAAAAACCCTCTCGTTTCATCGGCCAAGAGATCTTTAAACAAACCTGTGATATTTTCATTCAATTGTCTTCTTCTGTTAAGATATTGTGACAAATATCTGCTTTTACGCGAACCACGATCGCACAAGCCGCTTAGCGGCGTCTGTGAGGACAACATTCTAGATGTCGCTTAGTGGTACATCCGGTTTATCTCGAAGCGTTAACTGGGACTATTATATAACTCGGCGGCCGGGAGATGGAGGCAGAGTACGGAATACGGCAGAGTAGCAGAGCGGAGTGAGGTATAGTGCAGTCAATGGTGGCATAAGAATTAGTCAAACATAAATAGTGGTGTATAAAAGGGTAAATAAATCAGTGCATTTATTTTTGTGGAATCCAGTCTTTTAATCCACACCCAAAAGAACCCAGAAAAACGCTACAATATACTTGGGACGATCAACAATTTGGTTTTTTGTTATTTTCCTTTTTGAATACACTGGTTAAAATTATGTACGCGTTCACTATCAGAATCTGAATCGGTCATATTTTAAAAGCTACTGAAATGAAAGAATGCTCACCAATCCGATGGATCGATGCCGAACAGAGCCTCGTGCGTCCACTATTCAGGAAGGGGCTTCGTAATCGAGTTGCCTAATTCCTGGTCATTTTTTTTATTAGAACGAGCGAAAAACAAAAAATATTCGTGCGAAAAGGTTTGGTTTTACTGATAAATAATGATCCTTGAACATTTCAGTTAAATTTGCATCGGCTTAGAATAAAATCTGAGGCTCTACTCTTTCTGACCATAACAGTGGCCGATTAGCAATAGTAACGGGCCCCGCCCATTTGAGGACTTCAACGCTTTGTGACCTGAATCTGCCCTTAATTTATCAAAAACTTTGCGTCAGAATACATGGCAAAAGTGAGTTTTTTCCATTTATTGTAAATACTGACAGTCTTTCACCATTAGAAATTTATTTTGAAGCTTTCCCATAAATAGTCAAAATTAGACTCATTACTTTAGGCATCTGTCTGTCCAATTTTTTATTGAGATTAAGGTAATCGGGTTTCTGAAATCTGTCTTGAGAAAGTACAAGACAAGTTTCTAAGGCTAGTACTTTTTTTTACTTAAAAATAGTCTAAAAGCAGCTTACTAAGTAAGAAATAAAAACAGTCCACATACAGTGGGAGAAACTAAAGTAGTTGAAAAAAGATGAGGATGAATTTTCGAAATATGAATATGTATAAGTAGGATCCAATAAGGTTTCTAATCGGTTCGTGTTCCTCCACAGAAATTAACAGGCCGTTGTTAATGCTTCAAAGAGCAATCGGTTAACGTTCCTACTTATATTGATATTGGACTGTGAGAGCACAAAGCAACACAAACATCGTTGAAAATTACCCATCGCTCTTTCGCAAAATTGATCAAGCTCGTGCACCACGTGTCCAATTTTTATTCGCCACATTTGTACCAAAATCGTATATAAATAATTATATTTTAAGGAAGTAAGGACTCTCTGTAACTATTAAGTTATATCAAATTTGTTTACATAGGTTGTAAATTAACTTGTTATCATAGATGCCATCTAGTACTAGTATTTCGTACTTACTCAGCATTTGTCTCGGGCGTTGGCAGATCGCCAATGGTGGTCAATGTCAATGTAGACCAGTATACAGATCCTAGATATTTTCGCGTTAACGTTGCGTATTCTCCAGGCCGGAACGGGTACACCCAATCGCCCTAAAATTAGGATGAGAATGAACGTTTGAATAATTTGTAATAAAAGCAAGGATCAAATACAAGTTGTGGCACGGAAAGCTGCGATGATCAAAAACTCGATCAGTTAACATAAGATGTCCGCAAATATATTAAATATGCAACACAATTTGAAACGGAGTTATGCATTTGGAGCATTTGGTATTTTTTTACCAGTTCCTTCGGGTCGAACATAATTATATACATTGCTTGCTGTCCTCATTTTCAAGTCTTACCAAAATTACTGTTCACTATTGCTCAAGGGCCACAGAGAAACCAGCCACATCGTCTTGAGACAGTGAAATTGCAACTTTATTTTCGCCATTTCAGCATGGAATTAGACGAGATCGTGATAATTTATCATCCAAGGACGAAAAGAATGAAAAAAACAAATCAAAGATAGGCTGAACAGAAGTTGCTTGCTTTCCATCTCTGTGACCATAACCAACCGTATACAAGACTGTTTCATTCTTTCTAGTAACAAGCATTGTGGTATAGGTCTAACCATTCATCAAACCAGTTGAATCAAATAAATCGTTTAATTAAATTTATTAAACCGTTTACCTAGATTGAGTACACCAATTTATTTAAAATTAATCACCTATTAAAATGAGTTTACCTGCAAGTATAACTTACGTTTAGTAGTCTGATCTGTCTATTAAAATTTGGATTAACAAGGGAGCGGTGAGGATAGATCACTATATTACACAGTTCCTCACATAACATGGTTATTTTGACAGCTACTTTAAGAGAGTTGGAAAAAGAGGGTACGCGAACTGCATATATTGCAATAAAAAGGAAGATACTCCTAATCACCTACTCGAATGGAGTAGGTGGGTTGACTACCAGACACAGCTAGAATTGACGCTCGGCGAGAGGCTCACAGCTGGCAATTTTGCCACGCACGTACCTCGCGTATATGCGTGGAAAATGGGTTGATATTCAACCAATAGTGAGGTGAACGATGCTGAGTAAGGTACGGGAGAACAAAAACATGCCAACGAACCAATAGTAGATTTCTATTTTGATCTGCTGTACATGTACATTTTTTTTTTATACTCCAACTACCACGGAGGCCTAAGGCCTAAGCACCCATTGGGTACCGTGGGGCTATAGGGGGATACATGGAAAAGGGGGGAAAACGCCACACGGACTCTGGCGAGGGAACAAGTGTGCATGCAACATGCACACATTCTGGCTCCGCCTACGAGAACCGCCGGGTGGTACCTCCGCGTTCGACAGTCAGAGACCATCTACCACCTACGGACAATCACAACATCCATAGCCAAGAGAAAAATTTCTCCTGGGACGGGACTCGAACCCGCACAGCGCACGGCCACTGATCAGGAGACCGAAGAGTCTACTACTGCGGCCACCGCTGCTGCCTGACATAGTAGGTTTGTGTGTGTACGATAGAGAATCGATGGCTGATATCTTCATTATGGTCCTCCATCATTGCGCCTCGCGATGTGCCCAGCAGACAGACCCGCGTCACATCGGCCTCCCATCCTAAGCCTGTCGAACTTTGTACATCCAGAGCTGGCCGTTACGACCGCTCCTTTGTGCCTAGGGTGTCGAACTTCAGGCAGTTCAAAAATCGGATTGACAAAGTTTATTTAAGTTCCTCATAGCAGCCGCGGAGTCCTGGCATTTAGGCTTCTGCCTACGCGGCTGCCTCTGTGTAAAGAAGGCCGCAATTCTATTTCCAGTCAGCAGTATACAGGGTGGCGCATCGAAAACAAAACAGACGCATTTACTGGCAGCTCAGTTTTTTATTTTGAAAAACGCTCAGTCGCGTCGACTTTGTTTTCGAGGGGGAGGGGGAGGCAAAAAATCACGTTAGCACGTGGAGCCCCCTAAGCGGGGTGACACCACCCCCAAAATCTTAAATGGAAAGGGGGGTCGAGTGATCCGTTATTTTAAAGGTCTTTCAATTCCCTTTATAATGATATAAAATTAATGTGTCAGTTCAGTAGTTTTGAAGATTTATTGATTTAAAGCTTAAAGAAAACTAATACATCATCATTAGTGGAGATCAATACATTTGGCAGCAAAGTAATTTAAAAATGAAGAATGACCTGACCCGTTAGGCAAGTAAATGTTGAAAATGGCCACCATGACTCTCCATACAATAATAAAGATTTAGCTCAAAACGTTGCCGCACACTTTGCAATATTTGAGGAGTAAAACAATTCTTTGTCGCAGGTCTTCTAATGATGTTGGCTGAGTAGCATAGATTTTGCTTTTTAAATGACCCCACATAAAGAAATCCAAAAGTGATAAATCTGGCGATCTTGGGGGCCATTCAATGGCACCTCTTCTACCAATCCATCGATCTGGAAACGTCTGATCTAAATATTGTCGAACACGTAATGCGTAATGTGATGGGGCACCATCCTGTTCGAACATCAACCTATTCGCAATGTACCGCCGATCTTTCTGATTTTCAATTATGGCTGTTAATGCAGGATCTTTGGCGTCTTCCAGTAATTCCCAATACTCTTCACCGGTCAAATTTCCAGGTAAGAAAAAAGGACCAACTAAATGATCGCCAAAATACCAGCCCAAACATTTAATTTTTGTGGCTGCTGTGTATGAACCTCATGATAAATTCTGGGATTAGAATCGGACCAATATCGGCAGTTATGACGATTTACTACGCCATTCAAGAAAAAGGAACATTCGTCGGAAAAGCAAGTGTTGAATAGAAAATGTTCATCGTTTATAATTCGTTCACTCATATCTTCACAAAATTGTAATCGCCGATCAAAATCGTCTTCATTAAGTTCTTGTACCAGGTGAATTTTATACGGATGAAAACTATGGGCCTCTAGAATCCATTGGACAGTACGTCGACTAACACCACACACAGTCTCCAATTTGCGGGTACTTAACGTAGGATCTACATAAACTTGCCCTAAAACACCCACTTCTATTGCTCCGTTCCCTATGGGATTTTCAATGTTGCGTTTTTTATTGGCGACTGACCCAGTTTCCCGAAATTTAGCTACAAGTTCTAGAACATATTTTCGATGCACGGTACTTTTCTCATGTCGCTCATTAAATATTTCTGCTGTTCTATTAGCGCACTGATTATTTCCGAAAAATATTTCGATAATTTCAACTCTTTCTGCTGTGGAATATACCATGGTTAATTTATGTAATGAAGCGTTACAAGTTATTTTAGCAACAAAGTTTGGTCAAATCAATCGCAAACTATGTACTAAATTCCTATTTAAAATAAGTACGAGATGTTTCCTTAACTTCAAAAAATAACTTTTTTGCCACAAAAAACGGTCCAATAGCTATTTTCAACAACAAAATGATAAACAAACCATTCTTTTAGTCAAATTTCTTCTGAAAGTAGTACAAACTAATCTGATGTACCTATTAAAGTCTACTTTAAGCTTTAAATCAATAAATCTTCAAAACTGCTGAACTGAAGCTCATGTATTTTACATGATTATCAGGGGAATTGAAAGACCTTTGAAATCAGGTATCACTCGACCCCCCTTTCCATTTAAGATTTTAGGGTTGGTATCACCCCCGCCCAGGGGGCTGCACGCGATAACGTGATTTTTTCCCAAACTTGTGTCCCCCTCGAAAACAAAATCGACGGGCCTGAGCGTTTTTCCAAAAAAAAACTGAGCTGCCAGTAAATGCGTCTGCTTCGTTTTCGATGCGCCACCCTGTATAGTGTAGACGGTAGGCGACATCACGTGTATCTGTTTTAAATTGTTCAATCTACCAGTTCTAGCTGTATCTATCTGTCAAACGTGACACAGTTCTTACTATTTGTCTTATCGTTTTGAGTTGTTCAGTGACCGTAGAAGTGATTGATATTTTTCAAGCTCTCTTGCAGGGTAGGTTAATTTGGATCCCTATTAAAATGAAATCAATTATAAATTAGAAACATTTTTATAGCAGCCAGAAGTAAAACATTACTTACTTGAAAATTTTCCGCCTCCGACAATAAAAAATAGAAACATCCAAACCAGTGAGCAAGTATCAAAAGAATGTGAATGAGGTTCACGACCCTCCATAAGTTTGGCCACACTGTCCGTGACTCTACCATGTAATAATAACTAACAGCACGATAAACCTGCAAAGAAAAATTGATTAAAGCAGACCCTCGCCACAAAACCAAGATTATTACAGCAATATTTGTAATTTGAAGAAATAGAAAAGTATTTGGTGTTGGTGTGACACACCACAGGCGTAATCTAAGCATCAAATGAGACAACAAATTTTTAGATATATTACGCTTTGCGCTGTCTCATTTCGACAGAGCGAACCTCCGGTATAGCGGATAGTTGCTAAGCTTTCGTTCGTTGTCCAGAGACAAGATTCCAAGCCTAGACCATGTTGATGAGAATCCAAGAAGCCCGAAATAGCAGTCTATGATTGGCCGTCTTCTGACCGGACAGACGAAAGCATCATGTTTATTTTATTCAATGACGAGTAGACCACATCTACCAGAATCGTCAGCCATCTAGCGGTCACGTAGTGGATGGGCTATTAAACGTGAACTGAGGATGACTAAAAGCTCCAGCTAATGGCAGCTACGCGCTTTCCACAGTGGACGGTTCTGGTCATTTATTTGGATACATAGAACACAAAACAAAAAAAAAGATATTTTTCCATTAGGTTTGGCCGCTTTCTTCAACAAATCACTAATTTCAGGACAGACATCTGTGATATAAAATAGATAGGTAAACCATTGGCAAAAGTTAGTTAAAAAAAACAGAATTTCCTAGTTTGGCCTTGAAATTATGTCATCTGTTTCGCATACTAGATCTATTCCAAAATCATTTTCATTTCTTCCTGACTTTATTTGAGTTGGGATTTCATAATAAATTGCATGATGTCATTGGCACTTAACTGCTCGACACTTCGACATTTCTTCTTTCGACCAACTTTGTTTTTTCATATAGACGCTATATTGCATTTTGTACATTTAAATGGACTCTTCAGTCCTAAATTTATTGAGGTATTCCTTCGTTCGCCGTGAATTAGTCGTAACAAAAATTATAAGAAAATTTAAAGGTATGACATGAATACAAAATGATTTTTTTTTAAATGGTAATAACAATAATAATCATGAATAAGCAGAGCTAGTTTATAACAAAATGCTGTGCGTTATTCTGTAGGAAAACCCTGACTGTTCTCTTTACATTGCCCACTGTTCGATCCATTCCCCTTCTTCTCAGCCTGCCAGACTCTGTTAATATGTTTGTTGAACAGTTGTTGTTTGTTCGTTTGGTAGCTGTACGTGTTGCTTAAACGACAGCGAACAGCGATCATAGCGAGCAAACGTGGAATGAACTATTTGCACACTAGAAACTACCTAGTCAGCAAGATGACATTTCTTGTTTTTTTTTTGACGTTTTTTTAGGTCTTTTACGTAATATCCCTGCGGGTATACGAAACAAATGACTATGATAATTTCAAGGCCTACCTAGAAAATTCTGTTTTTCTAGAATAGTTGAGGTTTGGCAATGTCATATTGTACATTTATGGAAGCAGAATTCAAAGCTCTATTCGTCTGCTCAAAAATCAAATAAGGTATCTATAGGTAATAAAAAATTAAGTTGATGCTGGAGGACAAGAGACCAAACGTCACATTGAAACTCTAGTTATGATATTTTATAGGAGACACAAAGTGGCAACGTTTATGTGCAATTTATTTTAACATGCAACAACGAAAATATTATAAATTTTTCAACACTGGCGGGCTGTCGAAGTTGAGCTCAACATATGTCCATCAAAACATTAATATTGTCACGATTGTGACTTGGAGGTTTGTCGCTTATGCGCTACAAATGGCTGTTAATGAAATATGAGTCGCAATTACTCACAAAGAACCTCTATTCAATATAAATATACAAAGAGGTGTTTTTTCTAGCTGGCACTGTATAGCACAGCTGGTCTTGAGGCAGTGAAGAATGGCAAGAGTTGTCCCCCGAAGGGGAATGACACCAGAGCGGCAATGCCTCCACATATCAGCCCAACTATTTTTTATAATTACCTTTTCTCCACTTCGACTGATAAGGATACATCATTGCTTATTATGTATACTCATCAGCGGATGTGGTTTAGGATATACGTTCGTAAGCTTGCTATCCCTCCAAAACTAGGTTAGTCGGTAGATATGCGACCTCAGGATGAGGTTCTTTGTACCTTGGTTTTTGGACACAAAGCACTTGCGGTTTGGGCGCCACCTAGTTTCAAAAACTAGGAAATGAAATAACAAGTAACAAGGTTGTGTTTCTGGAGCTGAGGAGACACAAACTCACAGACATTTATTGAACAACTCTTCGTGTAAAACTATTTCACAAAATCGGGTAGTGGGCCGCGGGATTCCTACACCAGAGTACCGGAAATAGCACCAATTCACCTTCAGCTCTCGTATTTATGATCGACAGAAATTATAAAAAATGAACTCCAACGAGATGGAGAGTAGAGTACGATTTTCCATCACAAAATTATTAGACGAGGAGAAGTGTTTTATCACTAAAAATAAAATTCGATATTACTAAGAACGGCTATAAAATTTATATTCTGAATAATAAAAACATTGTAATAATTTACTTTATCAAGATGTAGTTGATTTTTAGTCGACCTTAAAAAGAAACTGTTACAAGCTGGCGAGCTGGCGCGTGTAAGGGCTTACAGAGTAGTCACTCGTAACAATATCAATCTGCTTGTTTTGAAGCGGTGTTTTTAAATGTGTATGGCAAATCAAATGAAAAGAATGTTGGACAAATTCTTCATAATTTTTCCACAAGTTCAAAAAATAAGTAGATGGGAGACCTTTTTAAAAAGCACTGTATACACAAGCATCCAACTATCACGCAAAAGTTTATAAATGAAGATATTCACCCTAACAATCATAACAACTAAAAGTAGCATGTTCATAACTGCTAATTTAGCAACTTTATAACAGCAGCATTTTGAAGATGTTTAAATAATTATAATAAGTTTGCCTCTAACTAGCTTTCGTAAATAAACGAAATAGTATATCCAAATTATTACGGGGTTATGTTCATTTTAACGACTAAAAACTTTCCATAAATAATATGGTAACTATCTATTTTGAATTGTAATTCCAGGGAAATTACGAATAACACAAAACATAGTAAGTAGTCTAACATCCCATAAATTTTATACTAAAATAAGACGTATCAAAAGTATTATAGAAAATTTGAAATATGTTTAAATGATGAAATTGTGGGATATAAAGCTCATTATGACGAAAAGTCGCTTCTCTTATCTGTAAATGTGACTGTCAAGGTTTATTACTTTTTCAAATAAAATATCTCGTAGCACTAGAATGTATATATGTTAAACATTATTTGGATAATAAATATACCAGAGCGTTTCATTTAAAAATGCATGGTGTTGCCGCCCTGTAGAGAGTGGCAAATGTTGCAGGTACACAACGTACAAGTCTAAAATCTTCGCCGAGGACTTTTTTCATCTTTCATATTAATGGAGCTATCGACAGACTAAAAACTGTATAACGAATACAATTTTAAATTTCGCACTCACCTTGCAGCATCCAAACCAATTCTTAATTCATCTTGGTATTACTCGATAAATAATACTAGGACACCCCATGTTACCTGCGTCACTAAAAGTACCAACTTTTACTCGACCTAATACGGAGTTTTTATTGTAACAACCAGTATAATTTTCTCGAACAAGTCTAGGAATCAATGATGGGAAGTACCCAGAAGCCAATTATGGAATACTTACCTTTAAAAACCTAGGGCACCTAAGTAAGGGATGCCAACCAAATCTTAACTGGAGCATGTCGAGTGGGCACAGCGCAGCCAGGTCCATCAAAAAGGCACGAGATTTTAGGTAATGGTAGGCCAGCTTTTTGGAATTGAAGACCATCAGGCCTTGCTCCAGATATCCTGTCCGGAGCTGGACGACCAGATCTAATACAAATACCATGTCGCTAGCCAAATCACAGCTTAACCAGAACGATGAAATAATCTCCTGCAACAAGTAGTACACCTCATACCTTTTTAAATTCCTACCATAGCCCCGACAAAATACATACAAGTGCAAGTTTGCAAGCATGTTCCCAAAACTGAAAATTAGTACAGATCTTAAACATACCGTTGTCAAAAGTTCACAGAAAAGAATGTTTTTATTGGCGATAAAATTTCAAAAATCAGCTTTCAAGCATTTCCAATTTAACAGCTTCGCGTACAAGCTTTTGATCTTGGCTTAGAATAGTTTTGCAAGAAACTTCCATTCTAGTATGATTATATATTTTTTATTGCAACGCTTTAATATTCAGTCATGCGCAGAGGAACCCGCAGAAACTTTATGGAGAATGGCTTAAGGCTATTTAAAAAAAAAATAGTATGTTGTAGACTTTAAATCCTAGGACAAAAGTGTCCGTTAGCCCAAATTTTTTCTACGATGAGTTTCCGAGATACGCGGCCTCTAGGTTGAGCAGACCGTACCTTAGCACAGTGTATTAAGGGTTGGGTGTAATAGTCTTTTGATATTGATTTAGGTTCTTCGCCAACTCTGGACTGACAAACAAGGCTAAAAATTGCCTTAAAATACACTAATCTTAAAATTCTCTTCGTTGTCTTGTAGGGGAAGATTTTTGCTTCAATTAAGATACTTGGCAGCTTCAAAAATAATAATTTTACCGAACCTTTGATCATTAGGGTCTTTCAGGCATTAAATTGCTTATAGCTCGAAGATTATCAACCTCTCATGTTCAGAATTATCCGAAAAGTTAAAAAAATGGTCGGAGTAATAATAGTTATTTATTATAATGGGTGATTTTTTTGCTAGTATCTTTTTGGCAACACTGTTTTTGACAGATGACGCGTGAATCGTGTCTTGTGTCATTGTCAAACTTGTTCAGTTTGGTCTATAATTTAACCATAAATCGACTTACGAACGAACAACGCTTGCAAATTATTGAATTTTACGGTCAAAATTCATGCTCGGTTAAGAGAGTGCATCGAGCACTGCTTCCAATTTATGGGCAATTTGGTCGGCCTACTGAGGGAGCTATTCGGAAGCTTGTGACTAAATTTCGAACCCAGTTTACATTATTGGACATTAAACCGCCAACACTCAGACGTAGAGTGAGGACTGAAGAAAATATTGCGGCTGTATCCGGCAGTGTTAGTGATGACCGTGAAATGTCGATTCGCCGCCGTTCGCAGCAATTGGGCCTCTGTTACTCCACTACGTGGAAAATTTTGCGACAGGATTTGGGTGTAGAACCTTACAAGATACAGCTGGTGCAAGAATTGAAGCCACACGATCTCCCACAACGTTTCCAATTTGGTGAATGGGCGCTGGCAAAGTTGGAGGAAGATCCACATTTTTATCGAAAAATTATGTTCAGCGACGACGCTCATTTCTGGTTGAATGGGTACGTTAACAAGCAAAATTGCCGCATCTGGAGTGAAAACCAGCCAGAAGCATTGCAAGAGCTACCAATGCATCCCGAAAAAATCACTGTTTGGTGTGGATTATGGGCCGGTGGCATCATCGGGCCGTACTTCTTCAAAGACGACAATGGCCGGAACGTAACTGTGAATGGCGAGCGCTACCGTGCGATGATAACAAACTTTTTTTTGCCCAAAATGGAAGAGCTGGACTTTTCTGACATGTGGTTTCAACAAGACGGTGCCACATGCCACACCGCACACGAAACAATGGCCCTATTTAGAGGCGAGTTCGGTGAACAGTTTATCTCACGTTTGGGGCCAGTCAATTGGCCGCCTAGATCGTGTGATTTAACGCCGTTGGACTATTTCTTGTGGGGCCATGTTAAGGCTAATGTCTACAGGGATAAACCAGCAACGATTGACGCACTGGAAGCCAATATTGAAGCAGTTATTCGTGAGATACCGGACGATATGTTTGAGAGAATGTGCCAAAATTGGACCTTGCGCATGGGCCATATAAAGCGGAGCCGCGGCCAACATTTACATGAAATAATGTTTAAACATTAAATTATATCGACCGTTCTATCGACTCAAATAAAGATTTAATCGTTTTTTTAAATTTTTTGTGTTTTTTTTAAATCAAATCCTATACCTCTTAAAAAATCACCCGTTACAAGGGAAACAGGTACTAGATTTCAAAAACGATGATTTATTATTGGAAAATTATATTAATACAATATTTAAGTCAGAAAATTATCGATGTGAAATTTGAATTTTGAAATTAGTAGGCTATGTTGTACTTATAGCGACAATTAGACCTACGTTGCTAAGGAAACTTTTAAGGTAATCAAATAGCTGTCAATTCAATTTTGTGATTAGATTCAAAAATTGTGAACTTAGTGGTTGTTTAGAAGTTATTTTTAATACTATAAAGTTAAAAATGTCTGATTCCGAGTTTTCTTTGATTCCACCGGAATTAGTAGAAGTAGCCAAAGTAGCGTAACAAAAATTATTGCCAGCCAAATCGTTTATACAATATCCGGGAAAAAAGTACTGATTTTTCTCCTCCGGAAAAAAGAAATTCCATAAAAAGTGACATTTTGTTACCTGCCAACAGAGATAAAATGTCAAACTTTTTTCCCGTCACAGAAAAAAAACTTTTCAAGCGCTCACAAAGAAAGAAGCCAAGACAGCTACGCGCAGCCACAAACTAAGATACTTAATAGTGTAGGTGGTATCTTCGCAACTGATTTTTTCCGTATTCTTATTCAATGAGCACCCCTTTCCGAATCTGCAAGACCCAAATTCGCCTCAGACATTTTTTTTAAAACTTTTTTAAACGAACAAAGAAAAAACATTCTTTTCGGTCTGGTCAAAGTGTGTTTAGCTCCCAAAGCATTTTAAGGAGTATTGTTACTGCAAACCTTTTTTTTAATTGTTAGTTCAAGATCAATGCATATTCTGCATGATTGAGAGACAGATCTTAGCCGCGGCTGGCAGCCACCATCCCCAATATGGGCGCTCGGCTAACAATACTCCTTGAAATGCTTTGGGTTTCTGTTAATGGACGTTTATAAAATACTTGGGAGATTTCATACTTTTTCAAATATTTTAGAAAAAAAAAACTTAAAAATACTTTGAGCGGAGCAAAAAACAGTATTTGGAATCTATAAAAAAAATTCTTCAAAAAGTTTTTGACATGAATCTGAGCCTACCGATATACAGATTCTTCAAAAGGGGCGCTTTTTGAATAAGATTGTGCAAAAAATACTATTAACATATTTTTTCCATCGTGGGAAAATCAGACGTACTAGCTCCCCCAACGTAAAAAGACTTGCTGTATTGTTACAACACAAAAGTAAACTCACCTGAAGTTCAGGAAAACTTTCACGTACTATCAACGTCCACAAATTATATAACACACACAAAGTCACAATTAATAACCAATAGAAGTAAAAATTTGAATCTGGGTTGACAACAGATTTTGGTTGTTCCCACCTTCTTCTTTTCCTTCTCCTACGCGAATCACCATGGTTACCTTTAAGAAAATAAATAACAAAAATTATTACCGTTTTGTATATTGTAAATGTTCTATTAGATCGAGTCGTGGGATCATTTCTAGGAAGTTTCACATAGACATCCAGTAAACGACATGTGAGGCGTTGAATTTTATTCAATCTTAAGATTGTCGTGGACATTGAGTGGCTCCCCATATAATTTCACAGTATACAGGGGTGTTTCAGAACTCTGGGATCAAACTTGTAGGGGTTATTCAGTGTAACAGTAGAAAATATTTGAGTATAGGGACCCATATCCGGCGCTTGTGTGTTGTCATCTCTAAAAACGATAACGAGATTGTTTTTTGTAGCTGCATTCCATATCGCCTTAGTCGTGCTATCTTATTTGTGAAGTTTGCAGGCATTTAACAAAAATTAATTGTTGTTAATGGAAAACTTTACCAATCAAGAATTGATACTGGTGTTGCTCGAATCGTAAGAAAGGTCGAATTCGAAGAAGAGATCCTTCAGTGAGTTGCCGACGAACCATCAAGTAGCACACGTCACATTGCTGAGGATATGAATACGAGTAACGCTTCCGTCTGGTGGGTGCTACACGAGCAACAACTTTATCCTTACCACTTCCAGAAAGTTCAAGGATTGACTGCAGCCGATTATCATCCTAGAGTTCAATTTTGTCAATGGCTTCTTCATCAAATCGTTGCACAACCAAACTTTTTACGCTATGTTTTATGGACCGATGAAGCATCTTTCACAAGTGACGGTATTTTTAATAGTAGGAATAGCCACGTTTGGGACAAAGAAAATCCCCAAACAATTTTTCCTAGAAAACATCAGCAACGTTGGTCTGTCAACGTATGGGCAGGCATTGTTGATGATTATTTGGTTGGGCCATACCTTCTACCGGAACGGTTAACAGGACCTATTTACCGGTGTTTCTTGAAGGAAGTTCTCCCAGAACTTCTTGAAAATGTTCCATTGAACGTTCGACAGCAAATGTGGTTTCAGCATGATGGAGCGGCGGCTCACTTTGCTGTACAAGAAAGTGAGTATTTGGTTCAGCGGTTTAGGCACCGTTGGATTGTCAGAGGTGGAGCAGTTTCTTGGCCTCCTAGGTTACCCGATTTACCGTCGCTAGATTTTTTCCTGTGGGGACATGTAAAGTCTTACGAAACTCCAGTAGAAACAGAGCGAGACTTAATTGGACGAATTACAGCAGCATTTGAAATCATTCAAAACGAGTGTCAAATTTTTAGTCAAGTCCGCCGATATCATGTGCGACGTTTAAATCGGTGTATTCAGGTTGGAGGAAGACATTTTGAACAATTGTTGTGATGATATCATATACAAAAAGCAAATATTAAATGCATTAAATCCTACTTAGGCAATTCATCGTCTTTCTGAATTTTAACGCATCTTATGGCCGTAGTGCCGTAGTGACACTTTTCCGGATATGGGTCCCTATAATCAAACGTTTTCTACTGTTACACTGAATAACCCCTACAAGTTTGATCCCTTAGTTCTGAAACACACTGTATAAACATGCGAGCAAGTGAAATCCCTCCTGCTAGTATTTTCCAGACAAATGAATATTTCGCGCGAAATGTTCCTAATTCTTGCGGAAAGTGTATCCTCCGCACTCGACACATTTTAGGAAAATAAGTATTTTCAATGGGTCAAGTTAGCAATTTGAAATTTGAGGTGATGTAATGCATGAGCTCTATATTTTCGAGTAAATGATAAACATTTTAAGATGGTGTTTGGGAGATATTTTTAATAGAATGAAATGGCGTATGTGATTTGTCATTTTATAGCTCGGTTTGAGGAATTTATAGCGCTTAGATATGACGGACTGTGAAATTGTCAAAGTTGAGTGTGTTTGTTGATACATTGCACAACACCAGTTCTTATATGAATTTTCGTCTCTTGGGATGAGCTATCCGAATATGTAATAAAATAAGGTTGATATAACATACAACAGCGTTTTGATGATTAATAAAATAATAATATGCGCTATTGCGTTATTAAGAAAGTTTTTCAACAAGCCTTTTGTACCTTTCTCATATTGCTAGTTTTTCGGAATTTCCATTAAGAATAAGTATTTGCACCATTTTCAAAGTTCAAAATAAGAAATGCATATTTTACACTATACACGTGGCGCGCGCACGATATGCGCGTTTTTGCAATAAGCTGTCTAATCAACCCACCTAGGCAAAGCCGTATAATATACAAGTGACATATGCAACACCCAGAATTATTTATTGAATTTTTATAAAAACTTGTAAACATATTTCCTATCGTGGAAGTATACGCTGCTTAAATGTTGAAGGTATTCCGAGCCGTACATTTTTTGTAAAGGCTTTTCAGTTATTTTTTGTGTTGGTTCCATTTGTTTCATTGTTGTTTCATTGAATTATCATGCCTAGAGTTTTTAGACTCACACACATCGAAAGGAAGCTATTGTAATGAGATGTTATCGAGCGTGGTTCTAAGAAAACCGAAATCGACGAGTTAGAGTTACTGGACGTCAAAGACAGACTACAGAGCGACAGGATCGTTATTTGAGGCAACTAGCACTTAGAGATCGATTTTCCACAACAAGGGCAGTTGCGAACCAATGGTTTGTTGTTTTCGGAAGCGCAATAATAATAACGACAGTTTATCGCTGAATAAGGTCTTTTGGACTGTTTTCATACCGTCCCTATCTCCGACCTCACAGCATCGTCGACAATGATTGGTATGGAATAGGGAGAGACTTGAATGGAATATGGAATGGCACTCAGTTGTGTTCAGCGATGAGTCCAGATTCTGTTTGGGCACACACGATGGCCGTGCAAGAGTAAAGAGGAGACGTGGTGAAAGACGGAAGGTCTAATATTCCATCTAATAGCATATTCATGATGACATGACTGACCAGCGCTATATCCACGAAGTTTTACAGCTACATCTGCTTCCATTTTTGGAAACATTGCAAGTTCCACTTTTTTAGCAGGACAATGCGCGACCTCATGTCGCAAGTGTTAGCTTTTTAGAAGCGTCCGGAGTAAATCTACTTCAGTGGCCTGCTCGACCTCCAGACCTTTCCCCCGTCGAACATGTATGGGAAGAAGGTTGCAAAATCCACCACACTCTCCACAAACATTGGAGGCTCTACGAAACCAAATTCAGATGGCGTGGGATACAATGCACCAAGAAGACATCAATTACATAATCCAATCAATGCCGTGACGACTTAACGAAAGTGTAGCGAACAGAAGGGCTTCAACACATTATTAACATCAAGGTGGGATATCTCAGCTATTTTGTGAAATTTCAAGTTAAAATTTTAATCACTCTCTATTTATTAGTAGACCTAAAACTTGTAAACGTCAGAGTTACAGCACTCATAGTCGGTGATGCATTTTCTATGTCATTTAGTAGATTCAAATATATGTATGTAAGTCATAGCCACATCACGCAATCAAACCAAAAAAAAACAGGAATAAATAATCTTCAAGAACTAATTGTTAAGAGCGCTTGTTTTCTTGAACATTAAAATTTGCTCGATAAAGTAAAATTTTTGATTTTTTATTATGAAAATTTCTCTAAATGCCAAGAGAAATTCTTTACTTGTACATATTACATCACCAACTGTTCAGTTTTCAAAGTATACTATAACATCTGTATAATCTGGATATTCACTAAATATTACTCAATATCTGCCTGACTGCATTTAAATTTTTATTGTGGAACTTCGTCAGTCATACGACTCGATCGTACGTCATAGTATAAGGTCCAACGACACTCGACTCTACGTTATAGCGAATTCGGGTGGAAATGTAACTTATTTCAGCAGTTATATTTATAAATCTTCCTGGAGGATTGAATGCCATTTGAGGAATGACCGATTCTTGGGTTTCGGCCCTCGAATTGATTGTTCGCTCATAGGCGACTCTATTTTTGTTTTGAAATAAATAATCGGTAATGAAGTGTCACACCAATTTATACGGACAAAGCGAATGAAGGCGACCGACAGGGTTATTACGTAAAAAAACCTATAAAGAGTCAAAAAACGACAAAACGTCAACTGTCTGACTAGATAGTTGCTAGTGCACAAATAGTGCATTCCATTATTGCTTGCTGTGAGCGTTGTGAGCATCACCCTAGTGTCATCTAGGCAGGAACGATTCAACGACATGCTAGCGTGCTTTGTTGGTTGCAGAATGGCGAGATAGCCTGTAGAGTAAGTACCTCTGAAAAGATGTGAAAGAAAGAAAATTTTTCCCGGTTTTTTGCGTTTTAAAAAAAAATTGAGAAGCAATACAGTAAATCAACACCGTGCCCACAGAAAAATAGGACTGACCCATCACACAGAAAACATTTTCGCAGAGCCTCGTAGGTTCTGATTTGTATTTTCTACTTGACATCAAATTTATGTCAAATTTAAATGACTGAAAATAAAAAATAATGTAACAAGCAATAACACTTTCACGATTCATGAATATTCCTGTCTGAAACCTGTGTCCTCACCCGTTAGTTACAATATATTTCACCAACCAGGAATTTTGTTTTTTGTCTTCACATTTTTGAAATTCAGCAAATTTATGTGACTTCCAGGATGAAGTCCGTGTTTTGAGACAAGAAACTAAAGGAATTATTATCTACGCAGATTCTTAGCACACTAATCCTCACTATGCACCGATGCCTTGCCGTTTGCTTCCAGCTATTGTATTCTTACAGCTTAGATCTCCAATAACGCCATCTCTGGACCAGATGTTACATCACATCAGAGTCACAAAAAGGTAGCTGAAGCATCATGACGTTTAGGCAACACGTACAGCTACTAAACGAGTGTACATGAAGTGGATGACAGTTAGTTCTAAGTTGACATCTTGTGGAAAAATCCTCATAATGTCACAAAAATAATATCAAAAACGACATAATGTCATTTTTCAAGATACGTAGTACCCCCGCGGCAGACTCCAAAAACATATTCACGCAATGTCCTCTCTCCGAATACCTCATTTTTGGTTAATTCATAGAAATTATCTACACGAGAAAATCTCCATTGGTTTTGCAAAGGTGTATTAGCAACATTTACCGGACAAAATACACATGCTCAGTATAACAAACTTAATAAGTATAATCTCACTCACCTGACGTACCACATTCGCTACCAGTATCTTCGACAGCTTTTTGAGCTTCAGTTCTTGTAGAAAAGCGTTGTAGAAAAGAATCTTCTCTTTTTAAAGGAGGTTTCTGGAATACAGAAATAGAGAAAACTATGGAAACATCATTGGAATCTCGAAAACTAGGTGTTACGAACGCATTTGGGTAACAAAGACCCTTTTGGAAGTTTCTAGAATCCTCGGTATTTCTGTAGACTGGTCTATCTCTTAACTATTTATCTTCCTGAAGATGGAATTCCAGAATAAACTGCGCATTTATTGCTCTACAAGATGAAGTAATTAAATTTTAATGTTGATGGTTTGTAACTTGCTCCGACGATAGACTTTCCGACTTCAGTGATGCATGATGCTTCCGCCTTATCAGCTAACAATATTCTCCCCGACTTTGTCTTGGATCTGGGCAATCAGACCTGACAGACCTATTGACACAAGACTTTAACCAAGAGCAAAGGTCCTACGGACCGCTCTAACAGACAATGACGAATAGAAGCTAAACATATTTTTTTAAAGCTATTTAAGAAAGATCCTAGGATATCCGATAAAAACATTTAATTCTAATTTGAATAATAACTTTCCTTCGAAAATATTCATATTTAACATATGGTTATAAAAATTTAACATTCATTTCCCGTCGAACTGGGCTAATATACTGATTCCGTAAATGTAAAGATTCCTGTCACCTTGGAGCATTGGGCTTTTACAAAGTTTAAATGAACTAGTGAAAGGCTTTGTAGATGCTTGTACAGTTCACACTTGTACGAAATTAGAGGAACCACAAGTAGTATGCCCCCAAGAAACGTTCTAGACCATTAGTATCGACAGAAAAGTCTGAATTCAAAACTGGGCTAGATGAATGGAAACAATCTGTCTTTCAGATTGAGCCTTCCAAATGAAAAAAAATACCCTTATTTCGACCTGTCATGAATACGTGATGTACTGAATGAAATGGGTGCGCCCTTTCTAAGTTAACGAGTTGCTTGGTACACTTATGAGGCGCAAGAGGATCATCACTTTACTCAACACCATGTAGCATAGATGACCTCAAACCTCTATAGTTCAGATGAAGCACAATAGATTTTCCGGTTCAAGACGTTTTCAACCTATGTACAGACAAGGACGATGGTGATTTTAAATTTTGTAATAGTCATCCGATGATTTTCCAACAAATCAGTGCATAACTTAAAATCATAGAAACTTTGAATGAAGCTAACCACTTCGCTTTTGAGATATAATCCGTAGTATTTACAATTTGAGGAAAATCTACCGTTTGGTTTTGAAGTAAAAGAAAAATAGCGTCTAGTAGGTTAACTTTATACTACCTACGAAACGCTGTTATCACTTGGACCGTCAAGAATTATGTTCGGCCTGACATAGCCCCTCTGAGGAAAACGTTAGCTACGGGCATGTAACACAAAGGAATTAAATGGACCAAGTCAGCTAAACATCCCCATGTCCCCTCCCATTTGGTAACCATATAAATTTCTTTCCTGTACTACAAACAGACTGACAGACAAACCGCCAGACGCACTGACAGATAGACAGACAGACGGAAATGAGTGACATGGCGTTTCATGATGTATACGTCATATAATATCCATAAAAGCATAACCTCTCATTTTATACATTATTCGCGATAACAATACTTCCTCGCCTATAGGCCGGAATGTAGGCGTAAGAATCCGTGATTTCCGTTAGCGTTGCTTTGAATTAAATTGGCGTTATGTCATACCTGGATTGTTTTTGTAGGGATATATATACATATATGTATTCAAAACGCTAAGCTACAGTATATTCAGATAAGAGATAGACCGGATGTAAACAAAAGGTTCGGGTGATTTTCACGCTAACGTCGCCGTCTCGACGTAAAACAGGAGCCCTCATTGGTCAATTCGCAATTAAATGCCTATGCCGAGCGGCAGGTTCAGACGTGTTACGTATGTCGTGTGCATCATTGCAATTTGATATATCTTTGGACGTTTTCGTTTGTTATCTTATTAAGTTGTTGAGTTTGTCGTTGTTATTGTTATACCTTGTTATTGATTGTTATTGTTATCAACTGCTTGCGCAAAATGCCCAGTAGTACAGATACTGCCGATGAAGTTGTAAACTCCTGTAGTCCACCTAGGAAACGCTCTAAAAAAAAGACACCTGAGTGCAGAAATGAAAGAGGTCATTTTGAATATATATAAGATCGAGCGCGAGGAGAACGAGGCATCAACCATCAAAGAAATTGTTGTGAAGGTTTCTCACAAAGTTGGGGTGTGTCGCGCATCAGTGTTTAATGTGTTAAGACAATACAAAAAAAATCACACCTTTTCTGAGCCAATGACCAGTAAACATCGCAAAAGTATTGTTAAATCATTGGATGAAGCTGATAAGCATGCGATTAGGAGGAAGGTGCATGAATTCTTCTTTAGGAATGAAATACCTACTATAGATAAAGTACTGCAGGAGGTAAATGGAGATACAACGTTGCCAAATTTCAAACGATCAACTTTCCATGCGTTACTGAAGCATTTAAATTTCAAATGGAAAAAACGGGGTCGTAATAGTTTACTACTGGATAGAGAAGAAATTGTGCTATGGAGGAGGGATTATTTAACAAAAATTGGGAAATATAGAAATCAAAACAGGAAGATTTATTACCTTGATGAAACGTGGGTAAACGCAGGACACACTACAAGTAAAGTATGGGTTGATGATTCTGTAACTTCATCCAGGAGGGCCTTTCTAGATGGACTGTCCACCGGATTAAAAAATCCAGCAGGGAAATACGAGTAATAAACAACAATCGGATGTTTTTCAAACCTTGGGAACAAGGTTCTAAACATTAATTCCAGGGGGCAGATAAAACATATTACAAGTAACAAAACTTTTATAACTTTCGATAAAATGCGTGGATGTTTTATTGTCATTTTCATTTGTTAGAACTTTTTTAAGCCATGTTTTTATGTGTTTTCGATATTTCAATAATTTTTTAATATAATCTTAAAATATGTCGAATATTATAAACTTAAAAAAAGTTACTAAGTTTTATATTGTGTACCGTTCCTAATATTTCTAATCATTTTAATTCATACTTTAAGCTTTATAAAGTTATAACTTGTTAATATTAATATTTGCGCGTATTTCAGGTTCCTGATCATTCATTTTTTAAAGGTTTATAACTTTAAATTAAATTGTGAAGCGCTGAGTAATCATACGACGTTCAATATTCTTTCTTTCAATATGACTAAATAATCCCAATTATAGCAATCTGATACTCATGTCTCAATGTTTTTTCGCTGAATGTGATGAAAACATTTGAAAAAGGTTCGCTTATTGAAATAAATCTACCTGGAAATTGAAGTACTAACTGGTGTAAAGGGAAAAGGCTCATTATCTGCCATATTGGCAGTGAGGATGGATTTGTTGTTGACGGTCTGTGGTGCTTTGAGTCTAAGAAAACTGGAGATTACCACGAGGAAATGAATGGCGAATAGTTTGAACGGTGGTTTTCAACAATTTTACCGAACTTAGAGGAAAACGCAGTAATTGTGTTGGATAATGCGCCTTATCATTCTCGAAGAATGGAGAAGGTCCCAACAACGGCTTCAAGGAAAGTTGATGTTCAAAATTGGCTCCGCTCGAAAAATATCAACTTTGAAGAAGCAATGCTGAAAGTACAATTATTAAGAATTGTCAAGGATCACAAGGCGGAATATCAAAAATACGCCATTGACGAAACGGCAGCAAGTCAAAATAAAACTGTGCTCCGTTTACCTCCATACCATTGCGAGCTCAATCCCATTGAGCTCATATGGGCAGAGGTTAAAAATTATATAGCTAAGCACAATACAACTTTTAAATTTTGTGACCTCAAAGGACTTTTCAAAGAAGCACTAGAATTAATAACAGCGCAAAAATGGGAAAACTGTATTAAGCACGTGAAAGACAAAGTTGAAAAGAGAATGTGGGAACTGGACAATATTTTAGAGGAACAAGTCGAGCCATTCATTATTGACGTTGGTGCTTCAGGCAGTAGCGATGATGAAAGCTCATCAAGCTCATCTTTCCAATAAAAGATGTCGTTCATCAAATTCGGTAAGTTATAAGTAATTATAAAGCTACTGTATTTTTTAATTGATTATTGACATTTTTGAACCCATTTTGGCAAAACCTATTCCAGAATCTACTTTCTGACAATGTTCAACCATGCACATTTTTTTACGTTTTGAACGTTTTAATTTGAGATATACGATTATTTTTAATTTAGGCTAATTTAAACGCCATTTTGAGATTATATTCGACTGTATTTCACCAAACATCAGGCGGCATCCGAAGCTGGAAATCGAAGCGAAAATTTTGAAACCCTTATGTATATTTACATCATTATATATTTCTTACCCCACCCCCACATGATCCTATATCCATCACCAATCGTATACACATCGAATTGAGCTAATTTACTACAAAGTTACGCAAAGCAGCATCTACTATCTAAAATATGTACTGCGTGACTCTTAATACGTCCCTGCCGAATGTTACAGCGTTCGATGATCACGTGGTCTTGTTTATGTCCGGTCTATCTCTTATCTGAATATACTTTAGTATGACATCGCTGACCATCTACACCTCCATATTTTCCTATGGCTGTGATCAAGCTGTGATAGTGCCAATAGCTACCCGCAAGTAAAAATTCAGGTCTTTGCGTCCCACACGTAGAATTATCGACCAAGCGGCACGCACCCGAAAGGCTTAGCAGCGGGGTAGAGGGTGAGGGTGGTACCAGCTGTATTCGTGATCGGTGGTTATTATGGCAAAATATCGCACTGGCAAGTGGGACGACTAGGCCGCTACACTATGAACCGTTGTTGTGGCAATGTTGTGCTCTGAAACTAGGATGAGTAGGTGTGTTCAAGGGATAGTGGGCAAGCCGTATCATTTTATCATGAATTTGTTCATTGCACTGCCACCTTGTGGATTATGGTCTTTCAGGGGGTAGGTATGAAGGCCGTTAACGGGGCTCCGACAATCTTGAGAGCCATCTTCTGAGGTAACAGACAGGTGAATCGGAAACGGCAGTGGGCTCGGCTACTTTAGAAAAGGAAGGGATGACTGCCTGGGTAAATTTTGCATAATTACATGGTCGGATTTCTTTTTAAAAAAATCGAGAAGTTAAACAAAAATTGTAAGCACTTCAACCCACCTTAAACCTTAAATCTCCGATAGCATTTTGTCTGCATGAGTCTTATGAACACAGTGTATAAATTTCATTCAGAAATATTGATAAACGAAGTATCACTTTCGAAGCAGCCGAAAATGGCTTGAAACTCACACGTCGGAGACGCCTTAATGGAAATATTGCGGCTCCTCTGAACTAACGACGATGCTCGAATGCTTGAATTCGGTTGTGCAGTTCTGCGTTTTTAACGCTTTGTTTCATAGACGGAAAAGAGATTACATGATTCGTTCCATACATACCTTTGCTGATATTGCTGATGATATCTGGACGGTTGTCCTAAGCTTCATCCATCTCTGATTCGACTTACTCCTGCGAAAGTAAAACTTTCCTCAGTATAATCCCCAGATCTACTGATTATTAATTAATTATTATCGTTATTATTGATTTACTTGGCAAGTAGAGCTTGAGCTTGAGTGGGCAGATAAACAGTACATTTAGAAAAAACTTCCTGATATTATGGCCTTTCCAAGTACTTTTTAAGCAATAAAATATCCTAAATATTATCTTGGCAAGATAGATAAAATGTTGCGAACTTATCCTATGACTGAAATTGCCAATTTCCTACATTCCGGATAGAGTCAAGAAATGATTAATGAAGAATAAATTTTCAAATAATGTCAGGTATGAAAAGAGAGAAGGGGACCCTGTAACCGGCAGAGGGTTGAGTCTACAAGTAAGGAAACACAAAATTCGTTTCACCTGTTAATGGATACCCTCCCAGAAATATAAAACTGCAACGTTAACAGCAATATATCGACTCTCACAATTCACGTGAACCGTGAATTATTATCTAACCAAGCCGGTGCCGAATCGCTCAGAATATAAAATTTTACTACTCAAAGCAATTTAAAGACCGTTTGTTCGTTGAACTATAATTCCGGAACTTATCTTTCGGTTCCACTCAGGAAGTCGGGAAAGGAGATTACGGCACTCTGTGCGCGCCCCCGCAGGATTATGATATTAAGACTACGCGCCCAAACGGCCTTCGTGACAGTCAAGACGTCTGACCTGGTAATGTCTCGACAAAATGGTGGACCACGGTTGGCTATGCTCAGATTTTCAAACCCTCCGCTGGAGAAACGAGATCCAAATTAGGATCGCCTCTGGACAATATATACCTGGTATATCCCCGTAATTAAAGATAATGTCGTCGTTTAGCACTCTGCTATGTGTCGGTCGGGATTACGCTGAGCAGCTCACGTTGCTGAGTACAAAGAGAAATAACCCTAGATGTCCTTTCTCGGACATGTGCTCAGTCTGTTAAACGGCGTCGAGCTATCATCTCGCTCTTGCGCTACCAAAAATTCATAGTCCAGTCCCACTAGAATTTTATATGAAAATACTGGTGGTGATGATGTTATCAGATTATAAATTCCGGAAAAGAGGACAATGTAAAAATTAATGAAAGAATGAAGGAAAAAATAAATATTGGCAGAGAGCCCTCTATTCCTAACTCCTTCTCTAAACGCAGTCCGCATAGGATGTGGTCGGACACTAGCCTAGACATTGAATCCTAATTATCTATAAGACATGCGGTTTAAGATTCCTTGTACTGCTATTGAGTACATGTTATTATGTATATACCTATTTTTTTGTAAAGACTATAAGTGGATTTCAAAAAAGATAAAATTTTGCGCTGACTTCGATCAATTAGTCTTGTTGAAATTCAATTTGATGCACCCTGATTAAGGTCTCTGAATATCAATGATTTCTTTTGAAAATAGCATCTTCTGATTCTAGCAAGATGCTTTTGTACAGAGAAAATAGGACAGCTTCCATAGATTTTGCTATTTATTATCAATTCAATTTTTTATTAAGTTTAGTATCCTGTTTTGGACGTCTGTCTGTCTGGCAATCCCCAATTTATTTAGCTTGACATACAGTGTCTACAGTTGTTCACACATTATTATCACCTGTAAAAACATGCACGTTTGCCTGTGTTTTGCAAGAAAATAGGATATGCAAGAATATTATTTGCGGAGATCCAGATGCAACCACTCCACAGTATCAAAAATATACAAACTCACGGGTGAGTGGCAGAATCTTTTGCATTTGCTCGCTTTGAATTTGAAGTAAAAACCCAAAAATAGTATATATGATAGATTGATATCAAATCTCTGAAAACATTACTGAAAGGTAATAAAACCATTACGGTCTGTTGTACCTTCAAATTGCAAATGAAGTTCAGAAAATTTCAACATACAGCGGATATTCATCATAGCTTACTATCCTGATTATAAACCTTCGGTGTGATGTATTTTCAAATTGATGAAATGATACAAGAAAGCTATAAGTACAGCGAATTATTAATGAAAATTTACTAGACATCATTATAATCAGCTTTGGTAGATTGTAGGATCCGGAATGGGATAAAATTCTCATTTATTTCTAATAATATATTTGGTATCATCTAACCGTTGCAGTCAATGCATAACAGGTAATGATTTATAGCATAATCCACTACATTATAACATAAATTAGTACGCGGGTCGCTTAGTCGTGGTGATGCAATGTTCGAGGTGATACGTCACGGCGGCAACTGTCGAGTTGGTCACGTTGGGTTACAACGTAAGATATGAAACTCCCTACAAATTTTTAAAAATTGAAGATGTATAATTATTTGAGAACTATAAAACATATGTTTGATTTAGTAATATTTTCGACCACAGGAAGCTTACTATTTCCATTGTACGTCGGCTCTGGTTGATAGCGTAGCATACTCACTAGATGCACACGGTACTTGAAAATACTTGAACTGTAAAAGAGGTGAACCTTAATTGAATTACCGGTGAGGCCAAAAATGTTGCTGAAAATCGCAAAAAAGATTGCCAAAGCATACAAATAACGCTAAATCTGGCAAGCCTGTGCTGTGGTGTGCTGGCACAGCAAAGATACTAATGAGTGAGGCAGGAGATTCCTCTCAGGTGTCAGAAATGGTCAAATGAGAATTCCGTCCCAGAAGCACGGAATATAGAAAACTAGAAGATAGGTATAAGTGTTCTACGAAAATGTTTCATTGCTGTCGATACACTTATAGATATTTGCAACTAAAAGTTTGTAAAATCTTGAACCAAAATTAGCCAATCCGCAGAAAATATATAAACATTAACAACCAAGTGAGATATCTAAATAATCGAGAAGCACAGGCTCCAGGGGCGGGGGAGGAAGTGAGGAATCTCACCTCACTTTGACAAATGGAACCCACCGGTACGTGAGCCGGCTTGCAGTGAGGTGAGATTATCTGAGAAAGCGACCAAAGGAAAAGCTACTGAAATTAGCCTTCTACAGGCATGAATAAAACTGTTATGTATTACCAAGCTATTCAGTAGCGTTTTCTTTCAGTGAAACCAGTGTCCTAGTGCATATTTTATGTTATAACAAAACCAGTATATTATATATAGAGAAAATGATCATGCGGAGAAAGGTATATAACAAAAAATAGGTAAATAATGGGCAAAATCCACAAAAAGGAAAAGTGGATTCAAGTAGAAAATAGGATACGTAACCCGAACAATACGTATTTCAGCTTGTTGGCTTCATCAGGCCCAAAATCAATGCACGTATGCAACCACAAAAATAGATGCACATGGATGTAACATGAGGAAATGAAGATAGAGAGGAAAAAAATGACACACGACGTCCCCAACAAGAGTCAACCTCCACTCTGTAGTATAAAATGGCTAGAAGACCTAGAATTTTCAAGGCGACATCTAACCACAACCACGCGGCCGGTTATAGCCACTTGCGTACAAGCCCAAAGGATCTACAAAGAGAAAATGAGCATGTATATATATAACAAACAATGTGTAGGTTGGGTCTTGTTGGGGACTTCGTGTGTTATTTTTCTCTTTCCATCTTCGTTTCCTCAGGTTACACCCGTATCCGGGTGTATGGGCATGTGCATTTACTTTTGTAGTTGCATATGTGCATTGATTTCGGACCTGATGAAGCCAACAAGCTGAAATATGTATTGCTCGGGTTACCTATCCTATATTCCGCTCGAATCCACTTTTTGCGGATTTTGCCCATTATTTTCCTATGTTTTGTTATACATATACTATATATTATATGATCTTATTTGCTCATTTTGAACTAGTTTCTCACTCATTGAAAAGACATCGCAGGACCTGGAGCGACTCGTGCTGATGTTGTCAACTGTCAACGGTGTCACATTTCGCAGCTCCGACTTGCAGCTTTGAATGCTGCATTTTTTCATGGCTTCCTCTTCTCTTCTTTGAAAATTCACTATAACAACAGGGAAAAGGACAAAGAAATGAAAAAATGTTTGTTATTGACAGATGACTGCACGAGACAAGACATGACAATTCTTTTTTGTTCTTTTGGGAGCAAATTTAATATGAACGGGATGTATTAAGGTAGGCTGTTTTAAACACAAAAACTGCGCTAGTTTCATCAAAAGAAAACGCTATATATGTATATCTGAGGCACAGAACCAAAGCATAAGATTCTCCCATCACTGTGTGTTAAAATGTCAATTGTCCCATAGTGACGTGTTTTCTAGTTAATTTGGGTGAATTCGTTCAATAGGTCGCGTTCTTGACTACAACGCACTAGACTTTCAGCCTAGTTGATGCCTTAATAGTGGAATCTTGGGCTCTCGACAAAACGCTTTCAAAGAACCTTAATAACATCTATCTATACCAAATGACCATCTTTCTGTAACAACATAATAAAAGATGATAAAGAACTGTAACAGGAAAAACAAAATCAAGATTTTTGACAAAAAATAATTTACAGTTTGTGACCACCGCAGGATCCGGAACTTATCGTTATCCTAGAAACAATACGTCTTTAATCTTAACCAAATTTACAGGTCAGCTTTTGTGAGGTATTGACGAAATTTTGCCTCGTTACCAGGCTTAATAGAGAAGTGACCGAAATCGAAAAAATACAGATGTATTTGTTGAAACTTGATACGCCTACACAGCCTATCGTTACGGATCAATTGTGAAACTAGCAGAAAAAGAAATACAGATCCGAATTCATTGAACATTTATAAACCAGGTCTACTAGAAAACAAACATCGTTCCCTGATTTACCAAAACACACACCACCGTGCCATAGGTCGCCACTTGCACTGCCGATAAAGAAGATTTCCTTAATATGTGGATGAGTCACAGTCAACCTTAAGTTCCTGGTAAGGACCTAGAAGCATGTTCCTTTTAGTCCAAATGAAGTAACTGATCGATAAGATGACCTTCTTGTGGAACCGAACAAACGTAGCGCATAAAGACTCAAATAGTAGGTTCATTCTAAGCTTCTCACCCACCGTCGTTATCAGTTCACACAACACCAGCTAGACCATCTGAGAAAGTTGGTCAAACAGGTCCATACAATTAGTAATAATAATAATAATATTAATATTGTAATAATAATAGTATCATTATCTATGAAAGGCGAGAGTTTGTACCTATTCTTACACCTAACTTTATGTAGATGCAGTACATTCGAAGATTTTAAAATAAAAGATCTTAAATTGACAAATGCCATAAGCAAACCTATAGTTATACTAAAAAAAATCAGTCCCTAGACATTCTTACCGTGCGCTACCGCTAGTGGAAACGTCGCCTTAAACGACACTTTAGACCCTGTTAGACGTGGCAGCGCGGTCAGACATAAGAGACTGGAATACGTGTAATACAGGGTTCGGCAATGAAACGGGAAGATTTCGTAAATAATTTTATTATCGAAAAAATATTTTTTTTGTAATTAGTAATACCATACTGGGAAATAAAAGAGCCATTTGATATACAATGTTGAAAAACATTATTTTTTGAAAATTACATCTGTCAAATGGCCTCCGTTGACACGTATGCATTCATGGAGTCGAGCCTGGAAGTTCTGCATAACTCTTCGCAGCATATCAACAGGTATTGCTACAATCTCGTCACGAATTCGTTGTTTGAGGGCCGGGATTGTCCTGGGTGGATCAGTTTCAAACACTTTCATTTTCAGATAACCCCATAAAAAGGAGTCGCAGACAGTAAGGTCGGGAGACCGAGGGGGCCAAGCAATATCCCCGTTTCGAGAAACGACACGCGCTGGGAACAAAGCATTCACCGCATTCATCGAAATTCTTGCAGTGTGGCTTGTTGCACCGTCTTGTTGAAAAAGTGTGTGTTCATTAACTGGAAAGCGGTAGAGTTCAGGTGTGAGGAAGTTCCGAATCATTGAAACGTATCTCTCAGAATTAACGGTAACGGCATTTTCAGCCTCATCCTCAAAAAAATACGGACCGATGATTCCATTTGCAGACGTTGCACACCATACTGTCACTTTCTGAGCATGAAGAGGTGATTCATGAAGCATACGAGGGTTAGCCTCCGCCCAGTATCTAAAATTTTGTCTGTTAACAAAACCGGAGAGGTGAAAATGTGCCTCATCGCTCATCCACAAGTTGTTAACCTGGTCATCGATTTCTTCCAGCCTTGCAAGCATAACCTCACAAAATCTGAGACGCTGTTGATAATCATCCGGGTGAAGAGATTGAACAACTTGTATTTTATACGGGTGATATCGAAGATCTTGATGGAGAATCCTTCTCACCGATCTGTCACTTAATCGAAGGCGTGTGGCGTGACGGATGGCCGATCGACGTGGACTTCTTAAAATGGCTTGTCGAACACGTTCAATATTTCCAGGGGTTCGAATCGTTCTGGCACTACCACCTCTTTCTCTAGACGTCGATCCAGTTTGCTCGAGGTTGTTTAGCCACATTCGAATCGCATGGTCTGACGGAACCGGTTGGTTACGCGGTATGTTAAAATGCCGTCTAAAATCTCGACGCGTTTGCACTAAACTCTCGCCATTTTGGTAATAAGCCTTAACGTAACCGCGATGCTCGTCCAACGCTCCATTGTAGACTAAATGCAAGCCACTCGGGTCCCGACAGGTCTGTGACTGTCCTCCCTACCCCAAATCTTCCCGTTTCATTGCCGGACCCTGTACTATCCCAGAACAACAGAACCAAGGCCGGCGGACGAGAGCAGCAGTCGCAGCCGATAGGTACGCGATCGGTCTACTGAGCATATTTTTCTAAGTGTTAAGGACTAATCTACGGAGAAAGCTATCATGTTTTTTTTATACTCCAACTACCATGAAGGCCTAAGGCCTAAACATCCATGGGGTATTGTGGGGCTTTGAGGGGTACAGTGGAAAGGTGGAACGACTCATGGATTTGGTGAGGGAACACGTGTGCATGCAACATGCACACATTCTGGCCCCGCCTACAAGATCCGCCGGGTGGTACCTCTGCGTTCGACAGTCAGAGACCGTCTACCACCAACGGACAATCACAACATCTATAGCCAAAAGAAAAAATTCTCTTGGGACGGGATTCGAACCCGCACAGCGCACGGCGACTGATCATGAGATCGAAGAGTTTACTACTGCGGCCACCGCTGCTGCCTGTTTGAAATATGTTATATAATTACTAAGATTGGGAGCGTAGAAATGTACTAACATAAAAAAATTAAGACAAACCCCTTCTCCCCCTACAAACTCCACTCCCAAATGTTTTTACCACTACATACTCGTATATATCAGGACCATCTGAAACGAAAAAAAAGACCCTTGCTCATTTTTTTTTGTTTTTGGCCTTTTTCTCTGCCACTACTATACCGATGTTTAAAAGCTACAAAGCTTTTGCGTGGTTCGTATAGTAGTGACATTGTGTAAAAATTTTATCGAAATCCTAGTGGTACTTCTCGGACAGACTGACGGAAATGAGTGACATGATTTATGTACATATTATATAATATCTAAAAACATACTATCACACAACATTTTCAGGATTACAATACTTCACCGCGAGTAGGCGTGGGAAATAAAAGACCATGCAGTCATCCGCCTTGCATCCCAGAATCAACAAAATAAATCCAGAATCGTCTGCCCAAAGAGTATCGTTAGAATGAGCATTTCATGCCCTTTTTAATTATGTGAAAGCAACTCAGAAGTCTCAGCGTATAGGATGTTGTTTTCTGTCCTCTCTTTATGTTTCTGTTTGCATTACATACGATTCGACAGAATAAGTTAAGTACGCACACCAACTTACAAGGCTATAAAAGAATGGTAACTATCGATAAAACACTCCATATCTCGGTTGAAGACCTATTAACGAGATGTTTTCTTTAATCTTTTCAGTCGCCTTTACGATTGGAATATCTCCTTTTTCCAATGAAACACCCTATATTATGAATGGACCAACCCGTCAGAGTTAGCTAAATCGTGCTCAGTATAGTACTTTGTTGTATTCTCTGAATAGGATTTAACCAAGTGAGCATAGGAAAAACAATTATCGACCAACTATATAATGGGAACACTATGAAATTAAACATTAGGGAGTTTTCAGTCGGCACATTTATCATCAAAATGTTATGGTCATACGGAGTAAACGAAGCAGCGACCAAGAAGACTGTTAACTTTATTAACCATAAGACTCTTGTTTATTTGGAAGATCAATGCAAAAGTTCTCAGAATACTTATTGTTGATTTTGGCTTTGACAATCTTCACGGTAGATAAAAGTTTTGAATTGAGGTGTTTGGTTATGGATTAATTTTTTGTATGTTTGGAACTTTGAATAATATGGGAATAAATGGAGTTTCCCATTGGAAGAGGCGAGATTTAAATAAACATGACAAGAACTATTATGCATCAAGACATTTTTGATGGACCTAATCCCCAGTCAGCAATAGCTCAAGTTGTTAGAAGACCTCTGTCAGGAGGAATGCAATAAAGCCGCTGCTTCTGCTCAGCTGAGAGGCAATAAGGATGTCTCATATGATACTTGGCGATAGGTTAGTTGAATATAAAAATGAAAAGTGATTTCAAGACTTCAAGTATATAACATTTATAGCTTTTATGCGATGCCTACAATTGAAAAGCAAGATTGAGACTACTTTGGGCCACTACCAGATGTTATCAAATGTACTTTTATCAAAAGATGAAATGAACTGGAAACCACAGAAATGTTGGGTACAAAGTCTTCATTGAATATGGCTGACATATTAGACTTTAGCAAGAATCTACAAAGCCAAATAACAAAATTTTGAAATAGCCATAGGGTGGAAATGCACCAACTGTAGATTAGCAGGCACTCTTGTTCAGTTCAAATACTTATGATGTTATCCAAAGATAACATGACTTTATACAGGAAACAGTTCACAATACTGTATTTGTATGTGAAATATATCTCTACATTTTTTCAGGCACAGGGGCGTTATGGATGACATTGAGAAGGTAGTGAAAATATGCTTGAAATGGTCTAAAGAATCAAATTTATCGCATTGCATTCTAAATGCCGTTTCCCTAACGGACCCATATAGCATGAGTTGGAAGAATTAAATCATGAAAAAATTACTGAAAAGCTAAATAGGGTGCATAACATTGAGTGTGCCTCTTACTAATACCATATGTTACTCTTTTTTCTCTAAAACAATAATAAATTTAGAGTATAATTTGCAGGGTGTTGCAGCAAATAAAATACTAGGAACAAATAAACTGAATCCGACCCTGAAGTTTTGAGTTTGAGTTCCAGAAACATATTTACCTCAATTTTAAGCATTATTGTATAGGATATTGATGAATCGAAGTTGAAGACCCTTAAATATTTGAATTTTGTGTACATGAACTGCTAGAGAGAAAGATATTTGGATGAATAAAAATTAAAAAAAGAGGCACAATCAATCTACTTTGCTGATAAATTAGCACCATTCGGTTTTTTGTACAAAGTACAAAGTATTTCAATATTCAGCCTAACGGTGTTTATTTGCAAAAAAAAAACAAAGTGAATAAAGCGAGTCAAGCGCTGCATTTTCCAACCGTCTGTTCAGTTTTACGTTGCTCATGGGCCAATTTTTTATCTTCAACAAAACCAGTTCAATTGTGTCTGAGGTATGTGATATTAAGGATTTGGCTTGTTTATATAAATCATCCTGTATATCCGTGAAAACTGAATTTTCTATTCAGATATGAAAACGTTTCATACAACACTTCACTACGTCAACCCTGTATGAACGAAACACCATATTACATGATTTAAGTCTCGTTTTGTATTCTACCAGTGTCTGGTCTTGTGTTAAGAGTAGCAGTTTTATACTTTTAGTTCTTCTTGTTGAATACAATGTTGATGTTGGAACCTCTCTGGTAACTTATAACTATTTAAGTTTATTCAGGGTAAATGTACCTATGTATGTGTGCAGAATTCAACGACTAATCCTGTCTTCTGAAGAACTTTATGAATATAGAACTTGTTTTCTATTAGCCAATTGTTGCTTAAATATATGTTAGGCAATTTTAGTATTTCTAGTTTACAGAGATCTTTGATTAGAAAGTGACTTGGTAAAAAATATATCCTTTATTTGGTGTTTGACAATTCTACGGTATACTCTTAAGAGGTAATGAGAAACTTGTGTTACTTATAGACTTTTGGCAGATTTTCCTTTCACTTTATTGGGACTGCATTTGTAATGACCTTTATTAGTTAAGATGGTTTGAATTATCCCCTATTACATTTGTGAAGTAACTAACTGGTAGAGGAGCTAAAAAAGTAATCTAATTGTATTTATCCTAAAGTGGATAGCTATCCTTAAAAAACATTTAAATTCAAAATTGATAGGCAGGCCGCAGTTTGTACTAAACGGAAAGCTATCATTAATAACCACAAAATTAATCACAAGTACAGGTATAACGAAATTGACGTTTACAGCTGCTGACTGAAGCTCCCTATTATTTCGTATGCCTTTACATTTACCTCTGATGACTACTCTTGGAGTCGTGTTCATTGGCATTTGAGCTGTCATCCTCTTCTCTACTTGTGTTTTGTGAACGGGGTGAATGTATTGGAGAGTTGGCATCGCAGTCATCCCAACTGGCGCCGCCACAGTCACCGAAAGCTCTTGATTGATCACTCGTGCCTGCGAATCAATAAGATTTGAGGGTGTGCGGTGAGGAAATGGACATGGTGAAACCGAAGATTAGATTTATCAAGAGAAGACCTAATGTCTTCCGCCGGTCGGCTCTGTTGACGTTGGGTTCCTCTACTTTCCTGATTTACAATAAAAACACAGCGATGAAGGAACCTCCCCCTTAGTTTGAGGATTTTTTAACACCGCGCAGCTAGAACCGTAAATGCCAAGGAACCGCAGCTGCTATGAGGAGCTTGGAGAAACTTTGTTAACCCGATTTTTGAGCTGCCCAAGGTTAGTAAAACTGGGAAAAGCCTCATGTAGATTGTTTCACAATCTTGATACCCTACGGACAATGGAGCGGTCGTATCTGCCAGTTCTGGGTGTACGAAGTTTGGAACTGTAAGGATGGGAGGCCTAAGTCAGCGTAGCGGCTTCATGGAGGAGATCTCTGAGCAACAAAGTAGAAAAGAGCTATGTCGCCGACGGCCCTGAGACTGTCCGTTGAAAAAAGTCATCGATCAGTCGGGCAGCCCTCTTCTGAACAGCATCGAACATGGATAATGTAGTCGGGGCGGCAAATCAAGTCCTCTGTGATGACACGGATCAGTCGAAATGAATGGCTCTTGACAGAACTCGGCCATCCGTCGAAATCGGATGAGCGCTAGGACCTTTTTTTGTTCGTCAAAGTACAGAATTGTGTACTGGAAGCAACAAATCGTACAAGATTGTTGCGTCCCCAAGCAGTGATAACTTCCAGGTCTCTCGTCAGAGGCAGAGATCGGCTTGTCACCCTGAATGCCTGCATGAAGAGTGCTGTCGTCAGCAAAGCTATGGATTGGATTGATCGTACATGAATGGACGTTATTAATATATGAGAGGGACAAGGTCATGGCCAAGACTGATCCCTGGGAACACCCGTTGACGTTGAGGGATGAAGAAGAAAACCCGTCAATTACGACGGATATCTTGCGGACAAAGAGAAAGTCAGCCACCCATTTTCAAAACTTCTCTGGGAGGCCAAAGGATGAAAGTTTGCACGTGCCACAGCTGATCGAACGCTTTCGTGACATGAGCCTCACCATAAAACTGGATGAGTTTACTCCACTATTGCGTGATGTAAGCTAGGAGGTCCCCTAGTCGTAGACTGCCTACTATTCCTTTTTGCAGCTGCTTTATTTGTTTTAGTACTTTGTGCAATTCTTATTGTTTTTATAGTGATAGCTGAAAATAAATCCTATTATTATTATATAGCGAATTGAATCCATCAGTACACATTGCAGTACTTTGCGCGAGTTCTTAGCATCTAAGCTGGGGTATGAGCCCTTCGTTGCGTTTACAACATCTACATCGTCAGCTAACGGAATCGGTAAGTCCTGATAAGAACCAGAACAGCACAACTGGTGGCGTTCCGCTTCTATGGTTCTTGGCTAATTTAATCTGTGGGATCTTTCAGCGGTTCTTCATTTATTAGTTTGCGTGTGCTACGGAATCGTCCAAGCAATGAGTATATTAGAAATCAGTACCTTGTGACATAGAGCAGGTTCTGTCGCCGGAGTACTGTAGATTATGTGGTTGTATTTGATGGTAGTGGTGATGAGGTTGAAGCAGGTAATCGACGTTCAGTGGTCCGCCTTGACCCATACCAACGTCCATGGTGCGAGGCGAGGGGCCAATCTGGAACAAACCATTTAAAATAAGATATAATTTATGCTGGCGACCTCTACGTACATTCGTGCGGCTCTGGCACTCCGTGCACACGTTCGGGCGATAGAAATGGAAAGAGATAAAAGCATCTCGCCGTTTATAGTGCTTTCCAAAAAGTTCCGCTGTTCTACTCAATTTACTTCCCACATCTACTGGTGGGGAAGTGTTGTATTCGTGAAAAATTTCGAAAATGAGGTGTTATGGTTTTTAGATGTTTGGTATATGTTCAGGGTGTACAACTAAGAATGCGACGTACTGTATCGTAGAGGCACGCGGCCAAAACAGTTGTTACTAAAACAGCTAAGAGAAAAACCTGGAAAATATAGGGCTACAAATATCAATGGTATTTTAGGTTCACATGTGGCCGCTAGAATACCTTTTTCGACATTCTGACAGAAATGGTTAGTTTTCTCCAAAATACATTAGTATGATTTTTTTTATGAAAAAGTAGCTAAATGATGTCTAAACAAACTCGTAAACACCGCATCTCCATATCTTGTTCCTATCCTAAAATATAGGCCAAAGAAGATTTTATACGGAAATCCCTTAAATTTTTATTTTTTTTTAACTAATTTTCTTGGAATTCCTTTTTATTCATCCGAATAAAATCACCCTTTTCGAAAATATTACAAAACATCGCTAAAAGGTAAGTAAGTACTGCCAATAACAAAAGACATATTTTTTGCTAAAATGCATATTCACTATGGGGTATATACGAAAAAGGCAATTAATAGAAGCAGGCCATGGGATACAATAAAACAGTTTCGCGTTACTTTGAGCAACTTTTGTGCTTGTTTTACAAAGGATGAAACTGTTGATATGCTTGCAGTTTATTTTGAACGTCTTCAGAATGGTGCAGTAGCAAAAACCGTTTACGTGACTTGATATCCAAATCAGCGTCTTTGCGATGTGAGAGTCGATAGTTTTCGGTTCAAGTTTCAACGGCAAAGAATTGAAAGGGCACAAGAAGATATCAACTGTGTACTACGATTTGTATATTGGAGGAAATCCTCCTGTCAACACAAACATTATCCCTTGAGTTGGGCATATCATGAACAACGGTTCAAAGTATTTTGAAGGACCATAGATAAGTTCTAATGTCCATCAAAATAATAGCGATTTATTTAAATTTACCTTTTTTAATTACTTTTAGAATGCACCCATATCATGTCGTTTTGCATCAGGCCTTGAAAGAGGAAGACTGATCGGATGTTGGATTATCATTACCGTCGGATTTTAATCATGATAAGCGAAAATAGATAATTTTTATTTCAAATTCTTTGGACCGATAGAATCAATCTGCACAATATGCATTATTGGTCTGCAGAAAATCCGCATTGGTTGAGGGAAGTTCAGCACCAAGCGCGTTGGAGTTGAAATGTGCGGTGTGGCATACTGGGAGTCAGAATTATTCTGCCATATTTTTTTGAGCAATTCCTAAATGGCAATGTCTTTCTTGACTTTTTGGACACTTACCGTTGTTGTTGGAAGTCCACTGCAAATATAGCAAAACTTGTATTTACAGTTGAATTGTTGCCCAGCACATTTTGCAATTATTGTGCGAGAGCATATGTTATTAATACAGCGTTTCATCAGCGGGAAGAGGAAGTCTGTTTACCATGGCCTTCGCGATCACCAAACTTAACTTATCTTGATTTTTATTTATGGGACGGTTAAAGGACATCGCGCTTAAGGGAAGTTTCACCTTCCAAATGTATAGTGTTTACCAACCAAAATTAAAATTTTTAGTATTGTAAAATTCAAGACAATATGTATGGTATGTTGAATATAATATGATTTGACAATCAAAGGATTAAGTGCTAACCTCTCTTTTTAATGAAATTGTAAGTTTATTTGTTGTTGTTTGGGGAATAAAGTCGTTTATATTGTTATGTTATTAACAAATTATTTCTTTAAAATAAACATAATAATTCATAAACGCATAATTATAGGTATATTTGATTTTATATGTTACTACATTACTAGAAAATAATATCCTCTTATTCAAATTGAAAAATTACACGTGTAAAATATCGATTTCACAGCCGAACACAGCCGAACATCAGGTAAAATTTCCAATATTAGCAGCTTAAACAATAGTATGTTAAAAGTTATCTTTATATTAATTTTCCATAGATTTTCTAAAGAAATTGTCATAACCATTCACAACATTAGTTACTATTACAGAGTAATAGGAGATAACTTATATAAAGCAGCTTGTAGAAACAACAGTTCAAACAATACACTAAAAATGAAGGTTCTGTTTGTAGTTACTCTGGTGACATGCATCTACGCATTAGAAGGTTAGTGCCGCTCAAGCAAGGTATTATTGCAAATTTTTCTTTCACAATCACTTATTATGTAGACATCAAACACTACTATTATATTAAACCAAAAATATTATCTGAAATGATAGATTAGCATCTCATATACCGAAACAAATCTATCTCTCATTAGTGTGCAACCATCTATCTTATCCAACATTTCGAACGTTGAATCTAGACTGACCAATGCACTGATAAATGATAGATTGTTGAATACCAACGCTAACAATATCCCATCATCTCCGACTGAAACTTTGGAAATACTCAGAAGATCTCACAATATTATCCTGAAAGGTCTCCCTGAAGGCAACAATGATTCTGATTCCGTAACAGACACAATCAACCACATCGAACCGTCTGCTAATGGATACCGCCTCAACATGACCAGACTTGGTGCTGCAGGTACATCTCGTCCTCAGCTAATAAAGATTGGCTTTGCATCGCCTATAATAGCTCAGAATATTCTACGCACGGATAATGTTATTTTAAGCCACTCTACCTATAACTCCGTTAAAATTTCGGACGACAAAACACCGTCACAAATGCATGAGCTGCAGCAACTACGTGAGGAGCTGAAACGAAGGTTAACCGCTGAAGAACGCAATATCACGATTAAATATGTCAAAGGTAGACCATCCATTGTCAATATTGTTGCACAGCAATCTTCTGTATCAAAAAACTGCTAACCGAGTGGTCGGTGTGCTACACAAACATTCAATCACTGGTATCTAAACTTCTCGAAGTGCGCATTTGTTGATGGAACCAAACCTTCGTTTCTTTGCCTGACAGAAACCTGGCTCAGCCCAAATACACCTCACTATGTTGTTAATTTGCCTGGTTACTGTATGTATAGGGTAGATTCCCCTGGCACACCGGGGTATTGTGGGGTCTGTGTTTATGTACGAATTTGCTGACAATTTCACAAGAACTACTACTTCCAAGAGCGTCGATGGTATCGACAGTCTCTTTTTGGAACTAGCACGGCCAAACTTCAGTTTTGTATTAGCCTCTATCTACAAACCGCGTCCCTGTGCTGGTGATGTTTATTTGTGTAAATTCATTGAAGAACTTCTAACCAAGAATTCAAACATTCTGTTAACTGGTGATTTCAACTCACGTGACATCAGCTGGCCCATGACAACATTACCAGAATGCAACTCTCCTTCTGTCCCTTATATTGATTTAATGCGTAAGGAGATAAAACATCTGCGAAAAACTACCGTCCTATCAGTCTTGTGCCTATAGCTGCAAAAATAGCCGAAAAGATCGTCCAGGAACAACTTATATCATTTGCGTTCAAGAACAACCTACTGCCTAGCAACCAACATGGGTTTATTCCTGGTAGATCAATTATCACCAACATGTTACACTGCATCGACAATTGGACCAGATCTTTAGAAACAAATGAACCGGTCGACGTGGTATATCTGGATTTCTCCAGAGCTTTCGATCAAGTTCTGCATAAAAGGCTCCTGCACAAGCTTGAACATCTCGGAATCAGGGGAAATTTGTTGTTATGGATTGAAGCTTTTTTGTTAGATAGATCTTTCTCCGTCCATGCTGGAAACGCCTATTTTTCTAGCCATCGTGTTACTAGTGGAGTTTCACAAGGATCTGTGCTAGGGCCAATACTGTTTCTTCTTTATAGAAGCGACCTTCCCACCCGACTTTCTTCTATGTGTCTCATCTATGCAGATGATACTAAAGTCGATAACACTGCCATGAACTCATCTCTGCTTCAAGAAGACCTCAAGCTGATCAGAAAGAACTTTGGGTCCTGCCTTTAAATCTCTCGAAATGCTACGTTCTCCATCTGGGAAAGAATAATCCTAACTTAACATATAAGATTGGCAAACATACCTTAGAGACTGTTTTTCATCACACAGATCTTGGTCTGACAGTTAATGACCGGCTTACCTGGTCGGAGCACATTCAGAACATAACCTCTTAGGCAAAGCGGGTGCTATATATGATGGAAAGATCATTTAGCGGTTGCACCGTTAGTACCTTCTCCTTCTTGTACACAACTTTCGTACGATGCCTACTGGAGTTCGCTGCTCCGGTATGGAATTCAAACCTTGTTCGGGATAGTAGCTTATCGCGTTCAGCGTCGTGCTACACGTATGCCTTATGGCACACGTAAGCCAAGTTATGAAGACCGCCTCGAGTTATATAACCTGCCTGCTTTTGCTGATAGAAGAATGCGAGGAGATCTCATCATCACCTTCAGAGCACTGCATAATTTGTTTGTTGTGGATATGTCGCATCTGTTTCGTCTGGCAACGAACAATCTCAGAGGCCATAACTTCAAATTGCAGAAGGAAGCTGTTTTAGAACCTCTACTCGTGAGCGCTTTATCTCAAACCGTGTCTTCGATGCATGGAACAGTCTTCTATCTTGTATAGTGAACTCGGCATCCGTCAACAGTTTCAAAAACAATTATGATAGACACCGCAGTGCTTAGCATATTGTTCCCATTCTGTATATGTCTACTTCAGAAATGCTAAGATTGTCAAATTGTTATATTTCTTTTGTCTGTACACTACTATCTATTATGTGTCAGAGTTTATAGTACTTGTACTCAACTCAAATTTGTTGTATAATAATAATAATAATAAAAATTAAAGGCTGAACTGAATATGTTTGCTTTCCGCCTTTGTAACCATGTCCAACAGCAGACAATGCTGTTTGGTGCTCTTTAGCAACTCACCAATACGGTATAGGTCTAGTATTGGAGACAGACAAACGGAAAGCAAACAACTCAAAATGTTGTGTGACAGAATCGCCACCTACAAGTGCTAAGTTGACATCATCCTCAGAGCATACGCTGAAATTACATTAAAACCTATATGTGTCCCAGCTATGAGTAGTTGCTAGTGCATATTGTCCTTCTTGACAGGTTTCGCCATAAATCAATTTCAAATAACAATTTCTCTACTCATCCGTTCAAGTACACAAACGTTCCTGGCCGCGGCTCACATTACCACGATGGTCAAGGCATGTGTAGACCAGAAAAAGTATAATCTCACAGGATTGATGTCCAAAATTCAGTTTTGAAAGAAGTAAAAATAACAGTTTAATGTAATCGTTATTAAATCCATAGTGTTTAAAATAACTAGAGAATCATTTTGTTTTCCCTCAACACGTTGTCATGCTTCTGAACCATCGAACCCAACAGTCATGACAGTGGCTATGACTCAAAGGTTAGGTGCTTTGGACCGGCTCGCGGAACAACCGGAAAAACTTATCACCGCTCTCATGCAATGAAGAAGCTCTAACTCTTCATCTTTTCGAGCTTTTTCTTAAATATTCAAAACTCGATTGGTTTAGAGGCTATGGATGATCCTTGATATTGTGCGTTTTTGAATTGAATTCAACAGCAAGTTATGATAGAGTCTTATATTTTGCAGAGGGTCGCGTGAGAGGTTTTGGTTCTGACTCTTTTGATGAAATCACTTCTGAAGTTGAGAAAGCTAGACTGAACTTACCAGACCCTTTCGTCATAGATGAACTGAGCTACGTATTGCCTGCCAATCAACTAGGTCGCATCTTTTCGTAAGTACAGGCTGATAGTATCATAACTGCATCCACAATTACATTTTCTAACATTGGAGACCAATAAGTGATATTTATTATGGTGAAGTTATTTCGCAACTAACCAAAAATAACGTAGAAGGATGAAATCTCATTCAGTTGTTTCATTCATGCAACATCATTGTTATTAACAATTTATTATTTTTTAGGGGGAACATTGGCATCAAGAACCTTGTCCTAGCCGGTATGAAGGGCTTTAAATTCAAGGCTTCAACCTTCCCTCCGCTTATCGATTTCCACTTGCCCCATGCAAAGCTTGATGTAGATTATAACTTGGATTTGGCAGCATTCGGCGTAGCATCATTAAAGGTCAATGGAAATGGACACTTTTCGTAAGGAAAACAATTTTAAACTCAACACTCATGTTTGAATTAACATCCATATTACACAATATAAGGTGCTCCTTAGCCCGCAATATTTTTACTACGCCATGTGGCTACAATAGTAACCAGACTGTGCAGTATTCGTACCACACACCGCGCACAAATCAGCACAAATAATTTCTTCAACTTGATTTTTTGGCAATGAGGTAGTCTTTCAACAAGAATGAAACGATAACATTCTCACTAAATTTTATTGACCAGTCATAAGAAAAAAAAAATAATGTGTTGGGTGACCTCGCAGCTGAATAGACTCCTGTATTCGTCTGAGTATCGACAAAATGAGATGATCGATGTCTGGTTGTGGCACCTCATTCCAAGCAACTCGAGCTTCGTCGATTAGCTGCTCAGAGTCTGTGGCGGATGATGAAAAGTGGATACTCTCCTCTCCATCATATCCCACACATGTTCGATGGAATTTAAATCTGGCCACGGCAAAACATTAATGCCTCCTTGTTGAAGAAAGTCCGCAGTACGATGTTATCTTTTAGTTTTTGTGAAGTGAGTAGTTTCTGAGAGCTGAGTAGTACAGATATTTTTAGTTGATGCCCTTTCATTCACTAGTGCCAAGCATAACAAAATGCCTCGAGTTCGAAAACGGCCAAATTATCACCATGTTAGCGACTTTGACATTGTAGAATTATTGCTTATCGAGGTGTTGGTTTGTCCTATCGCGAAATTGGCCGCCGTGTTAATTGTACTGCAATGACGGTAATGCGCGTGTCATGTATGGATAGAAAAAGGTAGACGAACACGAAAAAGACCAACTGGTCCACTGAGGCGTACCACAGAGCGTCAAGATAGGCGCTTCAGACTAGCCCTACGAGACTGTTTTGCTACTACGCGTCAGATCGCTGACCAATGGTTTGGTGAAAAAGGTAGACCTGTTACTTGCGTAACACTCTATCACTGTATTCGACCCTTTATACTTTTTTCATACCGTCCACGGTTAGTGCTTCCTCTGACTGTGGACCACTGTGGTCAACGTTTGAAAGGGAGCAGAGAACGGCAACATTGAGAGGTTGAATGGCATAATGCCATTTTCAGCGACGAATCGCGATTCTGTCTAGGTATGCACGATGGTCGTAGGAGGGTAAGACGCCGTGGAGAACGGCGTGATATTGGATTTGTTATTGAGAGGCATGTACACAGAACAGTTATAGTAATGGTTTGGTGGGCTATTGCCTAGAGAAGTAAACGAGAACATATAGCGACTTCTGCGCTCAAGATCCCCATGATACGGAGACTCAATCTGTTTACTCATTTCATATGGCGTTGATGACGTAACCGGCAAGAACCGTGACTACAGCTATACACTTGGCTTATTTACGATACGATAGGAATTTTGGATAGTAGATATGATGACCTTACTCTGAAATTAACGCTGTTGAATGCTATAAAATTACCCTAACTACCTGACCGTAAGTCAATGAAAGCCGATGCGACACGTTTGTGCTGCGCAGACAGAAGCCTAAACGCCACGACACCGAGGCTGCTATGAGGATCCCAAATAAACTTTGTTAATACGATTTTTGAACTGCCTTAGGGTAGTAGAACTGTCCGTTAGTGAAGCGGTCGATCGCAGACGGCCCACCAATACGAAAGGGTACCGAGACGGTCTGTTAGAGAAGAGTCATCGAACAGTTGGACAGCCCTCCTCTGGATAGCAACGAGCATGAATAATATCGTCGGGGCGGCACCCAAACGTGTGAGCAATACTCGAGGCCAGGTGTTATATGGGCCTTGTATCGTGCTCGGTGATCTGGACCCCGACCAATCGGAATGAACGGCTCTTTGGCAGAACTCGGTCATCCATCGAAACCAGATGAACGCTAGGACGCTTTTTGTTCTTCAAAGTACAGTACTGTGTCTTGGAAGCATTAAACTGTACAAGATTGTTGTGTCCCCAGGCAGTAAAAACCTACAGGTCACTCGTCAGAGAAGAAGTCACTCTGAATTCCTCCATTTATAGTGCTGTCATCAACAAAGCTGTGGTTCGGATTGATCGTACAGGGAAGGAGGTCGTTGATATGTAAGAGGAACAATGTCGGAGCCATGACCGATCCCTGGGGAACGCCCGCGTTAACGTTGTTGGATGAAGAGGAGAATCCGTCAATTATATAAGACGGATATCTTGTGGCCAGAGAGAAAGTCAGCCACTCATCTGCAAAGCTTCTCTGGGAGACCATATGATGGAGGTTTGCTTGAGAGGCCACAGCTTATCGAACTCTTTTGTGATATCAAGAGCAATCACATGTACTTCACCATAAGTCTAGATGAGTTAACTCCACAATTACGTGACGTAGGGAGGTCTTCTGTGGATCGCTGGTGCCGTAAGCGTTACTGCCTGTCGCTAGTCATACCGTGACGTTCCAGGTAGTACAGAAGCTCGAGATTTATCCACCTCTCCATCACCTGACTTATAAAAGAAAGCAGGGCTATAACCATATTACAGCTGTATGGACCTTAGACCCCTTTTCCTAGGATGGGTTGAAAATCAGCGAAATTCCAGTTTTCTGGAAAGGTGCCGAATTCGTAAGACATCTGGAAGAGACGCGAAAGAACTGGAGCAAGCTCCGCTGCAAACCTCTTCAAGTCCGGAACAGAAGCTTTGTTAATATCAAGCGACAAGAGCACACTCGTCTTACGGTTTTATGCCTGAATATTATTTCCCTCAAAGTGGTGAAAGGTGGAAGGCTGCTCTGTGAAAAGTTCCTTTCAATCTTCTTGGCCAGCGTCCAGAAAGACCGACTGCCAGTGTGCTGCGACAACTTCAACGTTGATTTTTAATCATATTACAATTGATCCAAATTGACATACAACTACGCGCCTTAGGGTTAATATTTGATAATTCGAATGTTTTGTAATTGCAACATTTTGTTTTTTCAATTTAAAAATATGTTGTCATATAAAATGTTTTTCTCCCCTTCTAGCATCGAACTTTTTGATGTGGACCTGAAAGTTGATATTAATCCAACCATCTTCCAAGGTCCCAAAGAGAGTCTTAAAGACATCAAGGTTGGCTTGAAAAACGCTAAAGTAAGTGAATAATGATATCCCACTCAACTTTTTCTGCAACTGCTACTTCAAAACATTTAGGTATTTGTGCTAACATCAGCAAACTGTATAACTTTTACATCTTAGGCCACTGGGCGAGGAGCTATTGTGAGCGCAAACAAATTCAAAAGTGAAATACGTTTTTTGGATGTTATATGACACGTACATCACGAAAAACTATTACACTCATTTGGAAAAATACTTTCTCCTCTTAAGATGGCTCAAGGTGAACACAACTTTCAGAACAAATTTATTCCTTTGTTATTTTTACCTGGTCTTGTGCTCAATATACGAGGGGACTTACATTTGTACATATACTGAAGGTAATCTAGTAGCAGTTGCTGCTAGATTATGTATGGGGCAGATTAGAGTTCTTCTGTCCTGCTGGGTGAGTACTGGGGTTTCGCTAGGGGTATACTTCCAACTTTCAAACCTCTCCCACAACTCTCTACAGTTCAGTAATTCAAATCCCAGAACTGCAGCATTTCTCTGGCACAAACAAGCTCAGAAATATTCAGACTTAGCTTAATTTTTCCATAGCTCAACTCCTGCAGTTTTTGTTCTTCAACTCATACATTTTGTATCAATTGTGGTTGATTGAGACTCCACGGACTGTCATTACATGTGGTGCGATACAGTGGTCAATAACTGAGTGCAATGCAGATGAGGATGACAATAAATTGCTGGAGGTTTGTTATCCCCAACCATATTACCCAGGAATTGACCAGGCCGGCCGAACGACAACTGCCCTTACGGTCGGTAGATCACTACCATCGAAGGCCTACAAAATCATCACAGAAGATGCCTCCAGGCGCTTCCAAAGTGCAGCTTTTGTGACAGGAAATTCCAATCATGCGGTATACACGCTGAGCTAATTGCAAAAAATATGGAGTAAGCAAATCATTAACCCATATATGTAATTTACTGAATGAATCGGAAGCATTCCCAGATAGTTACACTACAGGGGTGGCAAAACCAATCGACAAATCTGGTGAAAGCTTTACTCCAAACCAGTAGTAGACCAGTAACACTGACAGCAAACGTCGCTAAAATTAGAGAAAAAATTACAAGAGCAAGGGTACTAAATATCATTAGTATAAATAACCTTATTAGCGAAAACCTATTTGAATTGCAAAAAGATAAATCGACTCAAAATGCAGTTTCGTTCCTAATATCAAAAATGTATAAGTTTCTCGACAAAACATACAACTATTGTAACATCTGAAATATATATGTATATATGTTGGACCCCTTGCATGATTCCAGAATAAGAGGCAATCCATATCATCTCTTTTGCTAAGAAAAATGTGTGCAAATAAGTGACACTGAGTACTGACAAGTAGTACAGTATATACTTTATAGCCTTCTTGATTCGAAATTAGAGGGTACAATCATCTGCTTTGCAGATGCTACTGCTGTTCTATTCGGACAGCAATTCTTGAAGCAACCTAAAAACTGTTGAATAAGACTTATTACGTGTTGCAGACTCGTTTTGATACAAACGATTGACAACTATTGTCATTAGTGTCCAGGCTTTTCGCACATTTGAAAAATAAACTCCTACCTTTTTGGTCCATTGAAATTAAATGTGATACTTTTATCTTTCCGATAACGAATTTCTATCGAGGACTGCCAAAACAAATGACTGTTCTGTTATAGTTCTTAAACAAATTCGGTTGACACGATAAAACACTCAGGTGTGTTTCTAGATCCGCATTTAAAATGGAACACACATCTAGTAACAAACTTGAAATGAATATTATATAAATTCAAGTATCTTACTAATTGTCTGGAAGAAAAAACTATGAAAACGTTATAATATGCTCTTATTGGGCGCAACATTGTCTGACCAAATAACCAAATTAGAAATCATCAGTAAACAGTTTTTGAACGTAATCTATAATTATATTTAAAAACAATGTTATTTGACCTTAGGCCACTCTTTTTCTTACCAAACGGTTGGCGGTAGGTCATTGATGCATACTTACCTTTTCAGCATACTGTACAATACTTAACTTGGTGTAAGGTAAATAGTTTTCAAATATAAATGAATTCAAAATTGAAATGAAAAAACAATACAGTGAAGAGAACCTACTCGAAACAGCAAAACTGATTCCTATGAAAAAATATCAAAGTCTCATTATTTCATCATTAGACGTTACGTATAATATCTCAAAATGTTATGTTTTCTTCATTTTCCCAAGCACAGGGACTCGTTTTTCTGTGGACTCCTTCAATCTAGGTACGTCTGTTAGTTTTAAAGTAGTTGTGCATTTATACGTAAATAAACTCATTTGTATTGTAATATGTGATATGATGCAGGTCTCTTTGACTGGTCTACTGAACGATGAAGAACTCAGCAAAGCAATTACAAAATGGGCGAACGAGAACATCATGAAGATCTTCAAGCAACAAGTGAAGAATATTGTTATTTTGATAAAGGACTTCCTCAATGCCGTTTTACCACACTACTTCAAACTCATGAATAACAGTTAAAAATGCACAATGAGTATCACAGGTTTAGGATTTTCTCCTGATATCGATACAGGGTTACCATTAATTCTATGTTGAATCGTCATGCTAGGAAATAAAGGTTATTTTATTCACCTGTATGTAATTTTCATGGCAGAAATATTGTTACTTGTCGTTCAAATAACACACGAATATACATTTTTTATACTACATATGGATATGTGTATAATAATTTCTTGGAGATGCCGTATTCACATAAAATTTTATGCCGAGGAATAGAATATTGATCAACTCAAACTAACCACTATGTTCTGCCCTGGCATGCTCATAATTTTAACATGGAGAGTTCAAAATATACAAACGTTAAATAAAAAATGTGACTCAGAACTACCAGTACTGAGACAAAGGAAGTATATTACTTCACACGTTGTTTTCTGAAAATTTATACATCCATGATGGATTTATTTTATATATAGATAGATACATGCCCGCTGGTCAGAACATTTCATTATTTACGTTATCATTATTAATATTATGGTAAGGTGGTGGAGAGGATCATAAATTGCGAGCTTCTGGACTACCTCGAACGTCACGGCTTAATTAATGACAGGGGACCTTCAAGCTTACGTCACGCAATTGTGCAGTAAGCTCATCCAGTCTTATGGTAAAGCTCAATTCGTTGCCCTTGATATGAAGAAAGCGTTCGATCAGCTGTAGCACGCTGCCCTCTTATGCAAACTTCCACCCTATGGCCTCATAGAAAAGCTTTTCAGGTGGGTGGATGACTTTTTCTCTGGCCGCAAGACGGATTGATGGGTTCTCCTCTTCATCTCACAACGTCAACGGGTATTCCCAGGGATCGGTCTTGGTTGCGTCACTGTTCCTCGTACATATCAACTACCTCGTTTCCTGTGCGATCAGCCCGAGCCACAGCATTGCTGATGGCTGCACTCTAGATGCAGGAATTCAGAGTGACAAGCCGATCTCTGCCGTTGAGCTGGAACAACGCAACACTTGAACAGTTTAATGCTTCCAAAACAGAGTACTGTACCTTGACCTTGACTTGATCTGGCATGAACGCATCTCGTCAATATCGGCAGCTTCTGGGAAACAGCAATTTGATTAGGACTAATAGGCACTTTTTCCGCAAGACTACCTCACTGTATACAAGCCCCAGATATGGCCCAGCCTCGAGTATTACTCACACGTTTGGGGTGCTCCCATCTTAACTACATTATTTATGCTCGATGCGGTCCAGGGGAGGGCTGTCCGACTGATTGATGACTCTTCTCTAACATATACCACACTATATTCATCTGCGGACCAGTAGAATAACTCTGGCTAATATTAACACGCTTTTATAAGCTTGGTATGTAACTTATATTTCGAGTTCGCGTAAGTGCCTTTTTTTTAAAATATTTTATTTCCGAAATTACAAGTAATTGGCGTGAAGGCTGTTCATTTGAATGACAAGACAAAAGGAAAATATATTACATTCTCGCAGTTGCCAGGCGCTGCGTAAAGGTGCTGAGTTGCATCTTCTATCTTCTAGTAGGATACAGGGTAGCCCTATACCTTGTAAGCATGTATGAATTTTTGAACATAATTCTCACCAACATCCAGAAGTTTGATTAATTTGAAACTTCACACACGTATCAAGGACCGATGATAATGCAATAATTTGATAACAGTTCTACATCCTTATTAGGACCGCCAGGATTGATAATTTCTTTTAAAGATCCTCTGTAGGGGATTAAGAGATATAGAGCTAGCGAGCATTCTGCGCATGCGTGCAGTTTATTTAGGTTCGCGACTGTTTGATGCTGGACAAGCTTATGTAGCACTTAGTCGTGTAAGATCTTTAGACGGTATTCGTATTGAAGAACGTGATTGCTCTAAGTTAGCAGGAAAAAGTCCATGCAACAGTGAAGCTTTAAATGAAATGATTAGATTACGAAATGATTCGTAAGACATTTGAATACCACATCTCCACAAAACACTAATTGATGAATCGATCTAAAAAATGAAAAATAAATGTTAGTTAAAAAAAATAAAAAAACACGGTTTTATAATAATTAATAACCTCAAAATAAAAGTATAATAAAATTTTAGTTATTAGCAGAATAATTCAATTCAGAGTAAAAAGCGTGGGGTGCATTTTACTTCTTTTTCATAACTCTCCTCTTATACATAATTGCCAATAGCATGATTGTAACATTTAACAAATCAAGCACCCCACCCTTTTTACTTTGAATTGAATTATGCTGCCAATAACTTAAATTTTATTATAATTTTATTTTGAGGTCATTAATTATGATTGATTGTTCGACCATCTACTACTGTAATTAAAAATTATTTCCTACTTTTTAGTTCGTTTAGCTATAAAATCGTGTTTTTTAGTTTTTTTAAACTATTATTTATTTGTCATTTGAGAGGCTTTTATGCGCACGCTAGGGAGCACAGGTTGTAGCACGGAGAGCACCAGTATAAACCGAGCTGCCGCTGCGCTCGCTTCAGCCAGGGTCGGACTAAGTTTTCAACGCTGTCAGCTGCGTTAACCTGTAGCATTGTTCAAGTGCTTGATAATATTATGATTCAAACAGATTCTACTTATGGATGACTGTTTTAAGTCTCAACAAATAACTTCATCGAAAAATCTACGAAGTCCTCTATTTCTATAAATAGGAACGGGAACGGGAACAAGTAAACAGGGAAAATTTCAGAACGTTAATAGACCTAATATTTTGATTCTTTGGGGAGATGCTGACTATTTTTATACATAGCATAAACGTTCATAGGGGGTGAACACAAACATAAAACATGCAAAAATTTATTATTTGACGTCCTGCTTTTGGATTATTTCAGTAGAAATATAGGTTGTTCGGAAATTCCGAAACCAGGTATGCCTGCTATGGTTGCACATGTCGCTAAAAACGCTTAGAATTCCTGCATAGCTAACATTTCTCTGAGTCACATTTGATCAATTTGAGTGTAAAGTGGTTTGCAAAATTCAATTCCCTTAATAGTAATTTATGGTAAGAATGTATATAGATCTATAGATATTAATGTGTGGGTACTGAGACTACCTACTTGGTTTCTCGTTTCCTCTATTCAGTTACCATATAATTCTCGAGATACGAGGGATGTCTTTTAAGTTTTGCATATCGAAATAAAACAACACAATAGGTAGTTTTAAATGACTTTATTGTGTTTGGACGTGTTTTATATGAAGATTAATACACATCTGCATGCGATCGAACCAATTTCCAAAGCACTTATTCCACTCGTTTGCTGGCAGATCCAAATCGGCATTTTTGAATGCGTCAACTGCTTCTTCTGATGACTGGAACCTTTGTCCACGCAGTCTGTTTTTAATTTTCGGAAAAGTAAAGAAATTATTGCGACTTAGATCGGGACTATATGGAGGATGGTCGAATAATTCCACGTTTTCTTCCGTTAAATACTGCCTTGGTTTTTGGGCTGTGTGCGAGCTTGCATGGTCTTGGTGGAGGATGATTCTTCTTTAGGGGTTGGCAAACAAATGGTGGTATACCGATCCGCAATAACAATTCTTTGCTCATTAAGAGGAATTGTTGCAATATGACCCGCTTTTGACACAAATGTCGCGACCATCTTTTTCGAAACACTTCGAGAACGGATGACTTTTGTTGGCTTTTCTTCACCTTGGAACACCCAAACAACCGACTGTCGTTTATTTTCTGGTTCATAACAGTAAATCCAAGATTCATCACCACTAACAATGCTATAGATACACATTTTTTGAGTTTCCGGAATTGAAACGGTCAAGCGTTTTTTGACACCAATTAACCCTGGCTGCTTTCTGCTCTTCAGTCAACAGGTATGGTATCCAACGAGAAACTAATTTTCTTACTCATAATTCTTCATATAAAATTTTTTGAGTTGAGGTTTTTGAGATCTTCAAGGACGCCTCAATCTGGCGATATATCACATGTCTATCTTCAATGAAGAGTTTGCGCACAGCATCGACGTTTTCCTGGGTGACTGCCGTTTTTGGTGCACCCACCCTGGAATAGTCGCTAAGACGTTTGAATTCTCGATACACAACGGGGAATTGACGACTGATGTGGCGCTTCGTTGCCGAAAACAGACAGTAACTCAGCAAGGCAGTCTTGTTGCGATAATTGTCTCTGAAAGTTGTAATAAATTATGGCGCGAAAATGTTCTCGGTTGAGTTCCATTTTTCTAATGACTTGGTGATACTTAAAAATTCACTGTAGTGAGAACACTGCACGTATTGTTGAGAAACTTTGAATTTAAGTTTACTAAAGAGTGAGGTTAAGATTCGGTACTGACGTTTGATCCGCGCGGCCTACTATGTTTCTATATGCAAAACTTGAAAGACATCCCTCGTAAGTTGAAACTTAGACGTTTTACAAAATTTTGAGGATATAAACAGAAAAATTCATCACGTCATAAAAAAAACGCGCGCGTTTTTGTAAAAATGTGTATACTTAACATTGAAACAATTCAGATCGAATAACGATATGATTACATAGTGAACACATCTAAAAGTGCATTATATGTATTTTGTCTCATGCATAGTACAAATTACTTTAATCCCGCCGGTAGTAAGTCAATTATTTTACTAAATTATTCACTTATTTCAGATACTATAAAAATACAGTCGTTCGTGCAAATTAATGATATTGCAACGAGCAGTTATGATCTGGTCTACTATAAATGACTGTTAGGGAACATCCGACATTCATTATTAGAAAGAACCGATAAGTCCGAACCTGTACAGAGAAATCGTCGATTTACTGCCGCTTCATGCTATAAGCGCGTGACCTCCCGAAGCCAATCCTTTATCTACCGGCGTCTCAAAATTGCACTTGGGAAATTGCCTGAGTAGCTTCTGGTTTAAATATTATTCTGTGAGATAACCATGAATTGTTATACAAGGTGGTCCCTGTGAGCAGGAAGTTTTCATAATATTATTTCTCCGTAACTATACATAGTTGGCTATGGATTGTTTTTTGAAATTATCTGTTACTGTATGCCATTTAATAACCATGGAGCAACGGTCTAGTGAGCAACGTGCATTTGTAATTAAGTCGTACTATAAAAACAATAACTGTGCGGTTGCCGCTCTGCGACATTTCCGACTTTATTTCCAAATTGCTATAAAGGAATGGGTTCGAAAATTTTAACAGACAGGTTCAGCTATCATTGT